ACGTGTTAGGTACACTAAGTTATGTTTGGTGATACACTTAGTGCATGCGGACCCCACACTATAAGTTTTCTCCATGTAATTCTGTTAAATAGTTTCTTTTACACGAACCCCTTAAGTTGTTTGATTTCTTGCTTCTCTAACATTGTAGCTACTTAAATTATCATTTAAGAATTTATATACTTCGAAATCAATGTCATTCTTTATTACATAATAGGAATAATTAAATGCAATAGATTGTATTGCTTTTAAACTGATCAGCATAAACCTTCCACTTATTTTCCCGTTGTAATTACAGATTGGTTAAGAATATATAGAGTAATTTGTATATGTTGGGATATTCAACAAATATCCTAAGAGAATTATTTTCTATCGGTCAATTCTTATTGATCAGCCTAACTATTAATGTTATATACTTCAATGTTGTTTCCTATTCGACCCAATTGTATATATATAGGCTTCATCTGTAACGTTTTATGACCCGGATCCTTAGCCTCTTCTGGACTCGGATCTCATACGTTCTGGATGCTTGTAGAACACACGTTCTACTTTATATGAAGTCTTCTTTTTCTATTCAATGGGGCCTTGGGACGCTTGGATTAGAGTAGCCTATCGTGTCTCTGGATCATTGTCTCGCTCTCGTTTACTGACTAAGGTGAACTCGTAACAGTATGAAGCATATCAAATGACGTGGTCACGCGCATGCGTAACAGTATATTTGTTAAATAACAACATTTCTCACTTGTGGTACCTATTCATAATCAAGAGACAAACAGCATTGTACACGTTTTATTTCTAATTATGAATACACAGAAAATTAACTTTTACTTATGTAAAGCTATTGAAATAATGCTACAAAAGTCATTTATCGGTTGTTATTATTAGGAACAATTTAAATTATTTCTTTGAAATATTCTTCATACAGCATATTCATTAAGATGAATTATAAAAGAAAGCAACACAGAAACTATTGATAAAACTTGATTCGAACGTAAATTATTGCATGGAACAAAAATAATGATGTTCATATTTGAAGAATAAATAAACGATTCTTAGAAGAAATAAAAAAGATTATTGTGTCCTTAAAAGATAAAAGGATGAGGGCAATTTATTTCCTGCCCGTTTTAATAAAGCTATAATCTTATGATATAGAATATGATAGAAAGTTTAACTGGTTGAAATCATTTTTTTTTTGATAAACTAAATGTTATCTTCTACTACTATTGAAGTGTATGCTACTTATGACTGAAAACATCATACTTAAATGTTTACCGAGTTGTTGTTGATTGGTCAATGCAGAATAAACTGTGTTACATGTTTCATATTTGCTTAAGAAATCTAAAGTTGCCTATGAAAGTAAATGAAAATTACAGCATTATATATATTTCATTAGGTGCTTTTGTATGATAACTAAAGACTCTAGTATATATAGATGAGTATCATTGAATATACATTTTATTCTCACGATATTTTAATGTTTGAATGATAAATTAACAATTTTGGAGCCAGATGTAGTTCATATTATTGGAAAATTATTTAAAATATGCAAACAGATGTAAATCGCAACTTGTATACGGAACAACTAGCAAGGTATTAGCCAGTGTTATTGTAAAAAATCTATTTACAAACATCTTTATAAAATGTACTATTACTGACAATTTGTCACATGATTTCAATCCCGACCATAGCTGCTACCTTGACGTGGTGGTCGGGCTTGACTATCGTGATGATCCAACCGAACTATATTGGCTGGAACATATGTTCCTGAAGGTCCTACCATGCCAGGCTGGTCGATTGGAGAACCATGAGACTAAAAGCAGCTACTCAAGGTCTGAGGGCGAAGTCGTACTCATGACTGCAGAGGGGTGTGACAGCAGTAAGGTGTTTCCCTCAGACAACCAGAATCTGCAGCGATGCTGCCTTCTCACAAGGAAGGTGGTGGTTAGAAAAGGTCGACCCTAAAAATGTCACACCTCACCCTACCTCATGGATTTCCGTCTCCGTCGGTAAGGGTGCTCACTAAGGGCTTTCAAGAGCGGAGCCAATATTCAGAAATCCTTTCATAAAAAGGCCGTGTGTGACCGTCCCCCAGCAGTTGTCCATTGGGCTCTGCGGTCACGTTCCCAGGTCTCCAAGTCCAACTCTAATCTATCTTCCTGTTCAGGTTCCTCAAGAAACAACCTTCCACGGTGTGGGCAGCCGGGAAGTGACAACCGCCCTCCTATCCATAAAAGCACACGAGACCGAATCGGTCACAGTCAAATCCTTTCTACATGATTTCAATAATAAGTAGTTATAATAATGTTTAAACTTTAAGGGGATTATCTGTAATCTTTGCGACTATCACAAGTCGTTTTTACAGTGAAAATTAAAATTAAGATGAACACACCTATTTTGAACTCGTTGAAATTTTATCAATGTTCAAACTGAAAAGAATGTCTACCCTAAATCTATTCCTGCATTCATATTCATTTATACTAAGTTATCAAGTAATAACTATTTCCGTAATGTTAACACAATCTTTTCAATCTGAAAACTATAGTGGGTTACCACCCGTATGCGAGTAAAGTTAAGCTACATGAATATTGACCAATAACATGTACAATTTGATTTTTATTTAGTTGTATTTTAGTGTTGATGATTTTATAAAACACGTTTGTACATGTTAATTGAACAGCTGCTGACTGACTCAAGAATAAAGCAATGTCCTCTTTATTGATGTTTATCTAGCTGAGACTATACGACGGCAGTTTTTCATACTCAACAACGTTCTACAACATATACTTTCGAAAATAACATTTTAAACTAAATTTATGCCCACAGTTATAACAGAATATATATATTTTTAAACTGTCTGATCCTTTAATTAGAATAATCCTATAGCAATTTTTAAAGCGTGCTGTGTTTCTAAATTCATAACGTTTCATCTCTCAAAAAGGATTATGCCCTCCAGTTATTCGAAATAGGAGTATGAAGTAATATAACTAGGGTCAAAAGAAATTTAGAAATTACCGTGTATGTTGAAAGTGAACTTTTCACCACTAAACCATTAAAGAACTGTGCTTATGATTGATTTTCGCAGGCAAAGGAACATAAAGTCAATCGAATCGATTTCATACCTAACAGAAAATACTATTCCTCTTTCTCATACTTCCTCCTTTAGTAAAGTGTCCCTTTTTTGATGGTCACCTTCACGAACATGCACTCCCATAAATGGTACTTATAATGTAAACTATTAAATTGGAATATATATTTATCTAAAATCTATATAAGCATATCAAGGCTATGCTGAACCGAATGCAATAATATATTTCCAGAATTCATTAGCTGGGGGGGGGGCTTGGCGTCATCATTCAGAATTTATCATATCAGTTAACTAACTAATCAATAAAAAAATGATCTATCTCAAGTATTCTATAACTCAAAAACCAATCAACTAAACTTTTGATAAGAATCTACTTACTGTTTTGTATATCATATTCACTTTACAAATATCTATTGACCACATAAAGTTCAAAGTTTTATTTTGATAATATTAAATATATTGGGTTATGACTAATACACGATTTCACAAAATAAATCAATACAGACTATAAGTACTAAATGAAGTGAATGTTGGTTAGATGATTTGTGACAAAAAAACTAGTCACTGTGACCTACATATATACTTTATGTCAGACTACAACATTCTTACTAAATGTCAATTATTACGTACTTAGATTCAATGTAAAATTTAGACATGAATTGATTCTTTAGGTACTAAAAAGATAATGATGACAATCCATGAGCTATCTAATTTCTAACAAATACAACAACTATTCATTATGCAAACCACTCTAGGATTTCTCAAACTGTTAATCAAAATAGGAAAATAATAAAATTTATTAAAGATATACCGACAACAGAAATTGAATTCGATGATATAATTGCTAAACTATTGATTCCCTTACAAGTCTACATATTGCAGTAATTTATTACTAAACATCTTGGCTGTTGGTGAAGTTAATTTATATATATTCATAAGTAATTATCATGAATTTTTAATTAGTAATATTGTAAAATGAAGCTCTTATCTCATCAGTCTTGGCAAATGCAAGAGTTACAGAAATCCAAAATGTTCCCAGACTTACAAATCCACAGGCTACAAAATGCTGTACACACCTGTTTCATGTAACTACTCAGTAAAAAGTAGCCCATGACAGATTATACATCTATCGATCCCTTTAGTTTGAAGTGAGTTTAAACAAACAAGCAATCGATATATATCATACACTGAAAAAACAGTGATCAATGGTTCGCCCCAGAAGAAATTCCAGTCTGAATGGAATTATAGATTTAAATAGTCTAAAAAAGAGTAGATTCACGTTAATTTATCGAATGATCTTTCCAATGTAAATCTGGCTGCACTTCAGTCACTGACTTTAGATAACTACAAGTTTATGGCACAACATTAAAGTTAAGTGCTAAATTATTCTTAAGTTACTCAGTGGTTAGACTACAAAATAAAGCTGATCCTTAGCCGTTTATATTTTAAGTAAGTACTGATGATATGGTGATTGAATTCGGTTTTGATGTTAGGTGAGTCAATTAGACTAGTGATCAGATTGGGACTAAGGACTATACAAACATGATGTTGGTCACCAATCAATGATCAAACCCCATAAAGATTTCTGTCCTTTATGTCAACTATTGCCCGAAGAGCTCAGTGGTAACATCTCAGAATGTTGAGTGGAATGAAACAAGCTCAAATCTCAGGTGAAGCAACAGTTCTCTGAAGATAGTAAACACACCTTGCTGACGAATGATAACTAGCACAAAACTTAGGTTCAGGGTTTTATGGGAACTACTACCAACCATCTAACAGATAGATAGTCTTCAAAATATGCACTCTCCTTTAATAATTCTTTAAGTATCCCAAAATAGAAATAAACATGCTTTAATTATTTCAAAACTCTATTTTTTTCAAATTAGTATTAAATAACTTACAGTAGAAAAGAAAATAATTACACAAAATAAATAAAGACAATATGAAAAGAAGCCATTATACATATATATATTATGTACAAGTAAGAAACTAATGAGTAAGTAAATACAGGCACGTCGAAAACATTTGAAGAGAAATAATATTATTAATACTAAAATAAATCAACCAATAAACACTTGGTAAATTGGAGGCCAATATCTAAATGAAAGGAATCACATTAGTTTAAGAGGACTGTTTTTTTTTCTCATAAGTCTATACAAAAGCACAGGCAACAGCTGAACTAGACAAATTCTTCAAATATCCACAAACGAAGGGACTGACTAAAACAAAACGAGAAAAAAAAGATAATATTGGCTCTTAGAATTCAGGTTGTCTTAATTTTTTTGAGGTGAATCAATACACAATACACATATGGATAATAATTGGCTGCAATAAAAAAAAATCCTGAAATCTGTGACAACTGTCAATACATACTAGGTAATCATCTACAAATATACAATTGCAGTGATTCGAGATATAATTTCCTGTAGTACTATTGTCAGAATATCATTTCAACGACGATTGTGTTCATTTGAGGTTGAAATAGGAACTTGCTTTGCTGATAAACATATAAGTCCTGATAACAACAGTGTTCTCCGAGTCCGTTAATTATAGGCATATTTTTCTGTCCTTTAATACACTCAGAGACGTTGCAAAATATGAATGTAGAAGTTTTGTTTTCTGGGGTTCGATTTAGCTACTAATCCACACTTAATAACGATTTATGTATTCCTAATCTATGCAAAACGAAAAAAAAAGATTGGATAAGAAGTTTGATGTCAGAAGCCGAATAACTTTACTCTAACAACATTTATGGTTGTCTAACTCAAGTTGGTTTGTAGTTTCAATAATATCTAACAATCTCCACAGATTCCACTCGGATAACAGGATAGTAGTTGAAAAAGGTTTGAATTAATTCTCAAAACTTTTCAAACAAATTTATATGTGGAAATCTCTATCTAACACCAACAAATTATTACTTCAAATAGTTGGAGCGAAGATAACTTAAATTATCTTAATTTAAAATTAAACTGCCACACTAACTGTCATTCAATTTTTGTAACAATCAGTAATAATAATATATCATTTTTATTATTCCGCTATCCGTTGCATCAAGTAATTACGATCAGTTAGTTTTTTTTTAAAAATCAATTTACTGAATCGAAAGACTACTTATCAAAAGTGTACTTAAAAAAAATTTGAAATATCACAATTGTAGCAAGCTAATTATCAGTACAGATCCAACTGACTGTTGTGTTTTTCCATCTAGTTTTACCGAGATATCCTATTTGTTTTAAATAAACAAACTCCTATTATATTACAACAAGATTTTTCACTAACCTTTTGTTAATCACAAAACAAAAGACCGTCAAAAGTCTTTACGATTTACTGTTGGTGATCTGTATTTTTGTAAGTAATTTTATCAATTGGTGAAGCATATGGGATTATTGACATCATATCTGATAATTCATTTGATAAAACAGGTTGTTGAGGTTCAAGACAAACTTCATCAGTGACATTAGCACAGTCTTGTGTAACAGTGTCTTCCCCAGTAGTAATCGGAAATGAAGAAGACAGATTAGTGCATAAGTCATGATATTGACAGGATGGGTCAATTGTAGTTTGATTTGACTGAGGTTGATGATGATGATGATGATGATAATAATTTACAGGCGTAGACGGATGTTTCGGTGATGTGAATGGAGTTGGAAATTTATGTGTAGTTAATTGAACAAGAAAAGCTTCTAACTGACTTAAAGTTAAAGCATTGTGTAATGTTTCCAGCGGATAAACTTCCGGGACACATGGTGCACTGGGAGCCAAAAATTCTTGAGAACTTCCAGCTGGTAATCATAAGAAACGGAAATAAATTGAAATATGAACGTTACATTTCTTAATAATTAAACTAGTGACAACAATACTGTATTAAAGCTTGGTAAAAAAAAAATCAACACATGGTTGAAGTTTAGGCCAAAGGTCATTTTAGTGGTTCAATTATTCAAGGAAATGTTAAACGTGTAATTCACCTTAACATTTTGAAAAGTGCTAGAACAAAGATTTGAGCAGAATAACGTGAGAACCAAATGAAATAAAATGAATTCATGTTATTCTGCTCATATCTCACTATTCAAGAAAAGATTATGCAGCTGGAACAGAATGAAAACAATGTTACGATATTTAGTTGTAAGGGATTTATTGTTATGGAGTAAGCTGAGGAAATAGTGCTAATCATCCATCTACTCGTTAATCACTTAATGAACGGTCGTCATATTTACTCAACTTGATGCTGTCAACTATGAACTGTACGTTAGTGTCTGTAATGAGTTGTGGTATTACTATTATTATTATTCAATAAGACTGTTTTATGTGAGTGGGAAGCACTGCGTGAATGTGAGACTTAGCTGAAATTTAATTACTTCAAGTGCTATTAAACATGTTTTGTTGGATTATTAAGGATTTGATAATTTGAAATATCGTTGAATAATGAGTAAGAATGCGGAGATTAGTGAAATGTCAAAATGAATTTTTTTTATCACAATCTATTATTCGAACCAATCACTAGAATCATCTCCAACTTATTGAAATTAATTAAGAGAAAAGTAAAGTCCGAAAAGAGAAATAATACTTCCCTTACTTACAAACGAAGTGTGGAAAAAGTGGGTAAACGGAACATACAACTTTTCATACCTTACTACATAATGAAATGTAACATAATGTATAATAATCTGTGTTCAAAGTGTATATGTCATAGATCATATATACACACACACACATCATAATCCAATGCAAAAGTAGATATGATAAAATACACAGAAGAAAAACACACAACAGAATTGTCATTTAATTCTATGCTTGGACACTATTATGCCTAATGTAAATTTGAATATATATATAAACTCAGTATCTTCACCACTTCATGCATATATAACAATAAAAAAACCTAATAAACCACAGAACCAGAATCAGAAAATACATTTCGAAACAATAGGAAAAACAAATAGCCTAGAAGAATTACTTACGTGTTAATGTTCTTGGTGCTACACTTATATCTTCTGTCAATCTCTTGAAATCAGGAACACTACTAGATGCTTGACCATCATCACGTGAACCACGTATGACCGCTGTACTGATAAGACTTCGACATATTGGCGGAGCAAATGGTGCCCCAGTAGCAACAGCTGTAAAAGAAAAAAAACAATGATTAGTTGTCTTTACAATTTTCATGTATTTGCGTCGTTGGATGTGCATTTAATAGTCTTTTTAAGTTGACCTATCAAGTATATATTTAGAGCATGACTTTATGTGAACGGAAAATGAATCCTACCACAACGGAGCTGAAATCTATCTAAGCTAATTGGAACGTTTCCAAACAATGTTTTTAACAATTTTTGTTGTTATATTTATAAAAAATGAATGCGATTGTACGGAAAGTTGATTCTCGCTAAATACTTGGGGGAGAAGGGTTAGAGGAACTAAACGAACCTATTTAGTAGGATTTTAGCTAACAATATGACTAAAACTTATAAGAATACGAGCAGATAAAAAGGTACATGAGATGAACAAAATTCAATCTAAAGTAAATGAAAGTGTATGTACATGTACCGGTGGATATAAGAATAATTTATCAATGTGTCAAACTGGAAAATTAACAGTTATTGTCGGTAAAGGTTAGAGATATTGCTCGTTTGATATTTAAGATTGGATTTCGGCTGATCTCAGATGGTATATATACACATTCTGAGTGAGACTAGTTCTGCATAGCTAGTAATCGTTGAATAAGGTAATATCTGTCTAGACTATGTAGCAGTCAGTCTTAGGTTAATAACAACACCGGGATCCAAACACATCAAGCCGATCAGTCTCAAAGTAGGATGAAACACATGTCTTGAATTGTACTAATCTCCAGAAATGATAAACTCTAGACCGTTAACAAGTGTAGGACTATATTACCTACTACAACTAGTAAATTATTAACAGAATATAATTATATTTACAAGTAAAATTTATACTGTATGTATCAATACATGAGATAAAATATATTGATGAATGAATTTAGTACGTTGACAGGTTTAAATGAGGGAGAAAATAAAAAAAATTGCAACAACACGCATCTCATCTATAAATGGCGTGCAACAACCAATATCAAATAGTAGTTATCAATGTCGTATATCCTAGTGATATATAAATCAATCTACACTATATAATCCAAAGGAAAATATTTTCATGATCATGCATCATAGTTATTGCAAAAAAAGTACAAAACACTAAAAGCTTAGCAATAGATTTCATTTGAATGAATTATTTTTTGTCTATAATAAGTAGAGACGAGAAGCTTACTAGAATTGTAAATAGTCGTACTGTAGTTGTACAGTTGTTGAATAATAATAATTTCAATACTATAAAAAACTATCAAAACATGCTGAGAATATTTGTTATAATAAACCAAACAAGAAAACTATTTAGATATCATTCATTAAATATGTTTTTCTATTTACAAACAATCACATATTGTTTTATCCTTGAAGAAGATAAGACTATAATACAATCGCACACTAACATACAAAGGGTATTGCACACTAGTACTATATATGACACACGAATAACTGTCATCAGAGATTAAATGTTATACAGAAGTTTAAGTCATATTCAATGGACACTTTTTAAACTATCGCTGATATTGCTTCTGTTTCAATTGATACTATTTTGCAGCACTCTGATTATATTTGTAAAACATGAGTGAACTACAAAGATTTGTAGTGGTTATATCTCTTGTTTTATTATTCCCTAACACAAAAATAAATGCAAGAATTATGACGGCAACTATGAGGTGTCATTGTAAGAATAACAATAATTGCACTGTAGGAAAGCAATAAATAGTTAATATACTAAAACCAAAAGCTTCGAAGCACAAATAAGCAATTAATAAATGAAGCCTAAAGAGAATTAACATACATATGAAAGTAATTGGCTATAAATATGTACCAGCAAGTATGTTCGGACTAACAAAGATAATGAGGCTAAAAGTAACAGCTGAGGGTAAACGAGAGGTAAACCACAGTTGTCCTAGTAACGATACGCTTATTTCATTAAGTTATCGTGAAATGTAAGATGGCTTTTAAGAAAACCAATCATAACATTATTCTCTTATAACGAAAATTAGTGTAGGAAAATATACGGGATCATGGAGTTTGTTGGATTGATTGGAGTTAGAATTGTAGACCATTGGGATCCTGGATCAGTGGTTTGAAGAATTCGGGTTCCATCCCTAGTCGTTGATGGGCACTGCTGAGGAATCCCACACTACAACAAAACACCTGTCCAATGTTACCAGGTTTCTAATCGTTATCAAATTCAGACTGGTTGGGGATTTCAATGAAACGCTAGGAACATGACGAAAAATGTGGTGATATTTAAAGAGGCGAGTGAGATTCAAAACCGATTAATTACAAACCGACGAAAACTCCGAAATGTATGACTTTTTTTAAGCTCCTAAATGATGTTATCCACTAGTAGTAGCAGCATTTAAAACAGGGTCATATAAGACAGTTTAATTAAATAAGAACCATTTATTCAGATCAAATGCAACAGAATATATCAACAAGCCATGCATCACTAATTCAAACTGGAAAAATAAGGCAAACAATAAATACAAAAGCGAGATGAATATGAAGTGAATGCTAAAATGATATTAATGAGAATGTGGGATAGTAGTATACGTGAAAAAAAAAACAACAAGCATCGTATAAATTAAACAAAAAAAAAATAAACGTGATTAATGAAATAGTTAATTTACGGGCTGCAGAACTGAAACGTCTGTAGATTTGTTCAGTTTCTAAAATACAGATGAAAAATATCCTAAATTGTGCAAGTGAAATACACAATTTATCTAGGTAAGATGACAGTATAAAAATACTGTGCATAGTTTTGTTTGAATTAGTTGAATATAATAATTAGTGTTGTTAGTTAATGACACAGTTCATTCTTTTATCATATTATAGAAGGACGTGTAACTAACTCCATTGTATTTGTGTTCTTACACATTTGAAATCATCAATCAATCATTGATAGACCACAATTAGAAACCTGGAAGCACTGGACGGCCGTTTGCGTCGTGGTATGGGGCTCATCAGCAGTGCTCAACCACGACTCCTGCACCTCACAGGATTCAAAATCAGGACCTTCGGTCTTGCGTGCGAACGCCTAACCTCTAGACCACTGAGCCGGTATCTAACGGTGTTAATGTCTAACTCTGATTGATCTACGGATTTTGCGCGAGAAAAAAGTTATGCTTTGTTGAAGTCTGTAGATAGGGTTTTCATAGTATATGAATGAATAAATATTAGTGAATATCTCTTTTTTAAGCATCAGTTGAATTCTTACAATATTTAATGACTATAAAATAAAATATTACTTAGTAAAAAAAATTGAGAAAATACTTAATTCATGATAATGTCCAGTACAATTAAAATCATACATAACAACCAATAAATGTGGCATGTTTTCTGGTTAGCGGTTTTTTTGGCAAGTTAGTTTTTTCTAATGGCCAAACCCTTCTCCTTTATCCGGGCTTGGGAACGGCAATTACTTTGGAGGGGCTCCAGGCGGAGTAAGTAATGAGTGTTAATGTGTTGCCCCATTATTCGTTAAACATTTTTGTTTTACATCAAACTGTAAAAACAATTCAGTGTTATTAATATTAATTGATTTAAAAAAAATTATTTAGCTTTTTTTTCTTAGAGAAGCTAATTTAGTTTAAGGAAGGATAGGAGGTTGAACGACTTATTACTGCTCATGCATGAAAATAGTGCAGACTGATTAAGAGTTTACATTGTGCTGAATGGTGTTACGAGCTAAATGACAGTTTTTCATATCTTACAAATCATCAGTTTGTTCTGCATGCTGCCTATTTACTTCATTGTTCACTGTATAATTTTAATGAACTTAGTTTGTTTTTTTTAACAAAATATTTGTCAAATCTTGTCATTAAAATATGTTTCCAAGTTTGCCTTCTATGCAAAGGATAACAGGGAATTTTTGAAACGAATAATAATAATAATAATAATAATGATAACAATAATGATAATTTTGTCATAGAAAAACATCAGAACACACATTGAATGTAGTTTGAAAAGTAATAAACATAACATGCTGTGTTTTAAATTTATATATGATAAATATTATTAGGTATTGCTAGTCAGTCAGAGCATTAGAAGAAATGCATCATAGTAATTAACTGATTAACAGAAATAATATCATTATTAGTCTATGAATTTTCTGATTGAAATAGTCAAAATCTTTGGAATAGAATTTACATGAAACAAATTAAAATTATTCATTATGTATAGGGTGAGTCCAACTATGTAGACCATTTAACACCATTATTTAATATCGTAGATAAAGAAAAATTATGATTTATTAGTAAATTGATGAAAGTTTTACTTTTTTTGTTTAAACATCAATTAGAATGTGTATGATAGATTGAGATATTTTATATTCCTTATTATTTTACAATAAAAAACTTACCTCTTACAAGACGTCCAATATCTAAATGATATGGACTTTGACGACTAGGATAAGTGATAGCATTCAAAGTTTGATTGATTACAGGATCATCATCTACACCACTGTCTACTGCTCCAGATGATGACAGAATAGTGTTGACTGGTTGAGAGTTAATTTGATTGAATGGTAACTCCAACATAACCTGAGTTAATTCATGTGTCTGGCGAGTCACCGACTCATCAGAAGGAAGTGTAGTTAAACGAGTTCGAGTTGAAGATGTGGAAGTTAAATTTTGATTCTGTGATAACGGAACAGAACCTGCACTTTGATGTCGATTCAATTTAGTGGAATTAGTTGCATTCGCTGGATTGTATATTGATAATGAAAACAAATTGATTATAAACTACTTAGATAGAGAGATAGAATAAACTAAGTGTTGTAAAATTACTAAACAAAACACAGCTACATATTACAAAATAGTTCTTAGAGTATATATAGTGTGTTACGCCAAAAAAATTCTCCATTGCATTTTAGGACTAAAATTAACCCTTAGATGTTATTTTTATTACGATTGGAAAAGCTTAGGTTTGTGTTACGCTCGTCTCTAGGTATGCTTAAATTATGACGAGTTCACCTTAGTCGAATAACGAGAACAAAACAATGAACCAGCGTCCACGTAGGCTACTGTGATTTCTTGACCAAAATGTATCAGTAAGAAGTCTTGATATAGTGTAGAAATTGTATTCTACAAACACCCAACCAGCACACAATGAATCCAAGCACTCAAATTTGCGTTTATTTATACCCTATAGAGACGTCCTTGGGACAGTCACAAAAAAAGCACGCTAAAATGACACAGTAACCAGTCACAGACAAGGATTCTCCTGGTGGGAAATGTGATCTTAAGGTCAAGTGATCGGTCCATGAAATAAATCCAAAATAAAGATATTTATCAAGCGAGTTCTGGGGATCTAGCATCCCCAACAGTTTGTGATATAAATTGTAAAGGTTTGCCATTTAATATTGCTTTTGAGAAATAGTTAGTCAGTTATATGCAATGCAGACATGTTTATGGACTCAAGCTGTCACAACACAGTAGTATAGTGAAATGAAATTATTAGAAACAAAATCCTGGAGAAGTAAAAGTAGCATGAGTAGTATATGAAAGATTAGGTAAAGATAGAAATAAAGCATATTGGAAGATTTTAGACTCAGGATACAGAATACAGAGTGACTACACCTGAGTCGTTTCATCCGACGTCCCGAAACACCGGTTATCTATACTACAACAAATTTCACGGTGGACATTATTACAATGATTGGATAATTTGCCGTGTACACAACTAATTCGTAGATTTTATTTACATTCGCTTATTTTGATTCGTGATTATTTTTCTGGAGAAGCTTGGATCAGACATTCAAGTTGTTCAGAATAACGATTGCTGAAATTTTTACAAATATAATCTCTTTACTATTTACTCAGTGCCTGACTATTGTGAAACTGTTCGTTCAAGCTTAGACTAACCCCTCATTATAAATGACTGAATAGATCGAATAAAATAATTTTATTTAACAATATACCTCATTATTAGATGTGATTAGTACCCGATGATGAGCTGTCAGAATTTCATAAGATAAAATCTAGCCTGATAATAGAAAGTATATATTTAACAAAAACTAAAGTTTTATTTACATTTTAGTGCAGGTGCAAGCATAGAACTAATTATTTAAAAGGTATTATTCAAACTACAAGGCAGGATGAATTATGAAGAAATGAAGTACTGCAATCGATACAACGTCGAACAACAATTTTAAATGTCATTTTAGCATGAGAATATAATTGTGGTAGGCTAAAACACTGTCCCCTTAAGCAATAAAATGCAAGTTAACATTGGTGTCCACTTGTTTTAAAGGAATAAAATTGTACTAATTAGCCTAATCAAGATCATTGTTTGTTAATTAGATTAATTCGCATTACGATAGCAGATCGATTTTTAAAGCATCAGAACGTCCAGCTTCAGACAATGAATTCCAAACAATCTTTCAGTTTTATAGATCTTCAGATGACATTTCCAACAGTTTCTTGTTGAAATAGACTTAAACTATATTAAATATCTTCTAACATTTAACCTATGATCAATACAATTAACAAGGGTGATGTGTAGATAGTAAAGCACTTTTTATTGTAAGAACAATTAAAAACCATTTCTAATAGTTAAGTATCAAAGATTTTGTGCATTAAAAAATGGGTAGTTTCTGAGAAATTTTACTCAATAACTATAACATGTTGCACAATTTATAAGTGTATTCCAATCGAACACGAGTTGTCTTGTTGATAAACTGACGCGATATATATATATATATATATATATATATATGACATTAGTGTCAACTTCTTCGAGAAGCACATGTAATAGTGTTAATTACACTGTTAGAGATCGATGCGTACTGATTTTAAAGAGAATAATAATAAATAAAATAGATCACTAGTGATCATTAGAAATCAATGACTGATCATAGCGAACCTAAACATTTCCAAGTCCTATAAAGAACATATTGTTTAATTTAGTTTTTTTTCAAGCATATAAATTAAACAAAGTGCACACAGAAGATTTTTTTTGGTAGAAGTAAAAATCCCTTTTACGTGAACAGTTGGATGCGACGAGTAAATTGGGTACATGCATAGGAGAGGAATAGATCACGCATGCAACAAAATACCGTTATGATGTAAAGATCAAAAACAACCTCATAAAAGATGCTAAAAAAGAATACATACTCACTTTTACAAGTGCCCATAGTTAACCAGTTCGGTGTTTCTCTAACTCTCTACAATGAGACAATATATATATATGAGTAATAATAATAATAATAATAATACACTGAGTGATACAACATCACACAAACTGAATAATTGATTTTTAAAATAATAGTAATAATAAACATTTGATGATTGTCATGAAATTAACTTGATAAAACAAACTGATAGTCATTAATGTACCCAACAATCAAGAATCATAACTGAAGAATTTAATGAATGGTTTTACATGAAATTTTTTTGCATTAAGCATAACATAAATAAATAGAATAAAATAACATAAAATAATCCGATCACAGTCAGATAGAGAAAGCCAAACTTTCATGATTGCAATATAATTAAATTGAAACTGGAAGTGAGAGTATAAAAAGTGAAAAAAAGAAATGAGCGGGATATTATTAGCTAGACGACAATATTGGTAATATATATATATATATATATGAAGTATATAACAAAAACAATGTTGACATAAATTTCGCTTTAAGTAAGAATCATCTATCATTATCTTGGAAAATATACAATGAACTGAACTATTTGGTTGAGGTTATGCATGCATGTAAACACGTCAATTTGATATGATTGAACTATTACGAGTTTACTTTAGTTAGAAAACGAGAGCGAGGATCGATGATCCGGCGACACGATAGGCTATTCTAATCCGAGTGTCCCAAACCTCCATTGAGTAAAAGAAGAGGACTTGATATGAAGTAGAACATGTATTCTACAATCATCCAGAAAGTACGAGGTCCAAGTCCAGAAGAGGATGACGATCCCACACTAAGGATCCGGGTCATAAAACGTTACAGATAATGCGTATTTATACAGTTAGGTCAAAAAGGAAACAACATTGAAGTCTGTGACATCGACAGTCAGGACGACCAATAGAATTGGACTTACAAACAATGATCTTAGGATATTGGATGAATATCCCAACAGTTGACAACCCTTTTAAACTTTTCAAATCATCAATCAATCATTGTTAGACCACCATTAGAAACCTGGAAGCACTGGACGGACGTTTCGTCCTGGTATGGGACTCATCAGCAGACCGCATCCACGAATCCTGCACCTCGCCTAACCATCGGAACACTGGGTGTTCGCGCACAATACCGAAGGTCCCGGGTTCGAATCCTGTGAGGTGCAAGATTCGTGGATGCGCTCTGCTGATGAGTCCCATACCAGGACGAAACGGCCGTCCAGTGCTTCCAAGTTTCTAATGGTGGTCTAACAATGATTGATTGATGATTTCAAAAGTGTAAAAACACTCATCTCCATAACTCTAATCGAAAAAATCCTTTTAGATTTGTGTGGATTAGACTACAACTTTGTCATAGATGCGAATCTTATAAACTGAATGGAAACATCGATTTTATGGTCATAAATAGTTAAAAAACACACACACATTTCACAAGATGTACGATACATAGTTTGGCTAGTAATATGCGCGTTACGTGCTTTGTGCACAATAGATTCATGTGAAATACACTAGCATTAAGAAACGTTTGAATTAAACTGTTTCAAAAAAAAACGAACCGACAGAAATGTATCAATTAAGTTGAGGTAAATAAAAAGTATGGTATAAAATAAAATTTAAGACAAAGACGATATGAAGAAAAATTTGTAAAATTATGTCAATCAAGTGATACTTTTATTTATTTTCAATTCTTGATGTTATTTCTCATAACTCATATAATTTTCCTTGTGAATCGTAAAATATCAATGTAGGATTTTCAGTTTTGTAGTTTTGTGTTGATAGTTTAGAGTAATTTGAAATAAAAGCTAATCTTAAACGATGTCGTATGTTAATTTGGTGATTCATTTAAAAGCTAAAAACTAGTTGAGAATTACTATTAGCATTAAAAAAAATGAACTTAATTGAGCAACGCAATAATTTCAGAGAATGAATTGTTGGGATAGTAAAGAAGTTGTATGATTTCTGTTATAACTTCACCTAGAGCTTTTTGGGGGTTAGTGCCGGTCCCAGGCTCGGACGAAGCAGGTGGATTTGACATAGGGGTTAACGACCCCATCTCGTAAAATCCAATTCGCTGCTCGCCGGCCTATGCTCCGTGAGGGGTAACAGGTGTAAGTAAGTATTTCTTTGATGCAAATGACCTATTTATGTGACTTAAGAATCTTCAAGGTAATAAGGAATAATCTACCAAAGAAAAGTGTGCCGATGGAAAGAAGTACTATTTATGATGATCATGTCTTCAAATAGTTTGTTCATTATAATAATGAGAAGAAACTTTTGAACCCTCCGGGGCAACTACCGGTCACAAGCTTGGATAAAGGATGAGGGTTGGGACTGGGGTTGGCGACTCCATCTCACAAAAAAACGCTAACGAGAAAACATAATTCAAACCATTTAAACTCCGCTCTAGGAGTTAGAAAGTCTTCATTTAGAGGAGTTATGACGTTTCATGATGGAAGTCACGAAGCCGATGCCCCTTCTGACAACCAGAGCCCTTTCATAGCGTGGGCAGCCGGGATGTAACATCCATCCTCATACCCATAAAAGCATACGAGACCAAATTGGTCAGAATCAAATCTCTGGCTTAGAACAGTATAGTACAAAATATATATATAAGCCAAGATGAGGTTTTAAAAATATTACATAAAAATAAGTCCAAATAAAACGAACTAAAAAAATATAACCCAAGATATAAGTCAATAAATATCATTTATTCCTTACCTTGTCTTTTATTTTGATTGCATTTGATTTTTGATCCACATTGTCATGTTTTTCATCTGATTTCATTAAATGTTCTGACTGCTTTGTAAGCCATTGAATAACAGGGGCGAGACGCGACGATTTTGTATTTGAACAGGAACAGTCAAAAGACATTTGTTCATTACAATCATATTTCTTAAACTCGCCAAAATCATTAACCTTACCTGTTGTTTGAAGTAGTTTTGAAAAACATGAATATCTAGGTTTTGACAAAAATGTTGTAGTTAAATTTGTACTTCTGTAAACATCAGGGTGACATGAGGTAGATCTACCACGAACAGAGTGTGGACAGAAATTTGAACGTGAAAAATGTTTAGGGTGATATGCTTTCAGATTATTTGCATATGGTGATGTCGACGATAATTTATCAGTTTTCGATTCATTTGGTAAGTTTTGACCGGAACTAGTTTTGTTATCGGCCAATCGTGTCACAGTGAATCGTCCAATACCAACTTCCGTATTTGAAGTAGGAGTACCAGTTAACTCTAGAGTAGAAGCTGATGGCACAGGTGATAACGGTAAAACAGAAGGACGACCTTGAGATTGTGATCTGTGGTTGACAATCAAAGTTTCTTCATGATTTACGATATTTTCTCGAGAAACATTGGAATTAAGGTAACAACGAACACTATGTGATCTGCGAACCAAAGATTGCTCGATAAGAGAGGAATCGTTAGAAGTCTCTGTTTGATTCTTACATACCTCATATGTATTTCTATCACTATCGAAACTCCAGCGAAACAAATCTAAAGAATCAAGTGTTTTTGATACTACTGTTGTAGATTTACCTGAAACTTTATCATTAGGACAATATTCCGAGTATGAACATTCACTTGAATCAAATGATCCAAGATCTTGATGACAATCACCACTTCGATCTATTTGTCTACAACTATATTTATCAAATAGACCTTTCTTGTCTTGTTCACTAACAGGAGCACCAGGTGTAACAGAAGGAATTGCTGATTGTGGCATAGAGTCAGAACTGCCTTTATCCACAGATGTACCGCTACTCATTACACTTATTTGAGAATTTAGACGCTGTTTATACATTGGTATATGGTACATGAAAGATTTTCATCAAACAAAGTGAATACAAACAAAGATACAAAAGTAAAAACATGTCAAGCAACATAGAGAAATAATAAGTTGAACAATGATAAACAAAGTAAAGCATGAAGAATAACACATATGAGGACACATGCATTAATTCGTGCATACAAAAAGAAAGGCGAAAAATTAAACAGTCAGTTAGACAAAACATTTACCCAAAAATATGTATGTTATGCAGATTAGAGAAATGAAAAAGCAAAAAAAAATAAAACACAATGCCAAATTTTATATGACCAATTGAGGAGTACAAAATTACCCATCATTAGATTATAAATTTAGGAACGTACGTAAAACCCGATCAGTGTCCAAATGATAATGATGAGGAAGGGAATAAAAATTAGGATAAGATGATAACTTTATGAGACGTTAATAACTAAATATATTATACAATATTTATTGATTTGTTATGGTAATAGCAATAATAAAATGCATAACTTTTAAAACAAGATGAAACTATAGGGAAAAACAAGTTTCTTCTCTTTCACATACTAATATATAAATAAATAGTCCAGCGTAGAGTGAAATTTAACATGAAAATGATAGACTAGTTATTAAATGTATAAAACAAGAACAACAACCTCAGCAAACACTAAAATGAGAATAACGTTTTGTGATGCAGGATGGAGTAAGAGAGCTAGGAAATAACTACTACTTAGATAATAGATGTTGATTAACAGAGTAATTAGGCAATCACATTTTCTACTACAGTGATGAATGAGTCAATTATGATTAAAGCTTATCATCTTGAATACAATCCTGCTACGCATAGCATCCATCAAATAAAAGATGATTGGAAAAATTGACGATTATAATATAAATAAATTCATGATGAATAATTTGAAAAGTGTTGAGTTCCATGTACAGTGAAGAACAATGGAAAGCTCTAAAGGCGCATCACTGTCAGAATATGTTTTTTTTTCTCGACACAAAATTCACAAACTGATACATACTATGGATAAGCCAAATTGAAATTCCTCAACTGATCAATATAGAATAATAAACGGCTACAAACAGTTGTAAAGAGATGATCCGCTTGAAATTGATGTTTATAACCTTAAACTTATGCAATCCTTGTGGCTCAATTAATTCTTTAACAATTTCTTACGTAACATAAAGAGAAACAGCAACCGAAATCGTATATTACGAAATGAAATTGAGAATATTTCTAAGTTTAACTTAAATCAAGCTTGATTTGTTAAAAAGATACCAGAAGGTGTACACTCTGTGCACAGATAACTAGTATTAGTTCTGCACATTGTTAAAAAGCTTCCATTAAATATAAATAAAAATTATTTCTATCAAATAGGGTAGTAATAAATCATATTTGAAGAAGTCAATACAAACAACCTACCACTAATTTTCCAGATCGAAATCCACTGCCTTCAGGTAGATCATGACATAATGCAAAAGCACCAGGACTAAAGTGTAATTCAACATGGAAACGTTTTTCAGTTTTCGGTTCCTAAAATTTGAAATAAATTCAACAAAACCATGTCCATTGTTAATACCAATGTGTAAAAACTAAAAATAAATTGCTAAGAACAGTTCCATCACCTAGTTGAAGAATTTAAATGTTTTGGAAAAAAAGAACATGAAACATGAACGAAGGATTGACTGTTAGAATGAAGATATACTTGTTAGTTCTTGCAATCTGAATGAACGTTTTCTAGTTGTTCTATGATTCTAATTTATACAGCTTAACGTTAAAGCGAAAAATTCGATGCACAAATTATGTCTGTTAATCAAGAAATCAATTGGAACAAAGTAACACGAATGTTAGGTCAAGTAAGGTACTGTTAAAATATTCATCAAATATCCTTCGAAAACTATTTTTGGAAGTCTAATTCTATTGGTCAATGCCTACTGGTCAATATTATGGTCGCCCTAACTGTCAATGTTACAGACTTCAATGTTGTTTCCTATTCGAGCTAACCGTATAAATATGCATTATCTGTAAAGCTTATTATTCCATTCCTTCCTTACTTCACCTCTTCTGTACTCGACCCCAGAAAAAAACTTCATCTAACGGTGTTGTGTTCTGGTATATTGGAGATTTAGGAACAGTATTTAAGGTCGTATTGGAATATCTGAATTTGGTCAATCGGTAGGATTTCGAATAGCTAGATAGCAAGCATTATAACAGATACTCATCGTTCAATAGCGCATAACCTATGAAAAAGTTCTCAAGTAATGAATTGAAACATTACTATTCAGTGGAAATTGAAGCAATAATTGACAAATTTATTTACATCATAAGCAACTTAGTAATCTCTTATTCATGAACTGAAATATTGAAATAAAAGGTAATGGTTAAGTTTTACAGCGGTGAGAGTTATTCTTAAACTCATGTTGCACATTGAAAAAAAGTTTAACACAGTTTACTGTGTTAATATTAATAAACTGAAGACAATTCGATGTAGGCTCAATGATAACTGAGAGTTGCTGTTGGATGCAAGCTATTCGGTTAGATTTGACTCAACCTTCTGAGGAAACAGGTACATTTTCTAAGACAAATAAATATATTCACGAATAAGTCGTGCATACATTCCCGATAAAGATCATGGATGTTCACAAGTCTAGAAGTGAGTTAGATGAAAACACTAGGTAAGTAGTAAGCCACATCATGGAGTCTGATAGAGATAGGGTAATATACATGTTGCGACAGTGTTAAAATCAATTAAATCAAACACAGCCCATAGTATATACTTCAGACAATGAGTTTAACCAATCTACAAAATGAACTAGCACGGTCTTGAAATAGTGCTCAATATCATTCTTTAATCAATGAACATACAAAAGAGTTGAATAATAACTATAACATCACGAAATGCAAAATTACGAAAGTAGAATAATATACAGCACAGGAAACTAACCACAGTAGGATCTTCATAAATCATTATTACAATTTGAGCAAGATAATTAATTTCAGAAATAGACGACACATAATCCATAGCACGTCTCCATTGTTCATCAGTAACAATATCAGCTAATTCACCATATCTTAAACAAGTTAACAATGAATGAATGTGACTTTCACTAGTGAAATATAATCGACTACGTACAAATCGTTCTGGAGAAGCAACTCCTTTTGAATAGCTGGGAAAAAATATTGTACAACAACAAAAACAGAACATATTGAATACAGACAGCATAATAAACTTGGCTTTAATTTCAAAGAGTGAATATTTCTTATTTTATTTAAAAAAAATATGCGATTGTGTCAGAAATTAAGGGAAAACCATAAGTTAACTCATGTGTGCTAGTCCCTAACCTTCCACCATAGTTAACAACCTGGTGTGTGTGTGTGTGTTATGTCTGCTAAATCAGACTGTTAATTCATGCAAAACAACAACCTTAGGTTCACATCTCGTAATATATTACACGCAGTCTAATATAATCGGTAGATTTAGTTTATAAGAATTATACAAACTACCAGAAATATCAAGTGGATGTACACACTAATTAATTATCTAAGTTATTTATAGTAAATGCAGAACAGTTAAAAACCACATTATCATCAACAACAACAACAACAATAACAGCAAAAAGTTCAAAGTGCACAGCCACACATTGAATGAGAATTTTTTTCATTGATAATACATTTTATCAATCTTCCTTTAACCTTTAACAATACATAAATCATCACCATCATTGTTTGAATAGGCTCGTAAGGAAAGGCGACAGTAATTCGATACATTTATGCATAATATTATTAATTCAAACATGATAGTAGAAATTACTAGAGTTCAATTAGAATTACTACTGTATTTCAGAATATGAAATCGTTTCTATCTGTATACTTATAATACAAACAACAATTACTAAGAGGTCAACACATATATAATTAAATGGGTTGTTTAGAAAATATACATATATATATTCTGAGAAAACACACATTGAAATTAATCAACTTGATTGTGATAAGAACATTCTGTATAAAATAAAAATCGATCTTTAGAATGTTTATCTGAGAACTATTTCATTCTACGAAATCTTTTTATGAGATTGATGACACAGTCATGCTATGCTGTAAATTAACTAAATCTGAGATATATTTATATTCAAGGAGTTCATAACACAGTGAACCAACAATTTTTTATAAAAAAAAAACACACTAGAAACTAACGGTCACTAGTTAGTTGTACAGTGTGTATATTAGCATATAAAGCACATTGATGGATGAGTCGCATGAACTACTTTCATACTCTGAATAGGTTCCATTCAAATGAATCTTTTAAATACAAATCATCGATAAGAGATGCAGTGTTTTTTTATGGTTTCTTTATAAACCAAGTACTAGCAAACATATTCACGAAGTGAAAATAGACTATTCTGATTTCCAATAATCAGTTATACCAATCAGCAAACAACATAATATACTATGGTTCGTTTAAATAACTGACATTATCTTGCAGTAAATGGACAAGGAAAAAGTTTACAAAACAATGAATGAATAAAGAAGAAGACGTTAGAAGACTAAAAATCACAACATTTGTTTTCTAATGAGAAAAAAAATTTACAATCAAATGTGTATGAGTTAACGGATTACGTTATATTTAGCAAGATATCAATATCCAAACTACTAAGTCTCAAAGAATTAAGGAGTTTATATTTCATTCTACAGTTTACATTCAAACATTAATTACGTTTTGATTATCTTTCAAGAAACTGTGTATGATATGCAGAAATAGCTGAATATTTGATAAATAGAACACATTAATCAAATATATTATATCTACATTTTAATATCATATTGACAATCGAGATAGTCATAGTAAATAGACAATTTTTATCCATAAACTAGAGAGTACAAGTTGAACCAAAGCCAAACTGATTGATACATTCAGTAATTATTTAGTAATTAATTAACATCACATATTATACGATAAATAAAATCAAATAGATTGTATTTCGACTAAATGTTGTACCATAGAAAAGTAATAACTGCTATCTTAATAGAAAAAAAAATTAAAACTGAAGAGAAATTATTTACTTACAACCTGTCAACTATGAATATGACGATATTTATTCACTATGATTGATAAACTTATCTAATTTTGGGAAACACAACTCATATGCAATGATCAAGTACAATCTCTACCAAAACATGCATCATCACTTATTCTATTTATAGCATTGTCAATAACAGTCAAAACAAAACGATCATCATCAACACCACCATATTACAAAGCTTGTTTCACACAGAAATCGAAGCCAGCAACAAAAAAAAAACAAAAATACAGCAGCAATCAGAACATTCACACATATTCATGCAGGTGAACAACAGGTACGAAAAAGAAAATAGATATATATGAATATATGTACAATTATGCTTAAATATAAGTTTGTGCAGTAAATATTAAACGCAAACAATTGGCATTTCACTAGTGTGTACATGGAACCAATAAGAAAAATAAAACATAGCTAAAATCATTCGGTTAAATGAATAAAGTTAAGTAATATTTCAAAAGGAAGCAAAAAGGAATAATTAATCAAAGGTGACTATTATTCAATTAAAAAGAAAGTGGTAAATTACAAAACATGCCATTTTTCCAACATAATAAGTTGGATATTACAATCTTATTAAAAGTTATGAAGAGATTATACAACCAGACCCACCAATCAGGACAAGGTTCACCGTTGTTTGGGCGATGGCTAGAAATAGATAAGTGAAGTAAAGCAAAAATAGGTCATACGATGGCATAAGAATTAAAACAAAAAAAAAGTGGAAGAAGTGAATGACAAAGAAGATTTGGAATAAATTAACATGCACGCATTGCACAATGATAACTAATGTTGCGAAAATTTTGCACTAGTGCTAATCGAAGCCTATCTACTTGCTTAAGAGTGTAATAAACTTTCTATAACATTGCTAAACTAGCTGTCAGTATAGAGGTAACTGAGGAGACTACTGGATTGCCAGTTTTACATCATGAACTGATTTTATTCAAACAACCAGATGTTTCGTTCGAAGATCAGAGTTGTCGGTAGTATGTACCCAACCAGTAATCTACACTTCGAGTCAGTTAGTGATTTGTCTTAATAAACCTTGATACATCTGAAAGGATCCGGTAGCAATCGGAAAATCTCAAGAGTAAAGTCCTTCAATATGACTGTACTGACACAAGTTTTATGTCTTAGATATTATACACTTTCCCGAGGTTTAGGATAAACCTCTCTTAATGAGTTTAATCAGTTCGCAGGATACCATGTTGGACAAATCTAATAAAGGAATACCGAAATGAGCTACAAGTTGAATACAATGATAGCATACACATCGTTTTATCAGTGAACATGCTGAAATGAATACTACCAAAACAAAATATTTATTTACAAGCACAAGGTTGTGATCTTATAAATCATTAACAATCGACAGCAACAATAATATCATATCTGCTAGTAATCAGAAGAAACTCCTAGATTGATGCGAAAGGAAAATGAAACATTTGTCCAGCCCTACCGGTCTGGCAATGCGTTTAATCATAAGGAGAAACAGTAAAGACCACATCCAGTTAAATTAGAGACAGCTAAAGTGATAGAAAAGAGTAATATTTATGCTTTTTAGTTAGCTAGAGTGCCAATTAATATTAAACAAACATTTACACAAATGAAATTAGTAGTTTATTGGGTTAATTTTCAACAACTAAACATCCTTATACTACTGTATAGTACAAATATATCACTCAAACCTTGGACGGAATGATGGTTTTGTGGTTAAATAATTCGATTTCGTTCAAACTGCATTGCTTGGTAGATCCTGGCCTTATAGCCAGTCCTTACATATGAAGTGCAACTCATAGCCAATGCCTTCAACAGGTGTAGCTTGGTAAACGAATTTAGAATTATTGCAAGCTTCACTCAAAGTTTATCAATACAAAGCACAGAATAACGCTTGAAATTATTCTGATTATTAAACAAATCGATAAAAACATGTTTCACGATAGATTAAACTCTTATGGATACCTATTCAAATTGTGAGAGCTGTCGACAAACTAGGTTTCGATCCATTAAACAGCCTACATCAAATCATTAGTAAGATGCATGTTGACACACAACCCAACAACTGACCAGTGATACGATTAGTTAGTTCTAAGGGGCTAGTTAGACAAGATGAGATAAATTAAGAATGTTACAGGTTATAGGAAGGAAAAGTGAGCATCAAACAGAAAAGACTAACATAAAAATGTTAAGAAAATATCATACAGGGTAAAATTTCAAAGTCTTAGACAGAAACAGAACGGTACCTGGAAACATTTTTGCATGCAAACAAACATTAAATAATTGTTGTACTGCATTGGAAAGTGTTTGAATCTAAAAAAAATAGGATCCAGACTTTGTGTGTGAATGGGATTGTGACAATCAGAAAATTTGAATATTCGGGATTTTATATTATATGAGGTCAAATGTATGTACTGAGGAACTACATAATAGACAAAGATATAGCCGTTTAACGATCCGTGATATTTACAACTCTACACCAGTAGTTGGTATGAGTCCGTGATAAAATATTCTTTAATACTGTAGGACTTTATAAACTACTAAACAGATAAATCCCTGCGTTCATGAAACAACTGGGAGATTCTTTCCACAGAGTTTACATGGGAGCAGAAAGAAATGCTTCTAAAAATGTGATAGGCTTAAATAATTTATATTTGTATACTAATTCTTCAAGAAAAAAAATATATACATATAAGATAACTGACTCATTAAACAATATCAAACAAAAACTACCTTAAAACATTCACCATCATGACTTTCCAAGTTTATGTGCATTATGGTTCAGTAGTTTGGCGGATAACACGTTAGCCTTTGCTGAGTTCGAGTCTGAGTGTGAACATTGAAAGTGGGACACAGTTATATCTATCTAGGATAAAAACTCGTGTTTTGAATATGTTTGCTTACTACTGCCCAGAAGTATGGTATCCCTATTTATCAACACAGTCTACATAAAATCATGATTATTTCTTCAAGCCTAAAAGCGAAATTCTCGGATACTCATCGAACTATTAATTTTATACATAACCGCATCAATATCAGTTCATATTTACTAGATTAAATTAAAACAACATAATATCTACCGAAAACAGAAGCGCAACTTGAGTAAACACATAAAGCATCAATGGAGACATTTATTAACCCAGTATAACAAATTAAACCGTACATCAATCATATCACACCATGTGGGTTAAACAACTAACTGCTGAGCTAACTTATCAATAAATGATGGACTTTAGAAGAATAAAAAAAATCAAAATCACTTTAAAAAACAAACAAACTAATATGTGTAGTTTTAGTAATATCAAAAAACAACACAGGGAGTGATATGTTTATAATTATTTATGGGTAGGTAGCACTATTAACACCAAACATGAAATGAATGAATTAGACAAAATAACATTATTGAATTGTGTAGGATAAGTACACTGTTGTAAACAGTAAGACAATCGAAGTCAAACAAACATCATACAACATACAAATTATGCATAAAAGTGACTGAATTCACAAACAAAACTTTGAATAATGCACAACAATAGTTTCCACAATACGAAATCACATATGCTGTTGTAAAAAAAATTACAAAGTTACTTAATAGCTTACTTTGAATATTTATTTACAAAAAATTTATTTACTCATCTTTATAACAAGTAGACATTGTTAGGATGGATTAATTCCTAATTACTAATATCTAAACATAACTGAAATACTACTAAAAAGGTTAATCCATAACCCAGATAGAAGAGAATTTATTAGTTGGAAAGAAGAGGACGATCATAATGTCCAAAAAAAAATATCAAAAACTATCAAAACGCGAAGTACATTTAACACTTGTAAAGAGAACAACAAAAGTAATCACTCAATATGTACAAATATATATCAAAAATATCTTACAACAATATACCATATAGTCCAGGGATTTGATGAAATCATAGAGCACAGACTTTGCAATGTCAATAATTATTCTGTATTTCTTTTTCAAGTATGATATTTATAGTACGCAGAATGTTAATTAAGTCAAATTATAAAGAATTAAACTGAAAATAACCAGCCTTGAATACTGCATTTTCACTTTTAGCAATTTACACTTATCTGATGAGCTGAAAATGTAAGGAGTCAGACGACATTTCATTTGGAAAGTACTTAATACTGGCGCAATAAAGGACTTCATATCCAGACACGAAAACCTAAGAAATGAAATCCTGATCCTGTTTCATAGAGTGACTCAAAAATTAAAATTCATGTATTATGACCCTATTTAAACACACCTGTGCATGACTTCGGAAATAAAGTATCTAAAATTGAGACGGGAAGATGCAAGAAAAAACTCAGGAAAACTTATTCCTGATGAGGTATGCAAACGCAGAGTAGTCTACCGTCGAACGTCAGATTGTCGAATAACCTGCATTCATTTGTTCTATTGCTTAATAACACTATTAATGGGTCCGTACATTCAGCATGCGTAACTACCTCATGACCAGGCGCAACTACAATCACCTCACTGAATGTCCAAAAGAACATACTTACAATATCGTTCTAACTAAAGATTATACTGTAACAACAGAGGTAATGACAAAAACAGCTGTTTTCAGCATCCGTATACGTCGTACAAGAACCCGGGATAATTCGTGTTACGTATAATCGCAAATGTAAACATCTCCTGTGCTCATATTTCTCTCTCTCTCTCGATTATATATACAGAGGTGCTCTGGATCGATATGCCACGTCTAAACCCCATCGGTTTTACAATCCCAAATTCACTGAAGTAGCAGGATGATAACGGGTCGTTGATATGAACAGGTATACATAAATTTCCCTAGATAACTGAACAAATATGGTAAGCTTACATAATCATCTCTCATCATGTCTCTACATCACAAAAGGCACACACTGCCCGCCAACAGATATGTCAGATGACTCAAGTAAACAAAATATTGATATCGATTCCTTATTGTTGGAGTTTAATCAATTGAAAACATTCTACTGGCTTAAATATATTCTCATAAATGGTATATCATCAATCAAGATCATATGAAGAACTAGCTGAACATGCACAACTATGCCTGTACTGTGGTATGAAATCTATAAAAACGTTTTTGGAAAAAAAGTACTATTGTTTTTAACCTTTTGATGGGGTTGGTTTTTGTATTGTGGGTAGTGCGATACGAGGTTTTCAAATAAACACGATCCATTCCGGTTTGAATTTCAAAAAAAAAGAAACCTAAAAATCTATCAACCACCTCGTTACTAACTAGGGTAATTAAGTTTATAAGATAATAATCATAATCACACTTAATAATTATAATAATATTTTAATGTGTCCAAATAAACTTGATAAATATTATATTCTAAACGAACAGTTAAGTACACTATGCTTCTTGCAACATGAATATATTCAAAATACTTTTGAATTGCATATTTGAATACTATACAACAAAAAATAAATGGTGAGAATATAGCTTATGGATGACTTTTGAGTGATACCATTGTGATTGAGAAAACTTGCCTAATTACTACAGCCCAAAGAGAGTTAAAAATTAGTGTGAAGATTCGGAATCGGGCTTTAAAGTTAGAAGTTAGGGTTTTCGTCACGAACATACACTAGCTGTAATGACAAACTGATGTTTAACCATATGCATAAATGAACCTGGCGCTAAAATCCACGATGCTCTATCTTAAATCTCGTTGGTTCGTCGATAAATTATAGTCAAATAAGTATATTCAGTCGTAAAACAAAATGATATAGTAAAGATATGTTTTACACTGATCACACAGATGTCAAAGGCCATACAATCATAATTAAACTGAGAAAAAAACACTAAACAAAACTGATCTAAGATAATAAGCAATCTCTTAAACTTAATTCCAATAAAGTGAATAATTTAAAAGAGCGAAACTTTGTAAAGCGGTAATCAATTACTTACTACACCTATCCACAGTACTTTTAATGTGTCATCTAAGCCACTCTGATTTATTGATGCAACTTTTTTTTTCATGTGTACATGTATCTCTGAGTACGTATGTTCATTAAGTCAGATGATGATGGTCAAAAAGAAAGAGAATTAGTTTTCCTAAACAATATTTTGCACTGTTAAATTTAAAAAGAAGTAAACATTTAGCAGAGCCCACTATTTCTTCATCCTATTTACTTTGCATCAGTGATTTCATTTTCACACTAAACTTACACCCTATGATCTAACTAGCTTTGGTTAGTTTTCACTGAATATCTATTGTGTACTTGTGTTATACCAAGTTAATAACTTTAAGAAGAATAAAACACCACTATCTATAGACATCATTATCAAGCTTTAAACTTGATAATTTCAAATTATTTGAGCATTAGGTATATCACGACATTTGTAAAATGAGTTGAAAATAGAATAGTAAAGATAGGTAATTGGCTGAAGCTTTACATATACTGTTAAACTCTACCATATTTCTCATAAGCAAGAAGACCTAAGGATAACTTAAGAATGAATCATTCATTTAGATATCCACAGTCAATTCTATGGATACGTACCATACATATTACTATAATTGCTTAATAGTTTTAATAAAATCTATTAATTTAAAGCATACAGTTTGGATATTACAATGATATTGAATGCATCAAAACTAATTTATAATACGAACAAGAATACTACTACTCACCCAGCATGCAATCGTGTACATTCATCGACATCTGTATAACGTGCATCTGATAAAATTTTTCGCATAAGTGGAGTACAAATACGTTGACCGATCACTAGTTTTTCTTCTTTTGTTATACCATATTCCTGTGGGATAAGCAAAAACGAAAGATTAAAACATAAATAAACGTTTTGTATTGATGTGACGAAGGGTTGAAGAAAAATTTGAAAAATGGTATAAAATACAGTCATTAATTTGAAGAAATTAGTGTAAAGTTCGCTTTTGTATAAAACATACTAAATTATTTCTAATAACAACCATAAACCTATGTCATTTATCATATTGGGACGATATCTGAACATCAATTAAGGACGGATGTATTGTGCAACAGTATGCTCTATGATACTGGAAAATTGAGAGACCAAGTCATTGAGAGTAGACAACATAACATTTACACTAATGGAATATAAGTCATACGTGAGATTAAACTGTCCAGTGAATGAAATTGTGATCATTTCAAAGGTTGCTAAATTTTGGAAACCAAGGAAATTGATCTGTATGTCACAAATGCTAAAACATCATTTACTGGAACAAAATAATAGGAAGACGAAAAAGGTCAAATATAACCAGGTTTAAACTCGACTATGATAAATAAGAATTCATTTAGAAATAAAGTAGTAAAAGTTAAGTACCCTAAGTGATTTTCATAATTTCCGGAGTCGAACAAATGATACTCAACTCGAATGAATGTCTCACAACTAAGAATTGAACTAATCAGAATTATTTTTATCTAGGCGACCAATAATCGAGGAGACAACAAACACTATGTTTATCTCCTGTGAACTATTGATGACGATGACAGACAAACCTTTTCCTGTGGATAGTAAAGTGCACTGAACACAGTGTGTTATTGGAGGATGCTGAAAGCCGCTGAATTAAAATTTCTTTCACCATTAGATACACATAGAATAAGTCTGTGAACACAAATGCATTTTCCATCGTACTGTCATCGACAGTTACAGTAGATAACCTAATGTTTATAGTCTCAACTGACAGTGGCTGAAAAAGAAGTCGGGATATTGAGATGGTAGAGAAAATATGTAGCTCAGGTGGATGACTGTAGTGCAGTTTCGTTCTCTGAACTGGATATTTTGGTTGTGGAGCTTTCATTGTTTTCTGAACAACATCATCAGCACAAATTTCAGATAGAAGTGAAGTATTTGAATTTCTCCACGTTTGACCCGTAGCTTGTTCTGTTAACCTCGATCTTGATTGGTTCCTGTTGTCCTTAAACCTATCGTTATTTTGATTGTTCCCCTTTGATCTGTTTCTTGATCCTATGTTTGCCTATGATTTTTCTGATTGGTAGATAAATTGGGTCAATGTCGATGTGTTTGTTAATTGACCTGAGTACCAAGCTTCCTTGTTCTCCCTCTATCCAGTATTTCAACATTGTGTGAATCGAACTTATGTCCATAGTTGTCCGTATGTATTGATACAAGGGAAGAAATGTTGTGGCGTTAGATTGCTAATCGATGTTCACGCAAACGTCCACTTTGTCTTATGTAGTGTTTTTTACAATCCGAGTCGAGTTACTGCAGATCGGGGTTATGTTACTGTATCTAGTGAAACGTTTTGTTGAATTAAGTGGAAGCTATTCAGTTTATAAGATATGAATAGTTTGTGGGTCACCATCAATCATAACTTAAATAAATTTGATTTCTGTTCACTTATACATTTTAAATAATCCCTTTATGTACTCAATTTGTTTCAAATTACATTTTATCACCCGTCCTCTTATTGTTAGTCTTGGACTAATGCATTGATTTTCGATGATCTGTGTTATAGGGCCTTTCTTGGGATTGGTTTTATTCTTATTGGTTTATCTTAACCTTTGACAAGATTTAAATGAGTTGCCATTAGTAGGATGTGCATCGGTATATTAAATAGTAATAACCCTATCCCATTTTTAGTTTCAAATACCTAGGATTAACGTAACAATAGTTTTTGGCTGAGAATGATATCCAACGACAAATTATGATTACAAGCTTGAATATCAACTAGGATGAATTTTATCAGTACGAATAAAATTACTGATGACCGAAAACAAAACACACTAGAAACAATTCCATCTACCTTGAATACAAAAAAAAACGAATCGTTAAATATCTTTACCTACTTCTTAGTTCAAATAGCTAGGAAACCATCTACAATTATCAAAACTCAATGACAATATTCATTAAAAGGAGCATATAAACATAGTTTTGATTCTATAACAGAAAATTTATCGAATTATATGAAAAATATCTTCTCACTCATTAAATGTCAGTAGCATAAATAGAAAAAAAAATTTGAATATTTTATTGAACATAATGGTTAGTAAATGTTACCAGTAGAACTTGAAAATTATAGACCAGCATTAGTTAACAAGACTGAACCAGTAACAAATTAAACTAAACACGGGATTGAGTGATAAGCATTGATTTTAGTAAACAACGACAATAACGAACAAATATGGATAGAGTTAATAATGACAATAAAAAACAGACTACATTCGACTCATAAAATTAAGCTTAAAAAAAATCATATTTAATTCAGCAAATGCTATTTAATAAGTATGAAAAAGTTTTCATAATCAAATTGACATGTATGGAAACCTTTCTGTTTTAGATGAATCTTAACGCTAGACAGTTTAAATATCTAAAATGTTTTAACTGCTTAAAGAAAACCAAGAAAGTACATTAAAATGTAGTCTTATTCCATATGAGTATCTATATTGCTAATTTATCGTGAACATTCCACAAAATAGTTGTCCTACGCAAGTTCATTTCTTGTTCTCGTAATAGTCAATAAGTCATTTACAACATGGAATTTGCTACGTACGTACTTCAGTTAAACTTGCCATAACCCATTAAAAGAAGTCAAACTGTCAGGTAGAATTCCATAAACAGTAGAGGCAGTAACAGTATCAGTGTTGATCGATTAGATAAGGAATCAAAGTTACGATTCAAGAAAATTCAATCAGTGAAATTGAAACAAACCTATTATCGAATATTAGTAATCTAAGAATATTCTCACACCCATTAATTAGCACGGAGCGAGCTACTGAGCAGAAAACTTGTCTTGTAGTTTGTAGAAAGATTTCTTGTCCATGCCACAAGTAATGCAAGTTGTCACAGCAATGGCTATTATAATACGTAATCGTAATCAAATATAAAACTTTAGTCTGAACAACAACTGGGAGACGCCTTTGGATTTTCAAAGAGACTTAAAAAAAATTGAGACTTTTACATGTGACACAGAAATTTCATAGTGTAAATATGATTTACAGAGAACAAAGAACGCTAAAACTAAACTCGTCTTCAACCGTCTGCTAATCCACCTAAAAAAATTGCTTGTCAGTATAGATATGTTCGAATAGGAAAGTAAAGAGATTGCTAACATATAATTAAAGGACCAGCTACTCATTGGGAACTGAAAGAGAAAATAGGATAAATTATTTTATTTAAGTTCATTGGAAATTACGATATTGCATCCAGTCATAACCAACGTACAGCATAGGATAAGTGTTGACTGAAGGTGTTATACGATGTCAGAAAGATTAAATGAGCTTAACAAGGTTGACCTCAAGAGTTGAAATGTCTCAAACTTTACAAAACTTGACTCACAGCAACGGAGTAAAGTAAAGCAGAAGTACACTTGTACTTTGATTAGCAAACGGTTATCAACTCAACACAATGGGATACAAACGTACGCGAAGAAACATCAATGAATTAGTAGTTTGCATTTAACTGCAGTTCTTGATTTATCTTAGGTCCTAATTGATCCGATAACTTTTTAATGTTTCATTTTTCTGCTGTCCTTTCTTCTTATATATACAATTTAAAATACTGATCTACGAACGACTGTAACAGTCGGACGCAAATTTAAAGTAATTCATAATTAAATTCAAGATTAAATTATCGTCTCTACAGAAAATAAACTTGAACCTATATCATGTTACTATTGTTATTATTATAATGGCTAGAAATATATCAAATCACCTGTGGAACAATAATATCAGCTAGCGACTTTGCACACATAAAAAAATCTTGCACTTCAGATTCTAGTAAGATGCCAGAATTATGCTGCAAATCATATTTTATATTGTCGTATATATCTGAGATTTTAGAAAGATCATATTCTCCTTCGGGAGATCGAAAGTCTTTTAATAGCTTTCCCCAACGTCTGAGCAATAAGTCCCAACTTTCACCTTGATATAAGTGGATTCGGCTTCGTTCTTTGGAACTTCTTGAGAGCCATGCAAGACGATTAGATAACAAGCGAACATGTTCAAACAGTCGACCACATGCTCTATACGGATTTTCAACATACTGCATAGCATTTATGATTGAACGTGCACCGGTAGGAACAAGAGTGGCAATATCTTGAGCAGTGAAATCGCTGTTTTTCGACATCACTTCATTAATTTGACGTTTGACCATCTGCTGATAATGACGACAATCGTTATCATTATCTAAAAGACCGTTCGTATTAGCTGACTTAACCATCTGAACAAGGATTGGAGGCAGTTCCCCTTCTAATGCTAAGAAACCTTTAGCAAAAGCTGCAGCTGTCATTTGCACCCGACCCTCATCAGATGCGTAAATCTTCAAATCATGCCGATAAGTACTGTGCAAACGTAATAATCCAAGACCAGGATCTTTACCGTAGTGGCCATCTCCACCTGGATAAATACACCGGAAAGCTTTTCCTAAGGTTTCTGCCTGCTGTTTGCCTGCGGCTGTTAATTCTCCACCCCATTTCGCAACAACTAACAGACAAGGTTGGGTGTTGTCACATTCGTTAGTACATGATATTGGAAAACCACCTGAAAAAATTTCAAAATGATCATTGTAAATCCAGGGATTTCGGAAAAAATGTTTCACTTATGGCGAAAATAATCCACTAAAATAATCAATATATGTGCTAGTTCAGTCACACGACCACAAAAGTGATTTCATGTGTTAAATCATTGTCACCAAGAAATGATCTTGTTTCTCAAGGGTAGGCATAGTTGCTTTTTTAAACAACGTATTTTTACTAAACATATTAAATGTAAGCGTATTTTTATTTACGTTCATAATGCTAATGAAATGCTATCGTAAACAAATTACATCAGTAATAGACTTCTTTTAAACTAAATATCTGTGGATTTCAGTCAATCATGCTTAGTGTCAAAACACTAATTGTATTTCTCATTGAAAACATACTTAGCATAGATGGATAAACAGGTGATTTTCTAAAAAGTGACAACAGCAGCTGATAGAAGATAGAAAGTAATGACTTCAGTTTACGCGATGTACAGCGCATAAAAAAGGTTTGTTATTGACATAGACCTCCAGATCATATGTCTCTTCTTAGCTAAATAGATACGTAACAAAACGAATAAAGGATAGGATTGAAAGTAGGAATTTTAAATTCTGAAGATTCCAAACACCGAAGAATAAACTGAGTTTAATTTGTGATTATCAACCGTTCAAGTAAGTTGTGCTATCTTATCCCGGAGTTGAGTTCATCAGCCAAGCAAAAAGTATCCTACCACACTGGTGTTGATATTGTCGATTATAGCTGTCTTTCCACAGACGTGTTGAAAGAAACCTACGAATATGCAATCCAGCTGACATATTCTGGTAGAAGGTAACTTCTAAGTATTGGTTGCAAACATATGAACGACTAAATGAGGAATGTTGAGTTGGCCATAAAGTACCAAGTAAAGATAGTAAATCAATTGATGATCATTCAGTCAGTCAGCTACAACGTAGAACTTCGTACGTATGCACATCAGGTCATGATCCCATACCACATTAGCATAGAGACGCAACTGTCAATTCAAATCCCGTAGTGGTAGATGTGGTAGAAGTATTAGCAATAATCGGAAAGACTACAGTTTGAAGATATTGCTCAACAAGTATAATCTTGTGTAATAAACTTAGAAAGGGAAAGATAAGGGTGATGAGGAATTCAGAAGATTAGAATTTGAGAAGACACAAAGAATGGATGCACCTGCTCCATTGAAAACATCTTTGAGCCATGTCATTCAAGGTCTCTAACAATCGGTGACTTTCATCTCACGGACTTCAACCAGCTAGTCTACACCAATTAGCATGGCATAGTCCACTTGTCAACGGCTTCATGAATTTGTGCCATGTTTTGGTTTAGCCACCCGTAGCGTTCTTCCAGCCTACCCCTACACCACAAAACATAACTCGTCAAGGCAGTCGGTGGTTGGGCATACGTAACACATGTCCCAACCATCTGAAGTGATGAAGTATCATAATTTCATCCATTGGTCTGCCATCCTTACTATTCATCTCTTGATCAGCATCCTATTCATTGAGTTTAACAATCGGAAATTTCATCTCGTAAAATTGAAAAAGCCTCCTCCAGCCACTGCCAACCTCGACATATCATATTGCCAGGTGTAGGGGTAAGTTGAAAGAAAACTAGGGGTGGATAAACCGAGACAAAGTCCTTGAAATTATCATGATATATTGTTCGAGACACTGGATAGAATTCGCTCAGAATCGGTCTCAATGGCGAGGACTCATTCAAACGTTTTCATTAGTCCTTGAGTTTCAAAATTACGTTTTGCTCGATGAAGTAACTGCTTATTTTAAAAGCATCTTCTTTATACTCAATTATATTTGCTGCTACTTTAAGTACGCTCGTATTCATCATGATAACTTCATCTCACTGTCCTAGTGTAATTTGATAACTTGGACAGGTTGTAAGTTGATTTTGACTGACTGTTTAACTATTATTGATACTTTCAATTTTTAAGAGGTTCGAAACTACTACGTTGGAACCTTTCATGGATAAAACGTTGTGACCAAATTCCATTCGTAAAAAAATTAACATACGAAATGAAAATAGAATGATGAATATGATGAGTAAAAAATTTGATAGTGAAATTTTCTAGACAGAGTAGTTAATTTGTATAGTAGTTAGTAACGAAGTCCAGAACTCATGTTTCATCTTATTCCGGAGTTATCAGCTGAGTGTGCTTACATTCCAGTGTTGATGCTCACCAACAAACTTTACCAAAGACTTGTGACAATTTAGCAATATCAAGATGCACGTGTTTCTCCTAATCTAGAGATACTAATGCTTGCTGAAACTAATACAGGCTATGTAGGCATTTGACGCGAAAAACTAGAATGTTTTAACCGAAAAACCTCAGTACAGACTAATTTATGAATAAGTATCATACAAATGTGATTAGAAAACAAAGTATACATTTTAACGAAACATTATACAAGAAAACTGAAAGACAATCTAACTTGAGTAGCCAATCTTTGATCCTTTACCAAGTCCATTTGGTTGATATTTCAACTGAATTTTACGGTTAATTCCACTAAATGACCCATACATTTCCAGAACATATCTAGTAATAAAGTAAGGACAAATATGTCACCGAAAACTACTGAACAAGTTTAACAAGCAAGAAGTAATGACTATTTAATGACAAGTTAAACTGTCTACCTAATACTGCCTAAATGAGAATTTTTATAGGCGACAATAACCATTACATATAGTCACTGCTAGATCTAGAAATATATTGCTCGTCTAAGAGTTTTATTGCATAATTTTGTTTCCTTTAAAGAAGAATAACCTAATTGTAGCACCAACATCTTTAACAACTGATTACGATGACTTCCTGAATGGAAACCGAAAGTTAGTGAATTCATGGCTTTAGATATTCTGAAGGCTATTCAATTCAAGCATGCCAGTCAATAAATGGTTATAACCATATTGATTAACTTATTATCTTTGACTAGTACTCTAGTACTCTACTAACCATAGTTTGATCATATCATTATTGTACTTCAAAAATATCTTTAACTAAATTCTTGCAACCTATCTATCCCTATCCACTTACACTCCAACGTTTTACATGGGTATAGTGAAGGAGAATGGATGGTTTGATAATTCTCGGGGATTAATCAGCGTACCGTAATATGACTGACTGTGAAACAAGACCTATCAAAACCCATTTAATGGACATGTTTAGGACACAGACTACCTCTTATGGCACATACTGCATCTCGATAGATGATAAAAACAATATTAACATTATCTTGTTGTAAGAGTTGGTACTTCCAAGTTGTCAGTATTAAAGAGTGTGATTCGTAGTTTGGGGACTATATGAACTCACCAGTTTAGTAGCACGTCAGCAGTTAAAAACATAGGTACTTAGTTCGAGCTTAAGTGTGAACGTCAGCAAGAACAAAGATATATACAGCCAAGGGGTTAAAAATAAAATAAAAGGTGCGTTCTAACTCCCACCACCACAAACAATCCAAATATACAAAAGGCTGTCTCACTATTGAACAAAATGTAGCATATTCTAAATCGATCAAAAATTATGACGTAAATCTGCCTCTTACCTTACCTACTTTTACCCTCACATTTCTGAACATATCCATACTTTTACTATGGCGTTTTATAAAACATACTATGTTCCAGAACAATCTACGGCAAAAGTGACACACTTCTGTTTAAAAAGTATCAACTCACTTGAGTTGCTCAAACTTTGGTCTAATTCGCAGAAGACAATTATCAGTACACTGGCCAGAATCGATTTCTTCTAAAATCGATCGTACAATATCCAAGATTTCTTGTAGTTGGGTAGGACGTTTGATTTTTAGTTCATGAGCCCAACCACCAGCGTATTTGGTGAAAAATGAGAAAAATTTCTGGTGGCAAACTTCCATTTTCATTTTCTGTTTCGGTGTTCTGTCACCATGACGAATGACAGCGATTACACAACGAAGTTCCATAATTGCTCCACAAGTTGTGGGCACCAGTGGAGTATCTACATCCGTACCCGGAGGCAAATTGGTCGGTAAACACAAGCGCGGTGCTATTTTTCGCGTAATCAACACACCAAGAATATGACTACAGTCATCATAGTACTTTTTGGAAGACTTTACGAAAGAAAATCCATTTACATCACAAACATAAGACATCCCATTAGCTCGGAGTAGATCGAAACCACAAATTTGCTGCCGAACAGCTTTTGCTACTTTCTTGGCAATGATTTTTTCTCTAGGGGTAAGTATCACAGGATAGCGAACTTCTTTGCCCTCATGATCTCGTTCTACTTTTCCATCTAAAGCAGGAGACTTTCGAGCCTCTGCATGAGCATAATCGTCTGCGACCGTATAAACCTAAGTGGGTTTCAATAGCGTTATCGTTATGAAGTTAACAGTAAAATTATTTTGTAAATTATAACAAAGATCATAACAGCATATCTAATACCAACTAAACTGCAGATCTAGTAACTGTGTGCACAAAGTTTTAGATTCGTAAAACGTTACACCTAAAATTTGGCATGAAAGCATCTGGAGATTAAAACGCTACCTGAAGATTATAAGAGTATTCCTAGTTAAAACGGTAAAGTGACTTAATGCATGCGGCGATAAACACTCTGAAGTTAGAGCAAATAATTAAAATAAAGTCATAGCTAAACGTAGTGACTTGGAATAACATTGAAAATGGGAAAAGCTTAGTCAGTAACTTTCGTCACTTGTACTACCACAGCAACTTAAAGTCATTCAATAACTCATCTTAAATACGATCGGTCAACTCTCAGACTAAGTTGGTGTCTGAAAATTCAAGAAACCTATCACTACACTGGTCATTTAAAATCTTAAAAGTCATTTTGACATCTAATTTGTCACCAAGTTCATCGAATAATATGGGATCAGAAAGAGGTATCATAAAGTCAATTGAAAAACATAATTCAAAGAACTCCCTCAGTACAATATGCAGTTTTTCATTTTCTTTTCATACATTTAGAGAATTTGTTGCTGCACATATAGTTCAACAGAGATTTCCTAACAGTGGTTAAGCGCACACATTACGGTTAAAACATTTCTGCTTTATTTTCTTTCGATATATGTATCTTCAGTAGGTTTCGTCGCAATAAAACTCATGAAATTTGATGTAATTGTTTTCATGTTTCATCATAGTCAGTTAGCCAATCGTACACAATGTAGAACCTGGTGCATGCATGCATCCATTCAAACTATCATGCTCCATAGGCAAAGTGAGATGGTTAGGGTAAATCCCTAAGTATTAAGGGTTTCTATCACAGCGATTAATCGTTTTAGCTTCTCAGAACTTGGTAGGAGTTCACAAAAGTACTATCAGTCGTAAACATCATGATACCCTACTTATTTGCATCCCTCAAATCTATATACAGAGTTACTAACTTATGCCTGTTACCCCAAATGGAGCATAGGCCGCCGACCAGCATTCTCCAACCTACTCTGTCCAGGAGCCTCCTTTCCAGTTTTACCCGATTGTTATTCATCCTTTTCATTTCTCTCTCCGATTCTCGATGCAGTGTTTCTTGGTCCACCTCTTTCCTTTGACTCACTTGGAACCCTCAGGAGGGTTTGCTCTACACAGTAAAACTGTTTTGGTATCAGTATTGAAAATTCTGACTTTCTTGTAGGTGGAAGTTGTTTTGAATCCCAGATGTTCAATTGTATCAGTGATAGATACAACACAGAACTTCGTACGTACGTACATCAGTTCAGGTTGCCATACCTCATTACCACAGAGACGCAACTGTTAGTTCAAATCCAAGAGTGATAGCGATAATAGAAGTATTAACAGTAATGGAGAAGATTAGGGTTCGAAGATATGATTCGAGAAGTATAATTCAGTGAGACAAATTTGTAAAGAGAAAGATAGAAATGATGTGGAATTCAAAAGATTAGATTTTGAGAGAACACAATCAATGAATGTACCTGTGCGATTGTAAACGATTTTAAGCCATGTCATTTAAGGTCTCTAACCATCGGTTACTTTCGTCTCGCAGACCCCAACCATGTAGCCTACATTTGCCAAAATGACTCAGTTCACTTATCAGTGACTTCATGGATTTGTGCCATGTTTTGGTTTAACCGCCCCTAGTTTCCTTCCAACCTTCCACAAAACATTGTTCGTCGAGGCAGTCGGTGATTAGGCATTCGTAACACATGTCCCAACCACCTTAACTGATGAAGTTTCAATGCTTCAGTGTTTTCACATCTGAGTCAAACACATCTTGCTTATCAGTGGCGCTGTCCAGCTATGTAAAGGTTTCCAATTCTTGCTAAGCTTCTCCATCAAGTGTGATTTGGTCTGTGCATGTTGTGTTGTAGCGGAATATCTCGCTTTTTACCTTGTGCATGTTGATACCTACTACTTTTGAGGCTGCTGCTGCTCCACTGGTCACCTTTATCTGCATTTGTTGTTGTGGGATAGAAGATATAAACCACCCAAGCTTTCCACAGTAATCCGTGCTTCTCTCCAGATATTGACGTCTTTATAATCAAGTTAGATGCCTAAAGAAAGAGGAAGGAATAGAGTGAGCAGCCTCGTCTGACATCGGTCTCCACTTGAAATGAATCTGTAAGCTGCCTTCCAAGCGCGATCTTGCAGTTTAATCTACCATAAGAATTCCGTACGATGTTAACTATCTTCTCTGTGTCATTTGGTTCACGCTATCAAATGCTTTCTCGTATTCAAGGATGATGATGTATAGTGGTGAATTCTATTTAACTGATTGTTCCACAGTGATCTGTAGTGTCAGGATTTGGTCGATACATGATCGATGCTTACGTAATCCAACCTGTTGATCTAAAAGTTGGGCGTCTACTCAATCTTTTATCCGGTTCAACAACACTCTGTTGAAGACTTTTCCTGGTACTGAGAGTAGAGTAATGCCCCTGTAGTTCTCATACTTCCTGAGATTTCCTGTTTTAGGTATTTTGCTGGGGTATCCTTCTTTTCAGTCTGTTGGCACTTGTTCTTCCTCTGAAATCTTGCTGAACTGAAGGTGAAACATTTTTGCAGTTGCTGCTATATCTGTTTCCAGTTCCTCAGCTGGAATGTTGTCTGGTCCTGCTATCTGATGGCCATGCTGATTTCTTCGATTTTTAGTGGGTCAAGACCAATAAAATTACTTATCAGCGAATCTATTTCATAATAAGTACAACTAACATATAGCCTCCGTACCTATTTAACCATAAAATATAAAGAATATACTCACTAGAAACCAATTTCGTTAAATTTTTCTAAGTAATACAAGCTCTGTTAACCTAATATAAACTTTTAGATCACAGTGTCATTTTAATCAACTATATACTGACAAATCAGACTTAGTTGTTGCAGCAACTAGCCATATTCATCTAAATGAGTTGAAATATACATCGTGGAGGAATTCCGTTCTCTGAGTGGATGTTCTGGTTGTGGAGCTTTCACTTTTCTTCAGAACAATATCATCAGCACAAGCTTCAGACAGAAATGAAGTATTTGAATTTCTCCACGTTTGACCCGTAGCTCCACAACCAAAACATCCAGCTCAGAGAACAAACCTCCACCACAATCATCCACCTGAGCTACAAATTTTCTCCACCATCTGAAATGTACATCACTTGAAGTAGTTGTTATGGGTGCTGTTCTCCAGTTTACCACAAAATAAAGAAATATACACATTGGCCATAGGTTTAGGCTCTGACAGAAGTATTTAAAAATCAATTCTTTTCTTTTTGTGGAAAATTTCTATGTTACAGGAAAAACTATTGCTTTAACATCTCTTCTATAAAATGTAATTACAAGTGGTAATAAAAGAAGTAGCGCGATACAGTAGTGATTTATCGTGTTTGAAGTGTTATGCATGCGCAAAATACAATAAAGTGCATATGATATAAAATTATCTTGACGTCTAGACTGTCCTCATCAGACATACACAAATTTATGTTCTAGATAGGTAATATCTAAATTCATATACAAAAGTCATCATACCTTTACATCAGTACCATCTGTTGGCATAAATTCCTCATACATATAAGATCCATTTGTTCGAATATTGCTGTGTGGAAAGTACTTGCTGCTGCGATTTCCAACCTTTCGAAAAAGACGTTGACTACCTCCTCCAGCGCTACTAGGAAAGTATATGTAAATATTATGATCTTCAGCATGCAAAGGTTTTTCTACAAACGGTTTGTGAAAAACCTCACCATTAATCTGAAATTGGAATGCAAATCTCATTTAAGAAGTAACCCAAAATATAAAATTAGATGTGTTAGTCAACCCTACCAGAAAAGTCTGAAGGTGTGATGATAAATTCGCAAAAGTACGTTTAAGGATGGCAAATATTTGTTCATTCAACATTGTCGCCCACAACCCACTAACAAACATCAAATAAATATGTATCTGACATCCGAAAAAGGAACGACTGAATAGTCAAAAGCACCTTACTAAACAATAAAAGAAATTTTTTAACATAATAGGCAGCACAAAAATACTCTTACAAATGCAGAACACAACGAATATATTCAAATAGTTTTTCAATATTTTACAAGGAAATTTATGAGGCACTTCCTTCCCTCAAATTACTTCACATCACAATAAACCAGTGAGAAACTTTTACCAGAATTTTACATGCAACTAAGCTCAACAAAGAAAAATTAATTTATGAAAATAAAGATAGTCCCACCACGTATTCTTATGTAAACGTTGATTTAGTGTTTCTATCTGGCGTAGAATTAGGTTAGAAGTCTACAGGAGGCCAAACCGAACCATGGTACCATAATTTTAACCAGTGATTAGAGAATTTAAATGATATGACTCAAAATCGTTTGCAACTGATCAGGTTACTTATAAACTTGTTTCAATTTCACTGATTTGAATTTTCTTGAATCGTAACTTTGATTCTTTATCTAATCGATCAACACTGATACTGTTACTGCCTCTACTGTTTATGGAATTCGACTTGACAGTTTGAATTTCGTGTTAATGGGTTATGGCAAGTTGAACTGAAGTACGTACGTAGCAGATTCCATGTTGTTATTGACTTACTGATTTGACGCATTTTAGATCATCATGTTAGTAGGAAAAAAGTAGAAAACATTTTACATGGGATTCAGTTCTAAATAATGTAAGTCGCTAGGGTTTGCTACACTGAGAGATTTTTAGGAGCCTATTTATAGTCAAACTAAATAAAACTATGCTAGGTCAACAGAGGTACCTTTCTAAATTATGGAGAAATAAATTGGTCGTTTCTGTAACATTCCATTTTTACATGTAAGATGTCCTGCTCGGTGAAAACTTTTTACAGATACGAAAAGCATTGTCGTATATTGGTTTACTGAAATTCATTTTACTTAAAAAACATTTTATCTGAAAATGCAGGTCAACACTATTAGGATTTTTATTGAAACATTTTATTTTTGATTTCTTTCATAATTAAGAAAATTAGGACTAGAATTATGCTGAAAGTAGTCAGCTGCGAGCGCAAACGAAACGCTTAGAAAACTATCTCTTAAAAACTAAGAGTTAACAGAAAATTAGTTGAGTACATCCAATTAATAGCCGTTATGTTCACAAAGCCCTATGCGTTAAAAGGAATTCCATTTATGAATAGGTTTTGTAGCTTTTGCTTTAGTATTAAATTGGTATTGTGATTTTTTTGACTGCTTTATCTATACCTAAAACTCATATGAGCGCAAATCTCTTTTTAGAAATGTTGAGGAAGGTAAAATTCATTTTTGCAGATTGGAAATAATAAACTATACTAACGAATCTTAGAATCATTTTAGCACTATTTAACACTGAAACCAAACTGGCAAGAATTGTACTTACAGTACTGGGTGATGGACGTTGATGTCTTTGAGGCATAATTGATTCAGTAAAGCTATGGATAAGTTTAGTGACCACTGCTAGCAAGCCCTAAAATCTAGTTCAGTATTTACTGCAAGCATCCTTTGAACAAATATGAAAATCTTCTGGGTGATAATGATTCGAAAGGCGTGTTTAAATGCCAGTCGAATTTCTAGACCAGTACAATGAAACGAGTGGAGTCCACCCTGATGTTGATTTTATCTACTGATTAGTTAGTAACATACAATTATAGGTCTCATTCTTACCCTTATAATTGTAGCAAAAAAGGCCAAAATTTTAACTCAACAGGCTGCTATTGATTTCTTATTACTTATTCGCATATTAGACCGAAAGGAATTTAGTCACATAAATAAACCCGTGGATTTAAGCGATTTCGGATTTCAAGTACAGTTACTTACCTCGATTGAATCGTCAAGCTCAACAACTTTTACTGGATTCTCCGATGTTCGATCAACAAATGCATACCTCGGAACTGGAACACCTTCCCTCATCAAACACTCATATACTCTTCTTCGATCCATCAAAATGTATTGCGACTCTAAGTCATTGACAAGGTATGGCTTTCGGAGCTTTGAATAAGCAATAGCTTTTTTCAGGGGAAATCCTTCGGAGTAGAAACTGACCAATGCATCACAAATAGGCCATGACTCTATTGGTGATTCTAATATCATTTTCTCATCAAATATTATTATCTTAATGTGTTGAAACTTGTCCATTCTGCGCAGAATTTCCTTCATTGGTTTTGACATGGCTTTTTTCGCCATAGCACAAACTCCTATTGTGACTACAACATCATTTTCATCCGTCTTCTCAATCATATTTTATTCATGCAACCATAAGATGCGCGTTAAAAGTACATTTTAAGTGTAGCGCATTCGAAACCTTATTCTCATTCTGATAATCAGTTTGTCTTAATCTCATTCTTGCGTTATCTCTGATTGTTTTCGACTGCTTCCTCTATCAAGTGTATGTAAATTCTATGTGCTTACTCAGCTATCGACCCACCTTCTTTACTCATACTTTCCACTTCCAGATAACACCACACTCTGATCCTCACACACCTCAGCACACAAGTTACCTTTAGGCTAAACGAAGACTTATGAAAGAATGAAGTTACACAAGCGTTCGATATGAACGTGTCTAAACACACAGTCATCTATGAAGAATTAATTCTTTTTAAGGAAATCTTTTACGGAATGATCATTATCATATAAAATGACTCTACACTCTAGGACAAATAATCTTTTGTCGGCTTGAAAAGCTTTGTTAAGACAAATAAGTAGGGAGTTTTGATATTTCGTAGTAAATGGTTCACATTATTGTAGACGCAATAGAGATAGCTTGCGCTTAGACGGCTTCCGTTTGCTCGAAAGGCAATTTCGTTACAGCTAGAGACTCTGTAGAACAGGGTATCAAGAATCCTTGACTTTTTGCAGCTTGCGGCACTTCTGAAGGAGATCTGCATAAGTTGTATAGATAGTCCGCAGAAAGATTCAGGTGGACTACTTTAAACTTTGTTGTACTAAATGCAAATCCGTTCTCACTCATTCTACTATTTGGTTAAGACATATTTTCCTGAAGAACCCGCTTGTTGCCTTGCATTCAAGTTCCTTACTTACTTACTTACTTACGCCTGTTACCCCCAATGGAGCATAGGCCGCCCACCAGTTTTCTCCAACCAACTCTGTTCTGGGCTTCCCTCTCCAGTTCTGTCCAATGTTTGTTCATTCTTCTCATGTTTTTCTCTATTTCTCGGCGTAATGTGTTCCTTGGCCTTCCTCTTTTCCTTTCACCATGAGGGTTCCATGTGAGGGCTTGTCTCGTGACGCAGTTAGGTGCTTTTCGTAGTGTGTGTCCTATCCACTTCCACCGCTTCTTCCTGATTTCCTCATCCACTGGAATCTGACTTGTTCTCTCCCACAGTTCGTTGTTGCTGATGGTGTCTGGACAACGAATCCGAAGTATTTTGCGTAGACAGCTGTTAATAAACACTTGTATTTTCCGAATGATGGCTTTCGTAGTTCTCCATGTTTCCGCTCCATACAGTAGAACTGTCTTGACATTTGTATTGAAAATCTTGATTTTGAATTTGGTTGAAAGTTGTTTGGAGTTCCAGATATTATTCAACTGTAGAAATGCAGCCCTCGCTTTGCCAATCCGCGCCCTCACATCTGCGTCCGATCCACCCTGATTGTCGATAATGCTGCCCAGATATGTAAAGGTGTTAACGTCATCCAAGGCATCTCCATCAAGAGTGATTTGGTTGGTGCATGTTGTGTTGTATCGGAGAATTTAGCTTTGTATGTTGAGACCTACTGCTGCAGAGGCTGCTGCTACACTGGTCGTCTTCTCTTGCATTTGTTGTTGAGTGTGCGATAGAAGAGCCAGGTCATCTGCGAAGTCCAGATCGTCCAGCTGCGTCCTAACTGTCCAGTTGATACCGTGCTTCACTCCAGATGTTGACGTCTTCATAATCCAGTCGATGACCAGAAGAAAGAGAAAGGGTGAGAGTAAGCAACCTTGACTGACACCGGTCTTCACCTCAACGGAGTCTGTTAGCTGTCCGTCGTGTACGATTTTGCAGTTGAATCCATCATAAGAATTCCGTATGATGTTAACTATTTTCTCAGGCACACCGTAGTGTCGAAGAAGTCTCCATAGTGTTTTCCTATCCACGCTATCGAATGCTTTCTCGTAGTCGATGAATTTGATGTAGAGTGGTGAGTTCCATTCAACTGATTGTCCCATAATTATCCGTAATGTAGCAATTGGGTCAGTACACGATCGATCCTTACGAAATCCGGCCTGTTGATCTCGAAGTTGGACGTCTACGAAGTCCTTCATTCTGTTTGACAATACCCTGTTGAAGACTTTGCCTGGTATTGAAAGAAGAGTGATGCCTCTGTAATTCTCACACTTGCTAAGATCGCCTTTCTTTGGTATTTTGATCAGGTATCCTTATTTCCAATCTGATGGTACTTGTTCCTCATCCCAAATCTTCTTGAAGAGGATGTGAAATGTTTGCAGTTGCTTCTACATCGGCTTTCATTGCCCCTGCTGGAATGTTGTCTGGTCCTTCTGCTTTGTCGCTCTTGATTTGTCTGATGGCCATACTGATCTCCTCAATCGTAGGTGCGCCAATATTAATTGGGAGATCCGTGGATGCTGCTTCGATGTTGGGTTTGTCAGTGGAGCTGGTCGATTAAGGAGTTCCTTAAAGTGCTCTACCCAACTATTTCGCTGTTCGTCAGTGTTGCCGGTTATTTCCCCTTCCTTACTTTTCACTGGTCGTTCTGGTTTACGATAGTTCCCGGCGAGCTTCTTTGTTGTTTCGTACAATTGTCTCAAGTTTCCGTCTCTTGCAGCCTTTTCCGCCGTCATTGCTAGATCTTCCACATATTTTCGTTTGTCAGCTCTGATGCTCTTCTTCACTTCCCTGTTTGCTTCTGTGTATTCAGCTTGTGCTTCAAGTTTCTCTGCTCTTGTTCGGCTGACATTGATTGCTGCCCTCTTGTTCCTCCTATCTTCAATTTTTGCAAGAGTAACAACAGAGATCCATTCCTTGTGATGGTACTTCTTGCGACCAAGGACCTCCTGACATGTTGAAGTGATTGCCTCTTTAATCCCTTTCCAATTGTTCTCCAATGTTGTGTCCTCTCCATTGAGTAGATCCTGAAAGGCCTGGAACCTATTGGTGAGGGCTACCTTGAATTCGTTGAGTTTTACGGTATCCCGAAGAAAGGCCTATTAAACTTCTGTGATGTTGTCTGTCCCGTTGTCCAGTGTTTCTTGAGTTTCAGTTTCATTTTGGCGATCAGCAGGTGGTGATCTGAAGCTATATCAGCTCCTCTCTTGGTTCTCACATCCTCCATAGTCCTTCTGAACGTTTTGTTGATACAGATATAACCAATCTGGTTTTGAGTAGTGTGATCCGGTGATATCCATGTAGCTTTGTGAATGCGTTTGTGTGGGAATATTGTGCCACTGATGACCAGTTTGTTGAAGGCACATAGGCTTGCAAATCTCTCACCATTTTCGTTTCTTTCTCCCAGTCCATGTCGTCCCATGATGTCTTCATATCCAGAGTTGTCCATTCCGACCTTGGCATTCAGGTCTCCCATTAGAATAGTCAAATCCTTTGGTGAACATTTTTCGACGATTGACTGCAGCCTTTCGTAGAATTGATCTTTAAGGTCGTCATTGTAGTCATTGGTAGGTGCATCATAACATTGGATGACGTTGATTGTAATGTCCTGTTTCTTTGTTTTGAAGGATGCTCCTGTTTCTTTGTTTTGAAGGATGCTTTGATGATCCTCGGTCCATGAGATTCCCATCCTATCAGTGCCTTTTGTGCATATTTGGACAGCATCAGCGCAACTCCTTGTGTATGTGAAGCATTTTCCTCTTCATGACCAGAGTATAACAGCAGTTCCCCTGAAGCTAGTCTCAGTTGTCCTTCCTGTGTCCAGTGTGTTTCACTGATGCCGAGCACCTCGAGGTTGTATTGTTTCATTTCTGCCGCAACTTGAAATAGTCTTCCAGTCTCCCACAATGTACGAACGTTCCATGTACCTAAAAAATGGTTGCTCTGGTTGTCAGAAGAGGCATCAGCCCCGTGACTTCCGAGGGAACTCGGCTTTCATCACGCGACGTCATAATTCTTCCTCCAACTCCCAGGGCAGAGTTAAAATGGTTTGAATTATTTTTTTTCTGGTTAGCGTTTTTTTTTGGCAAGTGAGATTTTAACGGAATGGGGTCGCCAACCTCATGTCCAACCCTTCTCCTTTATCCGGGCTTGGGACCGGCAGTAGCCCCTAAGGTTCTACTGGCGGAGTTCCTTACCAAAGTTTAAAAATGTACGCAAAAAATGACAACTCAGGCGACACTTATTACGGAAGGTCGTTTTTTAAACACAGTAGAAGTGGTTCTGAAACTGAATCCTGAAGGATTCCCCTAGAACATTCAGTAGCCTGAAAATGTAAAACTAAGCCTCTTATTTAGATCCTACCTCACCCAGTTCATCGGAGGTGTCGCTATTTCTAACACTCTGAATTTATTGACTAGACGAATATGCCTTACCTAATCAAAAGTTTTTGAAAAGTCAGGAAAAATCACATCAACTTCCTGATACGATCAAGGATGGTTTTTCATCTGTCCACTGATATCGATTGGCTTACTGGAACCCTGCTACTGTCTAGGAAAGTTTATGATGAATGCACAGTCGCGCAGACCGCCGTATACCAAAGACTCCTTTTCATTTCAGGATACTGAAAGTAGTAACTGATCACCTTCGAAAACTGATGTACTTAGCACCAGATTCTGAGAGGTATACCTTAAGCCGAAGCATATAGATGTTCAAGAAAAGTGCAGAGAAACCTCTGGTCATAATCTCAGTGAGGCATTCAGCTTTGGTAGGTAGATGAGTGACTTCAATGGTCAGAACTGGAAACAGAATATATAGGAGAAAACTGTGTATCTGATTTTTTGACAGAAAAAGAAGTAACTGTTTTATGTGCAGTCAGATATGGCGACGTGACTATTAAAATAAGTAAGTGCTTATTTCCGGATTCAAATTGTTGAACTAGAAAGACATACGCCTTATACCGTAGAAATTTAGGAGTGATTATATTCAGAATCGAATTGTTTAAGCGGCGATCTATTCGAGATTGACTATGATCACCACTAAACACTAATTACGAACCCGTTACTGAGAAGAGAAATAGATCCATGGTAAATAACATATTTGCTGGCGATTTCGTGGTATCGAAAGAATTCTTAAATCAAGCCAGAAAAGATGGGCGGAACTACAAAGCTGGTACAGCAAGAAATAGCAGCAACAAAAACAGAGAGTTTGCGCGTGAAGAGTGTTATAAACAAAAAGTACAGTTAAACAGTCTCTGGTACAGTTGGTGATATTAATCAATGTTTCTATTAAACCAATCGCATTCTCTTCATAAAAGTGGATTTACTACATGGTCAAACGGAGAAGTTTGCATGATGCAAATACATAAACTGAAAGCCGATTTTTGATGACACTGGAGAGGGTAACGGGAGCAGTCTTGTTAAGAAAACAGATCTAGCAGAACTAATTCCATTGTACTGCCAAAAGGTTTCTAGATGAAAGTACCGAAAGAAAACTATGAAATGACAACTAGGAAACTATGAGGTATGTAGCATCAGAACTTTCGTTTGTGATATATCATGATGAATTATTGGAACGTTTCTGATTTATATACATATATGACGGTATATATTTCAAGCTAGTACAAATGGGATCTTGTTCGATAGGTATTGAAATATGTTGTAGGTGGGTAGCTTCTTCAGCAAGTGATTTTCTTCTGCAGTGTAGGAGGAAATGGACTGTTTTATTGTAGGTAAAGCTGAATTATTATCACGAACATCAAACAATTCGTAAACAGCTTTAGTAAGTGTATGATGAAACTCCGTGATTTCATTTGATCGTTTATTTCTTATTTCCATATCGAGCTAAATTCAAATCGGTCAAATTATATAAAGGAATAGGCCCTAAACTAAACTGCTTGAATGATGTCCAAACGTAAGCAATATAGAACACGGAGATGAGAAACTTTTTCATGATATCAAGCCAAATTCTAAGTATTCGTAACTATGTTATCCAAAATATTGACGAAGAGATATGAGACGTCCAAATAATAACCGAAATGTAAACAATCAAATGAACAGAATGTCGGGTCAGTTCTTTGTTTTGGTTTCTTCTTGAAGTGTGGAAAACCGTCGGAGATGTTGAAGAATTCATTTCATTTCAGCAGATCACTTTTGCTCATCACTGCTTATGAGACTAAAGTTGTGAAGATACAGATAACGAATGGTGGTATCTGATTATTTTTGCACCAATTTACTAACTTTACAACTTCATGATGACTTTGAAGAACTGAGCTTTGGTGAAGTTGTCGATTCTGTTGTATTTGTGGACAGTGAAGTTTAGTTATATTAACAGTTCTCAAAGTTAGGATATGAGTGTATCCAAGAAAAATAAAGCGAAACCCAGCCTCCAGTTCTCAGTATCAGCAGTAGGTTCTTTCTGTAGATGACTTCAATCAGCTATCTTGGGATCCTCGATATTCGCAAAACTACACTGTTTGACAAACTCTTAAAAATACACAGATGGAGAGCCAGTCGTCTCTAAATTCTGTTTTCCTATCGCGACAAAAAAGAGACTTGTCGGATATTAGCATTCATGGTCGGTGATGTCTCAGATATTATTATTATGAGTATTGCTAAAGTTGCCTACCACAGAACCACTCATTAATTTTGCTGTGTAAGCTTAGAGTTAGTAATTTAGCAGATGATGATTCGAATATTAAACTCATGAGCGATTTCGTCCATTCGGTCTGATTGGTCTTCTTGTGAATGGATATGTGACCTGTCTACACAAGTTTTTCCAAGCAGGTGAGCTTTTCCCCTCACATGTTTATGTTCCTGTACTTGACAGCTCAAGGTAGAATGGTTAGCTCAAACTTGATCTTGTAAATAATTGTTGCATCATGCGGCCTTCCTGAATGCGTGTAGAATCCAGTTCGCAATGGGAGGAATCGCTTCATGAAAGGTATCTGTCATTCAGACAGAGGAGGTCACTTTCAATAATTAAGGTCTAAAACCCGCTTTCTTCTTGATTAGTCACAGAATTTGTTAAGCTAATTTATTTTCTAGCTTCAAGGAATGTTTTGTGAACTTCCGTTCTTGAATATCATTGGCTGAAATACCAGGATTCTTATTTTCTCGGATACCCTGGAAAATAATGTTTCTCCCATGAAAGAACGTTTTATGTGTCATTGTTAAATTGATTTAGTGATCATAATTTAACGTCAACCATCTGTACATGGTTAAATCAAAACCACGTTTGTTGCATCCTTGTACTCTGTGCAGTATTAAGAGCTTTTCATAATCTTGGGTTGAGACTATATGAGGTTGAGAATTGAACCGATCTCACTCTATGCTACATCTTTGTCTTAAATTCGGACTTAAAACTTCGATAAACAAAATTGATGAGTTAAATTCTTTCTGATGTACGGCGTCTTGTCTGTCGAACATTTTTACGAAATTTATCAAGTTTACAGTGAATGTTTATTGAGCTATACATTAATTGATAGAATAATAAAAATTTTCGTTTCCCTTTTTGCTAACATTGCACGACCTACATTTTTGCTCGAATTTTATACACAACGTTTCCTAACCATTCTCGTACTACGATCAATAGTTCAAGAAAATAGTTATGAGCATCTTAAGTCATACCGAAAGTTACAAATAATATATCCGTACCACACTGGTGTAAAGAAATGGTTGAAGAAATAACAAATATGTATAACGAGTGTATGCCTTTAAAGAAGTAGGATCTCAAAACTACGTCAGATTCAACACGTGGAAAATCGTTAGCGACCATGTGAAATCTATAAGAGGCATTTAAGCATACAACGAAGTCTCACGGCGAAATGTTGATACTTCGAAAATAAATTTAACGAGCGAAGATCGCTGCTGAATTCTCAGTCTAGGCAGTTTTGTCGCAGGGCGTTCATTATAGTCTCTAATAACATAATCAATGCTCAGTTCACGCTGAAACGAGCCTCTCAGTTATTCTACGACATGCAAGTCAGTTTTTTTAGTGGCTTTGTTGTCATATGTTTATCTGTCTTTCTCTTTCATCAATTTAAGCTGTGCTGTTCTGTCGACGTCTAATAACGCTGTTGATTTAGACTTCTTGAATGAATTGTCTCACTAGGAGTCGTTTGGTGGGTTAATTGATTATTAACCGATCTAGATGGCGTGCTTTCAGAACTTCTCTAGAACAGCTACAATTAGCTCACTCCAGAACTTTTGTATTTACTCTGTTGAGTTTGATTCCATACTTGTTTACTGCTGTTTACGCAGACAAACAATCTTCGTATATTTGCAAACGAAGATAGCATTCTGTCTCTCCAATGTAAAGTTTGTCTCATTTTTAACACAAATACAATTATTGTTTAAGAATAAAGACTCATACCTCAGCAATAGCAAATTAAACTTCTTTTTAACTGTATTGGATTCATAATAGTAATAGCACTAGAACCACCATCAATCGTATCAGGGCAGAAATTACGTTCGCACTCAAATGTCCGGCAGTTGAGACTACCACTCTCTGGAACCGGATTGTAACGAAAATTCCTATATCGTATCAAAAAGCTTTAGTTTAAGTTGCGTTAGATACTCTTGGCTTAGTTAGAGGGGTAATATGCATCAGCATGAATGAATGTTAAAACACTTGCGGAGATGGAAATTTCTTCTGTCTCGGTATATATGCTTACAGCTTTAACTACTAATGATCATATTTTTGTCGAATTTTATAGCTTTCAATAAAAGAGAAATGCCTCAGTTCACGCCGATACTATTGAGCCATAAAATGTAGATTAAGACCTTCAATATTGAATGAGATAAAAAAATCATCTGGTCGAATCACAATTTTCAAACTTTGATCACTGGACATTGTTCTGCAGTAAAATGTAGGCTGTGTTAACGGTAATCTGTTTTTCCTATCTGATACATTTGCATCAGGTATCACAGCCAGCGGTTATAAAATCAAATACACTGATACTTGAAGTTATGAAAAGTAGAACTTCAAAATTCATCTATAAAATAGACTGCATGCTTATTTTGACTTGTTAGGATTGAGTGAACGATCAGTATTTGATTTTACTGCACTACTGAAAAAATGGCAGCTGAAGTTTCACTCAGAAGTATAGGATTTCCTAGGACTGGGTTCATGATTAGCAAAAAGTAAGAATGACTATTCAATTTAAAACCAAAGTTGATTTCTTGATCCCTCCGAACACTTATAATTATTATGAGTTGTTTTATATAAAATGATTGTTGATAGAATTATCATGCATCACAGTGAAAATGGTAATATTAAGTATTATTTATTCTGAACATAAATGAGTAACTAAAAATAAAAACTTGAAATAATTTACTGAAGTTATCTTTAAACAGTTTACTAGTGAACTACTACTATACAACATGCTGCAAAACGAGAGATTTCAAGAACAAATTAATGAAACTCCTAATTCGGATAATAGCACACTTAAACTTCTTCTTGTAATGAATCAGAATCCACAGAAATTGTATAACTTTCGATTACCGATGTAATCAACTCTTTTATGACCACAAGAAGAAAAGCAATTAGCGGTAGAAAGGCGGCAACTAGAAGTGCTATTTGATATGAACCTCTAGCGTCATATATTTTACCTGTGCAAAAATGAAAATGAATTTATGAAAATGTCTATAGTAAATGAATTGAGCATATAATTGTGATTAATCTAATCTGATTAATACAAAAAATATTTATCTAACAGACTCTTAAAGTATTCCTACATTAATGCTGTTCTTTTTTTTACTAAATGTTTAGTAAATAATATATATAAATATATATGCTTTGCTTGTTATGTTATTCCCAATAGGTAGATGTTTTGGACAAGAAGATGTGGTATTCTAAATGGAGTATTAAACACCCATACTAAACACGTCAGGTCCTGTTATAATCAGGAATTTTAGACTGTCAGTATAATAATAAACAGTAAATTAACATATTCTTAGTATTGTAATACCAGATGACGTTATCCTGAATATATTTTTTCAATGCTACAGCTCTTGAGTAAACGCTAAAATCAAACTGCCAAGAATCAAATCATGACAATATTTATTAGAATGCTTATAATGCTTAAATAGAATTTAATACATCTTTTAAATAGCTATTCAAAAGTATAAGGGGTCACAACAGTACAGTTGTTATGAAAAACCCTCTTATGTTTCTAATTGTAGTCGGCATTTGTAAACCCTTTCTTTTTTATCACAATTACTACTACAACATTTACGTGATGAACATGTTAATACAAGCATTAACTGTATCACTTATGCATATTATATTTTTCAAACAGAGAAGTAAATATTTGTTAGAAAAAGACATGTTGGCTCATCACTGATCAGAATTGGTCAAATAGCCAACAGAAATGTCAGACACATGAAATGATCAAAATCAAGTTAGATTTCAAATTCTCATTTGACCACTAATACTACCAATCAATAGAACTGGAATGACAAGTTTTAATGATTCTTCAAAATAGTAAAGAATTAAAAATAGTCGATACAAATAACTGTGATTCGACAAACCTGTTAATAAAATTTTCACTGGTTTTATTATATATTTAGAGATAAGATAGAAATCACGATATTTATAAACTGATGAAATCAAGAAAGTTTATAAACTAATGACTTGAAAATTGCACTCTGATTCTTAAAGTAATTTCTATGGAGCTAGTTAACTACCTTAACTGATAATATATCGTAATTTAGAGAAATACTTAGATAATTTCTAATCCAGAATACGAGTGATTCAACAATACAACCGAACTCATATTTCTAAATTAATGTCAGTATTGAATTCTTTCGACACATTTTTCAGTTCTCTCTTTATGTTCAGAAGAATCAGTAAATTTTGTAACCTAGAAAGAAACTGAATAGAGTTGTCACCTTATAAATTATATCAATTCAGTGTCATTAAAAATAAATTAAAATTTATTTTTTAGGAACGAATTCATCTGCAAATGGATACTGATAATTTTCAAAATTCTTTGAACGTTTTGAAAGCCTACAAAATGTCTAGATTTATCGCTAAACAGTGTAATTTGGATGATATTTCGAAAAGAACTTACCTCCAATATTGGTTCCACACAAATTCATGATACCATTAAAAGTTAGAAATAAACCAAGTCCAGGAGACCATAATTCTGTACCAACAATGTCAATAATTAACTGCGGAAACATAACGTATAATCCACCATTCGATACGCCAACAAAGAAACAAGCCAACGCTAACAATTTTCCTTCTTGATATGAGAATAGGTCGAAATACTTTGATTCACTTCGAATCGATTGTAGTGGGACTAAAGCCATAGTTAGTGTACATGCGCTATTTAAAAGAAGTGTCATTAAGAAGACTACTAAATGAAATCGATATTTTGACAATGAACATTTTGTAATGATGGGGGATCGACAACAATTCAATCGATAACAAGAGCCATCATTTCCAAAGCTACAATGCTGATTGTAGTTTTTACAGCAAGCGCCAATGTCACCAAACTGAGAAGTTATTAGACCGTAAAACAATTGACCTTAAAGAATTTTTAAAATAAAAACAAAAGTAAACGAAGAGTTCTTACAACAATAGCAGACAGGAATCTGAATAACAAACGGGTTGCCAATAGATATTAAAAGTGTAAAATTTTCGCTAAGCGATAAGGTAAGGGTCCTGAACATAATTCTGTATAAGTTGGAAGACCTTCCTTCATGAAGCAGTTAATAAAAAAACAGTTACAGAAGTAAGTGGACTAACACTAAAGTATCTTACCAGCTGTGTGGTTATGAGTACAGTACAACAAAATGACCAACTTCTCAAATTAGTAATCGCATTTTCAAATCCATCAATCGGATACAGTCAGTTGGGACGAACACTTAGCGTGATGTTCACCTGTACTAGTATTTTTAGTCCACATCAAAACTGGTTCGTTCACCAAGTAAACAGATCATAGATGTGTTTCAGTGTTTAAATGTATCTTGCTTAAAACTAACTGCATTAATATTTTGCTAAGTACTGCTTAAGCTCTTGATTATTGCTTGCATAGCTTACTTCTCTGCTTAAAAAATATAGATAAGAATTCTTTTATTGATACAGAAACTAGCAATTAGTCGACCAGTCGACCAATTTCCTGAAAATAATATTCCTAGAGATGTTGAGTTTGACATGCTTAGTTGGAGAGGGTTTCTACAGATACCGTGATTAGTTTTTGTATAAGTACATTCATCCACTATTTTAGTTCAGATAAGTTTGATGATAATGAATCGATCCGATAAGATAATTTACCAATCGATCACAATTTGGTTGTCTGATCTACAAAATACACCTTGAGGCTTCTGGAACCATAAACCTTGTTTACGTCTGGTTTACAAACAAAGCTAGTGCATCTGTAATTTACTATACGCAGCAACCATATTGAACACCTAAAACTCATATGAATATACTTACATTTGTAGCTTTTAATAAGTAGGTTGTAAATTGTTTGACAAACTACGTCTGGGCTTTCATTTGACACTGCAATGTTCAATCAAATCACATAGCATAAATGAAGTTTGGATATACGTTAAGAATTGAAAGAACACTGTATTGTATTTATTTTGTAGAACTCATAAGGACTATGGGTACTTCTGAATATGTATGTTGATTTACTTTAATTTTATCTCCTAAACTGAAACTAATGGTCAATAACCTATTATTAACATCTAAAGTTTTATGAAAACTTTCCTCAATTAGTTTGTATTGTAATTTATAAATTATTGTAAAGAAAATAATAATTCTTTAGAACTTACCAAATAACAAACCAAATCCAATTAACGATGGAAGCCATGAAATATCTTTATTATTTACATCACCTATTAAATTTTGATCATTCAAATTAGACAGACTAGTTAAAACATGATCATAAATAAATGTCCATGGGATGACAACTCCAGCACCAGCTAAACCATTAGCTATGACATAAAATAAGAAATTAGAATTTTTCCATAGTTTCGGTGAAAATAACTTTTTAAAATTTAAACTGAATGCTTGTAAACATTGTGGACATCCAAATGTTAATAATCTATTTGAAAATTTTGTTTTATTCATTCCTTTTTTATTAATAATATGATGATGGCTATTTTCCGCATTGATGCTTACAATATTTGAATTAATTGAAATGAAACGATATTTTCGAAAACGGAATAATGATGGAATGCATAGACAAAATCGAATTGAATTCCAACAATATTTAGTAATTAGACAATCTAGAGAAAAAAATACAGAAGAAAGAAAAATATTATTGAAAAAATAAACTTGTGGATGCTAATTTAACAATCAAATCCACTGTACTTTTATCATATTTTTTTCGCAATTCATTTGACATGTTTAAAAGTTGTTTTCACTTGTTCATGGTTTGAAAAAGCCTAAATAAAACCAGATGAATCCCTAACACAGTAGTGCGATGTTTGAGAATGTCATGCTTAATTCGGTTTCGATAAAAATATTTTCTTTAAAGAAACAAAATGTTGTAGATCATGTGATGAAAAGGATAAATTAAAGCACAGATAAGAAAAATATGAGGTATGGAATAACATGGTATTTTAGACAGACAGACAGATACAACGCAGAACTTCGTACGTAAGTACATCAGTTCAGGTTGCCATACCACATCAGCACAGAGACACAACTGTGACTTCAGATCCAAGAGTGATAGCAATAGTAGAAGTTTCAGCAGTAATGGAGAAGATTAGTGAGCAGAGATATAATTCGACAGTGAGATAAATTTAGAGAGAGAAACATAGAGATGATGAGGAATTGAGGTTAGAATTAGAGACAACACAAAAAGTGGATACACCTGAGCCATTGCAAACGATTCTGAGCTATGTCGTTCAAGGTCTCTAACCATTGGCGACATTCGTCTCGCGGACCCCAACCAGATAGCCTACATCTACCGACATGACTCAGTCCACTTGTCACTGACTTCATGGATTTGTGCAATGTTTTGGTTTAGCTGCTTCTAGCTTTCTTCCAACCTACTCCTACACCACAAAACATAGCTCGTCAAGGCAGTCGGTGGTTAGCCATACGAAACACATGTCCCAACCACCTCAACTGATGAAGTTTAGATACTTCATCTATTGATTTGCCATACCTACCTAGAACTCGTTTCCTAACGACAGCATTGTCACTCGGTTGTCCCACGATGCACGAGCAATGCTTCGGAGACACCGATGATCGAAGACTAGTAACCTACGGAAGTCCTCTACTCTTAACGGCCATGTTTCGCATCCGTACAGTAGGACGGAGCGAACTGCTGCACAGTACACTCGTCCTTTGGTTAATAAGCGGATATCTCGCCTGCGTCATAGGTGACGCAGGTTGACGAAAGCCAATCGTGCCTTCTGTATCTGAGCTGAGATTTCGTCAAAAACCAGGCCATCGGCACTGATGAGACTCCCTAGATAAGTGAAGCGGTCAACACGCTCGACTACTTCACTCCCTATCACTAGTTCAGGTGCCGATGCAACCCAATATTGATACAACATTTTGCATTTCGACGGGGAGAACCGCATCCCGAACATGTTTGCATTGTTGCTTAGGGTAATCAGAAGACTCTGCATTTTGTCAGCGTCTACACCAAGTAGGAGGACTATGTCATCGGCATATTTTAAGTCTATAAGCGTGCCTCCTGCTAAAGTCTTTTCCTGAAACTTCAGACGAGGATCAGGTTACACCTAGCAGCATGTCTATGACAACATTAATCAAAAATGGGGAAAGTTGACATTCCTGGCGGACACCACTTGAAGTAAAGAATTCCTATGACAGTTCACCATAAGCTCTCACCCGACCAGTAGTTTCAGAGTAGAGAGCTTGTATAAGGATAATGTATTTCTTTGGTACACCTTTCAATGACAGAAACCGCCACAGAACATAGTATTTCTGAATAGTTTTTTTCACAATTATATAAATTTCCCCTGTACTGTCAAGGGCAATTTTACATTGGTTTTCAGGAGAACCAAAGAGACTGGACACGTTTTACCAATACTAAATGAACAGTTCGGCTCAATCCTGTGGTGCAACCACACAGGTACCTGATACCCTGGTGGACTTGAATAGTAGGGAGATGAATCCATCCCACAGGAATAAATCGAAACCATATAATCTCTAAATATCGACATCGGGGATATTACTAGCCTTTATCTCTTGTTTTGACAGACCAAGAACTTAGTTATATCTTCCACTTATCAAATAATATACAACACGTTAAATTACCTAAAGGATTTGCATTAGTAAAACATATAAAGCATTTCTAGCGATAGATATTACCAATCGTAATATCTTTTTGTGACCAGGGATCTGACTTAATTTTTATGAACAATTAAATATGCTATGGAATCAACCTTTCATCTAATTTTCGTATATTACATTTAAGCTAACTCCGTTTCTGAGACGGCAGTAATTAAGAAACGAAAACTGTCAAACAAAAATAAGCTAGACATGCGATAAGCGGAGCAAGCGCATACGCACTTAAGTAAAAACAATCCAGATTTAAGTGAGTAGTTGACAGGGTCATAAGGCGTAGGAATAGTAGAAACTCGGCAAAAAAAGGTTAACTAGTTTGTTTAAAATCTAGGACAAGCCATATGGGCTCATCATATGCGTACACATACTTCATTCGAACTTTTTTCCGTCCCAAATAAAATGCACTTAGTTTACATTACCTCCATTCATTGTCATTATTTCAAGAAAGTGATACATCAAAATAAAAATTGACAATGCTAATCACACTCGCATGTGAGTAACTTTTGTCAATCATATGTAGGCGCTTGGCATTTTCTGTAATGTCAAGCCGATGGAATAAGTATGAGATAATCGCAGGAAAATATTCATCAATTGTCCTTTAAACAAAAGGAACGTTGACTTTCAGTGTATGGATATCTTATTTCAAAATTTAACAATTTCAATAAATGGACACTAATTTTCATTGTATATTTATGTGCTTTTTTGAGAACATAAATATATATATTTTATCATAAAAACAACTGTTAAAAGTTTTTATCCATTCAAGCGACAAATGTAGACGTCTTCATAGCACTAGAATGTTATAGACAAAATCTGGCCAATCAGTAGAGATGAATATAGGGTATAAAGTAACCATAAGGCAATTTATTTATAATCCTGATCTTCTTTAGTCTTCGTGTTGAGAAAAAGGAGAAGGTTTAATTAGCTGATTCATTGATATTAGCTAAAGATTACAAATCTGTGAGCTATAGTTGTAAAAGAATTAGGTATCTTGTAACAGCTGAATGAAACAACTAAAGAGTAAAATGTTATTCCCAATTATTTTGAATAGATAGTACAGTTTACCCGATTCCGATTACCAAAAAGGAATTAAAAATATGAGTCGTAATTTCAACCTTGAACAAGCAGAAACAGATATTGACAATAACCATAAAATGGTTATATTCTTTAGCATCTAAAATCATTGACAATTTCGTGCCGAGAAGATGCACAATTTACATAGAAAAGTGTAAGAGTGATCAGATTATTACAGACTCTGCAAATAAGCTAGTACTTTGTTGGCCTTAATCAACAAAAAGTGTCTCGAGATCTGATAAAAATGATTTTAAACAAGCTCACATAGTTGGAAAAATATTCTTCAAAATAAACTTCAAAACAATTCAACATAAACTGTAAATTAAATTATCAAATTCAGTTTAATTTTGAAGAATGCATGTTAACGGGGAGTTTTAAGCTAAATTATTGTAGTTTTTCAAAACATCTTAAATCCCAGTATTTTCGATAGATATTATTCTCAATTATTACAGTACAACAGATAATGGAAGAATAGTAACTTCCATGACTAACTTATGAATTACTTACTTACTTACTCCTGTTACCCTCAATGGAGGATTGGCCGCCGACCAGTATCCTCCAGTCTACTCTGTCCTGGGCTTCCTTTTCCAGTTCTGTCCAATTTTTGTTCATCCTTCTCATGTCTGTCTCCATTTCTCTGAGTAATGTGTTCCTTAACATATGGATTATTATTGCTATATATGAACTTATTGTATAACTATTAGGTAGCTAAATTATCATATACTTATATTCCCTTTATTATAAGCCTTTATTTGACTCGTTAGCTATTTTTCTAGGATTTATTAGTCATAATTTATTACTTGACATTCTTTCCTATCCGTAGTCACTTACTGGCTCGTTCTTGTATAATTGTTACTTTTTATTTAATGGTGTCAGGCAGCCAAGTTTGTTTACAGATGAACTATGCCTGGCTGAAACAAAAATATAGTGAGGGTTGGTTGTGATCTCTGAACTCAAGGGCAACGGTAGAGACAAGTTCAAGAAACATGAACCAATAAGAACTTGACCTCCGATTCAAGGTCATTCAACACTGAAACGAATCTTGATTGTCACGTGATTTTAACTAAAGGGCAAGAGATATCGTATCAATAATATAATCGAACGTTGACAAAAAAAGTGAAATGGTTTTTTTAAAAAAGAACAAGATGTACATACCGGTGGCAAGATTTACTTCGGACGAATACTTGTTCTGATGATTTGTATCCTCTATCTTGAAAATAGAAATTATGCTTCATTAAAGTATAAAAAGTGTAAATTTTTGAAGCAAAATTTTCTGGAAATTTCGCAACATTATCAAAGAATAAATTAAGCTGTATTACTTAAACTTATCTGCTAAAATATTTTTAGAAAGACTGAAGCTGTTGAATTGGGAGGATCGATAACAAACAAACCTTAAACATAGAAAATTGACCTGAGGTCAAATCTTGATGAAATTTCACTCACGACATATTAAGAACCCTGAAAATCTTGAATTTTACTGCATATAATCCAGAATAGATTTCTACAATCACGTATAATCTTTTATACGAATTATTTGCGGAGAAAAATAAGATCACTCTGATCGATAACGATTAGTACTAGTCAATTATTATTATCAATATTATCAGTATTATTAATATTATTGGTATCATTACTATTGTATTTATATGAGCGTAGCTGGTAAATTTGCTCATTGCACATAGAAAACAATACTTTATTTGGAAGTTATTCATAGAAAACTGAACAATAGTACCAATAGCCACATAAATTGAAGTTTAAAAATAAAAGTGATTCACTGCTAAATGCCTGTAATAATCACATAATTCAACTGTCATCTGACATATCAATCAAGATGATACAGGATAAAAAAATCATTTTGTAATTGTAAATGTAAAAATACGGTTATTAGTTTAGTTAAATAAATGTATGTTATGCAGTAACAGATTGCTTTCAATTAGCATGTTAAGATAATTAATAACTTGATAGAGCATCAAAAGTAAATTCATAATTTCAACGGAAAATAACACTCTCCACAACACTTAATGAATATCATAAAAATGTGCTCACAAAGGACTAGCTTTGTAAACGAATGGAATTTTACATTTGCTCATGAAAGATGTGTATACGGTTTTCATAAAGAGTAGAAACAGAGAGAAGAAGTGATATTATTATGGGTAATAACTGATGTGTGTTTGAATGAATGACTTGTTTAAGTATGTTGAATGTTCTCAGTTTATATACTATTTTTTTCTATTTGTATTGTCTGTTTAATAATCATAGAGAAATGAGACGTCAGGTTGTTTGGTTAAAAATTACAATTCAAACTATCGTAAGTATATATACGTATACCACTCAACTGTTTAGACAATTCTATCCACTGACAATAAAATTTATTTTGCACCGACTAAAACTTAAATACTGCATAATTTACATGAATTAAATCGACTTTTATATCCCTTTACTTCTTAATCATTGTGTAAGACGTCATATAATCACAATAAATCTGCATATCACATTAAATAAAACACACCAGTAATCTGTTTATTTACATTTGTATTCTAATAACCTCAAAAACTTAAGATATCGATTCCGAGAATAGATATTCCCTAATAAGCTTAAAATAGACAGAGTTCACCATCACATTATTAGACAATGAATAATCTGACATTACTAAGTTTTGAGTGATGATGAAAATGTTCCATTCAAATAAGTTAATCTCTCTAAACAACACGGCTCAACATAAAAATCAACTGCTTTCGCTGTTTAGCAGATGATGGCAACCGATAATACTTGCTGGATTATAATTATAAGTCTAGTGCCACTTACCAGCATCACATCTCGTGAATGAGTAAGGGCATTTATTATTTCAGATGTTTAGATCATTTCGGCTCAGTACGACTTCTTTTCTGGAGTTAAAATACCATGCCCAGAATTTTTGTTAAAGTGATATAATGGCTGTCAGATTAAGATTCACAGTTAAACTAGCAGTAACTTTGTATTCTTTTTAATTTAACTTGGTAGTGGTAATAAGACATGGTTACCTTTTCTAATGGGAAGAAAATAAGTTGGTATTTTTAAATCATTGTATATGCTTAACAGAGTTGACAAGTACGCTCACTAAGTATTCTATCATATGAAAATAACAAGTTTTCAATGGCATCTTCTGGATTCTTCAACACCTCTAGTTTCGACTCTCTAAACTTATCTCATTGAATCATACTTCGTGAATAATATCTTCTAATCCTAACCTCTCCGATTACTTCTAATACCTTTACTACCTCTTCTACTATTGGATTTGAATTTAAAATTATATCTCTGTGCTGATGTGGTATGGCGACATGAACTGATGTACTTACGTACGAAGTTCTACGTTGCAACTGACTGACTGACTGACCATTATGTTACAGAAGTTTTCACAGCCGGCAAAAAGCATTTTTAATATTTTACATTATTAAACAAATAATATCGACCGGAAAAAATTGTATAAACCTTAACTAAAAATCGGAATACTTTCAATGGTCATTGTGATTTATAAATTTATTTCAACAAAAGATTTTTTAATCAAACTGAAGAAACTCAAAATACAGCTAGTCAAGTAAAATCTGAAACAATTTTCTCCAAATTACATACTCTGAACTAACTGGTTAATGCATAAACTAAATGCGAACTTTACAGGTATTTCAGACTAACAACCTATTTCATTCAATATCATAATTCAGTTCTTATAGTAATATAATAATTTAGTGTAACTCAAAAATCAAATTCTTATGATGAGAACGTAAATTTATTAGTCAGTGAAATTCAGCTATCAAGATCAGTAAAATATTCTCTTAATCAAATAGGGATTACTTAAACTCTAGCCGTTAAACAAGCAACTCACAATCAAAAAAGTTTTCAAAATATTCGTTAAATAGACAAGGTTGTTGCTGTTCAGAAATCATGCGATTTCATAATAATTTCATTACTAGATAGAAGATTATTAAAAATATCCCTTCAGTGAAATATGACAAGTTGGTCTAAAGTTTTAAATTATCAACTCTCTATAGTATAGACAATAGTAGTTCCGTAGTTATTCCTTGTTTATCATTCTCAGTAGATCTAAGCTTTAGTAATCGAAGGTTTAAGTGAGCTTTATCAAAACTGATTGTTCTTATTAGTCCATTTCTAGCGATGAAAACGAATGATCCGAATTTTTTGTTATAGTTCTATATTCACGTCTAATGAATTGCAACAGCCGTTCCTATATAATTGCAATAAATATATTGATATATTGATCGAATATTATTGATTTAAATAGTTTACATTTTCAGCACTACGAAATCATCTTAGTAAAATCATGTTTATAGTTACAAACGTTGTATGACAGTGAGTAACTACTATTCCTACGCTTAAGTATTCATAATAGCTGATGCTAAATTCATACATAAAACCTCAGAATGCATAAAATGCATATGTTGCTAATCATAGCCCGATTATGATAGTTAATTTTTAATAATACTTCATTTAATCACAGGGATAGTTGGAATGACGTTTATTTTAATATTCTTTGTTAAAAGCAAGTGTATGCAAATGAAATCGAAAGTACGTTTGGGAAGCACTGTTTCGATTGTAATCAGTTTTTTCCTATTATAATAATTATAGTGTAGTGTAGTAGATGATAGATTCTTCAAGTAAATAGCTAACAAATATTATCCCTCTGTAAGTTCATTTTGAACAGTGATTGCATAACTCATAACATATGTCTGTTGCTAACTCAATTCTTTAATTAGCTACACAATATATTTTAAGGAAGTCTGCACTTAGAAGTGTGCAATCTTCCTTTAAATTTGAAAACTTATCTATCCGCTGACTGGAAACCATTTGCAACAGCTTACTGCGGCAGAGAACAAACCAGCTTCCAGTTGAAGTGCGAACTAGGAAAAAACGCTGGAGTGGATAGGACACATACTGGGGAAGACAAAAAACTGAGTCACAAGGCTAGCAGGGACTTGAAATCCTCAAGGTTAAAGAGGAAGGCCAAAGGACACATCGTATTTCGAATCGGAGGCAGGCGACAAAAGAATGAACAGACCTTGGGAAAAACTGGAAAGAAGAGCCCAAGACATGGTTGAGGTAACAGGCGTGAGAAAATAAAATTTAAACAACAAAATGTTGTAATATCATATTTTACTTAAACAATGTAAATTTTTACAACAACCTACATCATCAGGATGATTCAGCTCATGTTTTACCAATGCTTTTTCATTTATTTCTGCATCTAAATGATGAAAACACGATGCTGCAACCAAAATATTCAAAATGATGGCGGATTCGATCAATAATACCTCACGCCAATTCCAGATACTTAAAAGCCAAGCAAGGAGGTAATTCGATGCAAATGCACCAACACCTGAACCGCACATAGTGAATCCTATGGCTAGACCGAAACTAAATGTAAAAAAATATTGGAAAAATAACTTTGCGAAAGGAAGTCGGGAATTACGGCCTAAGTATATGAAGTTAACATTTTGAGTGATGAATCACTCTGTTGAAAAGAGTATCTATTCAAAAAAACTAGTACTTTAATCGCTGTAGCCTTTCTCGTAGATTTTTAGGTCGATTTAATAACAGTTTCATGCTAACAAAATGATGATTCAAGATTTTATGACATTCAGCTAATTAATAGCATCATCAAATGAAAAAGTCGATTAAATGGTATCGATGTTTTAACTCTTTTGGTTTCAGATTATTCCATAAATCTCTTAGTGGAAATAAAAAGAACATTGATTTGTCTATCTATCACAAAACGTTTTGAGGAAAAACTATATGTGAACCGTCTTCAGCTGATTTTCAGGTTCATCCAACTAAAACCTGTTTTACATTTTCTAGATGTTTGTTTTGGATCGTCCGTATGCATTACTGTAACATGAAAACACGAGAGATTCTAATATGTTATGATGAACCTGAAAAGGAAAGTCAGTATAAGTGAGACAAATATATAAGCAATACAAATTTGAAGTGAAATATGATAAGATAGCATAAAAAATATTCAGCAACTTTATTAGATTTCAAGTTACGCTTGCGATTTCGTCTGAGTACAGTAATACAAAATAGGTTAAGATAGGATACACGTAGGAAATGGTTTATCATTAAAATAATGAATATGACGCTAAGAACGTAAATCAACTTCATTAAATGTTTTTACACTGATGAAAACAATCGATTTCGATCCGTCGAGGCGTTTTAGAATGTATTCACTGATTATTCTTCACAAAATTCGTCAAAACAAAAGTAATAATTGTAATGGTAGTGTATTTTGCATAAAATACTTTGTCGATATTTCATTTCCAAAAGTCGGTTTTCGTGTGTCTCACATTTTTATCTTTTTATAAGTAAACTAGAATTAGCTAATTATACAAACGGTTATAACTATCTTTTACATTCCTTATATTTCACAGATCTCACTCTTTATCAATCTCAACCTTAATGAGAAAATATTTTTTTAATGTGGCAGCATAATACTGTGTATACACCGGTTTTAATCATGAATATGATTGCTTTGAGATTGTAAGAAATTGATACAATCTACAAAGTACCTTAATCAAGATTAGCTCACTGATTTTATTATTCTTCCCTGATTAACACTAGTATTTTAGTTAAACTTTTTGTATAAACTGTTATACCTCTCCAGTTTAGTGAACTGATTATTGGGTAATATTTCCAAAAAATGAAACAAATAATGAAAGAGAAAGACTTGGATAGTAAGCTAATGTTTGAAAAACTCTAATGTTCCCAAGTAAATTTTCTATCATCAAGTCAAGCTTCTATCTGTCATGTAGTTGTAGGTTTGAACATGATATCACACACACATTGGTTTAGATAATCAGTTACAATTAGTATTACCTACACAAAAATATGATGTAAATTGGGTTACACGGATGTGTTGTTGGTTATTTAGCTCCATTAAATTATAAAATTAAGTATAGGCATTCTTTATGAAGATAAAAGACAATTTTAAACTCCATGAATGCTTTATCTATTTTCATCATATTTGAGAATTCTTCGACGATAATTTAAGAAGTATTTCTTCACATAGTAGGTTGTTCGATATTGTTTGTTGGGTCCTTGATACGAACCAATATGTAAACGACCTCTGAGTGACTGATATGCAATAGGAACGAGATGAATTGTGACTCTATGCTTGAAAGATGATCTAAGACTAACTTGCTCAACCAAAGAGGAGGAACTAAGATCAATGACCACTATTACATGATTGGTTAATATATTTCAGACATTCGTCTGCATACATACAAAACCAAACCACACTGAAACAATAAATGGAAATCAATAACAATAAATAAGTAAGCCAAAAGTGGCAGTAAGCAGAGGAGACCGTAAATAATGCACTGTAAACAACATGGGAACAGTAAGTCGTGTAATAATAACTTAAGGGTTACTAGAAAGCTTATGACAAAGGGATATATTGAAATGCGATTCTCCCTCTCGCAATGCAAAACGTTGCTTCAAGATTGACTTGCATCAGCACCTGGACTGGTTCGCTCAGTTCTATTTTATGGCTTTGGAACATGACCAGTAAGAGCAGAGCATATTCAAAGGGTACTGGCTTTCGACCATAGGTGTTTACGAAGCATTGCACGTATATCCTACGACTGTCGAATAAGCAGTGCTGTTGTTAGGAAACCTGTACTAATGTGCTAATATGGTATGGCAACTTAAATTTATGTACATACGTACGAAGTTCTACGTTGTAACTGACTGAGTGACCATAAATTAGTTGCCTAAATTAATATTTACTTTAGTCTTCATCTGGATATAACATTATGAGTTTAACGAATGTCATGATAAAGAGAAATAGCATTGGTATACATTTTCGATCATTGTTATTTATACAACACTTAATAAATAATATTTTGATTTGATGATTAGCAACTGGACGAAATCTGAAATAAATTCTTTACACGTTTATTAATGAATGGTTCGATGACTATTGAAGCGTTCATTGAGTTTCATTCCGGGCTTTTCCTATGTAGGATAGTACGGTTAGTTAAGCAAGAAAAAGGACTATTAGGGTAAGTTTCTAAGAAGCTGTCAAGTTTATCATTGGTGCTCTTTTGATTATACAAACTTATTACGGTTGTAAAATAAATAAGGCGTCCCACAGAATGACTTTATTTATAATCAATATTGGCATCTACGTTAGAATGAATCAAAAACTGAATTATATACCTGAGTGTTTCACAGAACTTGTGTTGTTCCAAGATTAATTCGTCATAGACAAGAACCAGATCAAAACTTACGAAAACTAGCGGTTACCAAATAGATCTTTAATCACGGTCAACTCGTCAACAGTGGAGACTTATGATTTAACAGAAAATCATCAATTTTAGTACGAAACCATTCAGTAACAGAAAAGAAGCAGTCAGAGCTAAATGAAACACTCGAAAAATGCTGGCTGGTTTTCGTCTAACTAATATCGGTCTGCGATAAAAATTTACTTTTGGGATTCGTAAATAATGTAGTCTATGATAAAAATACCTGTAGTTTTAAGTCACCACACTTTACATCAGAACATAAACAAAAGGTAAGTGAAATCCAAAGTTTATCGAACACTGATGATAGTGACAAGTACTGTCTTCAGGTCTGGCATATACTTTGTACTAATAAAATGCAGTGAGTTTCAAATGAGTCAAGTGAGTCTAGACAATCACTTATTCGCAGTTAGGACCCATTTGAAATAGTTGAGAAGCTGATAGGATTCTGAATGCCTCAAGTCCTTTGTATTGACTTCGGTCACCTGTAGTGGTTAAACAACGTCATTCTGACCTTGAAGTGTCAAGTGCACAGAAAGTCGATGATAGTTTCGCTCTTTAAATAAACCAATAAGCACTTTCAAAGTGAACGAAATCTATACTGGTTGTGCGTTTATTTAAAGTATTTCTCCGTTAATTTGCTTACTTTGTGGATTTTCAATTTTTTATTTCGTCATAGTAATTTTATCTCTCTTTGTGTAGTACATTAATGCTGATTAATTGTACTCATCATCCCATATATCACGGGAAAAGAGATAATCATTTACAGGAAAAAAATGAGGAATCTAGTAAATAAATAACAAGTAAGCCGATGAAAAAAAATTATGGTATCACGTTAATTCTGATGAAACTAAAATATGTAAAAAAGTGAGTTTATTAAAGGTTTGAAAGAAAAAAAATCAGAATGTATCTGTAACCATTTTCACAGAAAAGAGTCTTTCGGTTTCAACACCCAAATCAATACATAAAAGATTTCAGTGTTATTCCTTTGTTCCAAATGCTATCATTTTCTAAACAAACTACAAGAATTATCTATCATAGTCACAAATGTATCGAAATATTCCAGGAAGTCTATACTTGACAAACTAACATCCTTTAATATTCATTTCGAAGAACATGCAAGATTATTTTTAAAATAATGCTTTTTTGAATGTTTCATTTTCCTAATAAGTGACAAACAAATATTTTTAACTACTGATAGCGGTTCATTCAGGAAGGTTAAGGTATTGACAAATTCTCGTTATCATTCAAACAGAGCATGAGTTACGAAAATTCCTCCACGCAATCATAGAGGTCCTATTTTTAATTACATGCTAAAGTTTAATTATTCATCTCATACATTCTAGCCCTAAAACTCAGTTCGAGTGCAAATTAGTGTAATAAATTATTTTTAAAGAATTAAAGAACCACAAATGCTGGAAAAGTTACTTTCTATGTGAAAACCAACTTACAATGAACTATTTTCGAATCGAGCAGTAACCGACATCAATGCGGATAAATATGTCAACTGAAGTCCAATACTAGTCAATATACCCAGAGTCAAGTATAAAACATGGAAATTGTTCGCAAATGCGGAAACTGAAATAGTATTTTTAGTAAACAACAATAACTACACTATAAACTTACCGAAGCATCCAATCCACATTAAAAAAGCACCCCACGCGGAACCTGATGACAATCCATAGGTATCAAGCAGTGGACATAGAAAGGGCGCAAAAAACTGAGGCATTGCAAAAATCATTCCGGGCAATGTGGCAGTTTCAACGCTGCTAAGATGGAAAGCATTCATGAGCTCCGAATATAATATACCCATTGAGTATGTATATCCATCAGCCAACATGTATGAAATAAATCCACCGAAAGTTAACAAGAACTTTTGAAAATTATTCATGTTTATAAAATAACATGTAAAGAAATTCTGTCAATTAAATTAAGTTGTATAGACTTGTGACATTCTCTTGAGTATACACGTGTAGAACATTTGAAATTATTCGTCTGTGCGTAAAACCAATTTATCTAAAGGATATTTAGAACCCTAAAATTTTAAAGGCGTAACGGACAATAACATCATGTCAGACAAAAGCAATTGTGACAATTATGTACAAAAACAGGTAGAACTACTTGTTGAAAACTAACGACAGTTCATATTTAGGACGAAACGCATTAAAACTTTTAGTCATCTCTAGTCGATAAACTGGATGAATATAATACAAACTAAATATTTTAGCACCTGGTTAGAAAAATTAATCGGCTTTTTTCTTCAGCATTGAAAACGACTAGATTCTTATATGTACTGATAGTCAATTAAATTCTTGTTTTCAAACTCGTTTTATTTTTAATCTGTTTTCCTCGTTTTTGATGCCTACTGGAAAAACACAACTGAAGAACTTTTGGTTTGTAAGAAGTCGGTTAATATGTACGGGGAAAATCGCGAGTTAATACCAGTACAAGCCCTTAACAGAACACGAAAAATGTGATGGAAAAAACAATTTTTATCATAAAGTGATGATAAATTTTTGATATCTCAGTGACCAAACTTTTCTGATTATTGAGGTATAATGAATGAATAACTTTTTTAATGCTCACAATCTAATTAGATGACTTATCTCCGGTGTTTTATGAAGATGGTGACAACCTGCTGAATATGAGACTGATTAAATTGTTTACAACCGTTTGGCAATTAAAGAATGTTCCAATATCGTGGAATGAGTAGATAGCAGTCCCTATCTTTAAAATGGTTCACGTCTTTCATGTCACAACTAGAAAGGGATAAGTTTAGTACAGATTGCGTTCAAATTATTGGCATCCATCATCCTTTGAAGATTGTTCAAAACCCAAGATCCAGGCTGGTTTTCATTCTGGTTGAGGACGTATGGATCATATTTTAACCTTCCGCCAGATGTTACGATATCTTCACATTTACTGAAGGTTTACAATCGTTATTTCTTGAAATCAGAACAGCTGTCGATTCGGTGCATAGGACCGTTCTCTGGGATTGTCTATTGTTGAAGGCTGTGTCTGAGAAGTTCACTAACATACTGAAAACCCTATATACAAACACCCCAGAGAGATTGAGAGTATATAACCACCTCTCTCTATTGTTTCTTTCAACGAGGTTAGATAGTGTTGCCCAATTTCACCACTCCAGCTTTGCCATCAATGACGTTCTGGAAACAGCTATGATAGATGTAGGTAATGGTGGTATGTATATTTTTACTGTGAGAAAGACATTTTGATCTTGGATAAATGGGTGATATAGCCTTAATGTGTGATGATAACTGAGCAATGCAACTGGTACTTAATCAGTCATCAGTGTCCATAGATCTGGCATTTAGTTTTCACCTTAGAAGTGTAAAGTACTTTTATAAAATGGGAGCATCCTGAAACTGCACTTGCTCTTAGAAACAAGCAGGTAGTGGTCAAAAAGTCTGTATATCTGTGTGGCTCACTAAGTGCTGGTGGGAACTAGAGCATCTTATGTCAACCTGAGCCGTCTTTGGTGCCTTTGTGATGTTAGTCTGGTTGTAAAAGGTTGGAACTACAACTCGTTTATGAGACCAGTTTTTTTCCATACCTATGAAACCTGACTTCTCGGGCGCAGTTACGAAAACCCGATTGGTGTCACCATTTTAAAACACCAACTACGGTGACTCGGACATGTACTAAGAAGGTCGACTCGAAAAATTCCATGTCATACATTATTTTTTAACGTTGGGATTGAGTGGGAAAATCGGAGTGGTGGTCAGCGTCTGATGTGCTACTGTAGTATGAAAGAAAGCTGTACAAGAATGACACCTGTTGGTCCTTCCTGACCCCTTATTTGGGTCTTGGTATGGTAAAACACGGGAGCATGAAGCGTCATTTGAACTGCTTTGTCCCACTATTATCAATTTATTATTAATATTTCACTCTCGTACATTATAATAACAGTATGACGCCGGTTGAATTTTGACAAACAGTTAAAAATTCCATAAAAATATCTACAAATAATTGAAAAAATCAAACACAACGTACTTTAGATACTCTGGTCACTTGGGCTTAATGAAATTAAACTTTAACATAAAACTAGTATGCATCATCCTAGTGATCTTGTCTTACATACACTTAAAAGTAATAATGCCAGAAAGTTTCAAGAACTTTTAAGGCGCTATAGCTTAAGGCTGTATTCCAAAAACTATTGCAGGTTGTATAACAGAATGGTATTTCGACAGATTCCAAAGATTTTTTTGAATTGGACTGCTTCAACATGCCTTGGTTAATTTTGTCTTCCTCAACCCAGTGCTTTCGAAAAACTATAGTCAACCCCATAACATTATTTCACAACAAAACTACAAGTTTCGTTGATGCAAAGGTAATTTCTGTTAGTGGGACATAGATGGAATTAAAGCATGACTACGTTGCTACGCGCTGATTGAAGAACAGGGTAGAAAATTCTCGTATTGTTAGCTGCATGCTGATTGGCTAAATCTAATCCAGTCGACCAAGTGAATTTTTATACAGAAGCTTCTCATGTAAATGCTATAAAGAAACAAACGTTGTATCTATTTTAGCCTTCGCCATCACCTTTGGCTTCTTATTTCCACTTAACCTTGCTATTTCGAATGTAATCTTTTCCTGTTCAACCGTATTTTTGATTCTCTGGAACTTGTCCAGTGTATCGTGGTCAGAGAATACTAAGCAATAGGATTTAGCTGAGAATCATTTAAGCAAGCGTTACAACAATTTCCGAGATAGTCAACGTCCCCGTTAAGAGTTTGAAATCGGAGAAAGCATGCTTAAAACTTCAGAACATAACAATCTGAGACAGTAGAGCGGTTGGAATTGTGTACTATGGGTTATAACAAAAATTTGAGTATTTTCATAGCATATGTGGTTCATCTAACCACTCAATACACTGGTCAGTATCAGTGCTTAATAATGGTATAAAATACTACATGAGAAAAAATGTATCTAAGTCGGTTTCAAAAATTATTTAAGTTTTATAAGCAAGGTTCAAATGAATAAGTCAACGAAAACATTTATTTTAAGGTAATCTGGAAACGTCTACAATACTATATACGTAACGCCGGTTTTTTACTAATTTTTGAACTGATTTATGACTCTGTCAGTCCCTGCTTGGAAGTATAATGATGACACACTGATAATCAGAGACTACTTTAAGTCATCAAAGTGGCTTAACAACATAAGTTGCTTTTTTAGTGATACTTGTTAAACTCCATTGTTTAAAGAGAGAGACCCATTGCCAAGAATAACACAGGCAACCGAAAATCCTGTTTTTCTTAAACTGAGAAGAACTGAAATGAAATTACCTGAGAAATGCGTTACTATCCCTCGAAAGTTTTTGGTAAAAATAAATTAAACACAGCTAGGGTATAAGTATCATCAAATTACACTAGATGGACTTCTACTGAGGACCAAGACTTCAATAATCAAAGGTTGTTCAAATGACTTTTCATTGGTCTGACTAGTAATTTTGATCCGTGGTAGATGCCAGTCTGACAAATCATCCTAATGTGATGTCTAAAAATGCAGATGTCTGATTACAGGCTATTTGTCTGGCGAGGCATTGAAGTGAATCTAATACAGAGTGCAAGGCACCAGCAATTTTCACCTAACATTCGTACATTTAGTTTTTGCGTTGCAGCTTTAAGGATATTTGTAAATCTAGCAACGGTTTACATTTGACTACATGCAAAACACTTTCTACAGGCACTAGAACAATATTGGTTTCATGCTAGTCATATGTGTTTTGCAGACATCTTTGATGCAGTGTGCAGCTTCTACCAGGACTAAAAATAATTTATTGAGGCAAATATCAAATAGCGGAACACTAGCTTCAGTATTCTTCAAATGATGAGATTTTACCAAAAGTGAACAAACCAAACCACTTCAGGTACAACTACTTTCCAGCCTAATCTAAATTGTGACGCCAAACGATTACACAGAATGTAGTAACAAACAATCTTCAAATCAAGTAGCTTCATAAATATTAGGCACTGATACTGATTACTTTAGTTCCAACTGAAACTAAGAACTGTAAGCGCTCCATCAGGCGCAAAGAAAACTTCTCCTAATATCCATTATCTTTTTCATGAGCTGGTATAAACCAGTTGTTTTTTTGCGCTCGATTCTTGTTCTTTGGGTACGGTCTTGAAATAAAGCTTGAGGGCTTTCCTTAATTCAATCAGTTCCGATGCTAGTCTCGTGTTCATTTATCTCTGTTGCGAAAAATTAGGAAGGTTCTGTTACTCAGCTTTTTCTTCATTCCTACTACAGAAATTATACTTAAAAGAACTCGATGATGTATTAGTTATAACACATGTATGTCGTATAGTTAAATACTTCAGGATGATAAAAAATAGGTCACATATCACGCATCGTATCAGTAGCACACATCTTACCCTGATATTTCACAAATAATCGTAACCTAGACGCTTTGTTACAGATAACTGACTGAATATCAGTAAATTTGATAGAGTTCAGAGCGGAAATCGCAGATGTAGACAAACACTTCTGAATTACCCTTCAGTGTTGAGTGAAAATAGCCTAAGTGTTAATTCACGCCAATAAAAGTGTCTAAAATAAGAATAAGCTTATATACGAAAATACAAACGCGCGATACTGTCTTCTAATATTCAAAATACCTTCGGACCCCTCAAATAACCAATGCCTCATTTTAACAATTCAACATTCAACATTTTTCCATCAGCTAACGTAAGTAATTTCCTATTACCAATTTCTTTTTCTTGAAACAGTATAGACCGGTTGATTTCTTTCCGCTCAATTCTTGTTCTTTCGGTACGTTTCCAGGTATTTGTTGCGTCCAATGCATGGGGGTCTAGCCACTCGACTGTCTAATTCTAGTCAGTTGGCAGTTTTTGTGAAAATATATGTCCAGTGTTTTGAATGAATACAATTCTTTCAGGGCAGTAGCTATCATGTTACCACGCCAGGTATCAGTTAGTTGCAATATGGAGAATAATAAGGAGAAAATTCTAATGCTAAAAGGATGATTTCAGAAATAAGTAAATAAATTGACCAATAAGGCTTTCAGTGGTTATTAAACCGGGACTTTACCCCGAGGGGACATTAGGTAGTGAATTTCTCTGGGAATATAGAGCGTTCATGTCACGTTGGGCAGAAAGTTCTTTACGTAACATTTCGACTGGTGAAGTTTTAGCCCGTTGTCTACTGCCTATTCCTCCGTTGTTGTAAGGTCTTAAAGCCCCACTACCGATACCAAAAGTTCTTGATATGGCATAGTAAGTGTATTGTACAACCACCCAGATAATCGAGTTCCACAACACACAAATCGAGTTTATTTGTACTTCATAGAAATGCCTTTAAGTGAACCACAAAAATAGTGTACTAAAATAATGCATCGACCAATGCAATCTCAAGGTCAGCTGATCAGCCCATGCTGATTGGGACCGTTTCCAAGTGAGTCCTAGAGATCTAACGTTCCCAAAAAACCAAAAGATAATTTTTGGCTTAGTAAGTCGCCTTCTCTCGGGTACTATAAAATGGATTTATGTGAAGGTTCCGCCTGACAAAGACCATATTGGTCTTCATAAGGGATAATACTTTGGTCCATGCGCTATCTTCGTTATTTATTCAACTGTTTTTCGATCACATTCGACAGTATTGGTAGTTATGTCACTGGTCTACAGTCGGCTGGATCTTTCCTATTCCCTCCCTTGAAGATTGGAGAGACCAGTTCTTTGCATGCTGATGAAAGGTGGTGTAACTCCTGTGGCTTTTTCAATTAGTCACAAAACGATAAACTGAGTGTATTATCATGACAATTCGAGATTAAAGAGTAAGTATCCTGGGCTCTGAGATTTGAGTTTTCTGATTACTAACCCAAGCTAACATCAGATATTCCGAAAACCATGGAACGGCACTAGAATTGAGTAGAACTCTGAAATTTTAAATACCTAGATAAGCTGGTCGGTGTGGTTGACACTAATGATCTTAGCTAAATCTAAGTAAACAAGGTCTCCATTTGGATGTTCAGTAGCACAAACCCTAATCAGTGGGTTTCTATTTGGTCATGAAGCGAAAGAGATTCATTGGGTTTGCCTGTGCTTAGGCACCTAGTTACGCCTGCTATCACTTCAGTATTGCACATTGCACTTTTTTCTCAATGCTAATTAAAATCACGATCAGAATCTTCCAGATAGACGTGACAGTTGTGGTGGTTTCTTCTTTTCGCCTCGGACAAGCATACAGTGTCTCATCCAACCCAGGTTTTGCTTTCTCCATGTATGTGCTTCTCATGAGGTACATAGTGTGGGCTACCATTTAGAAAGGTGTCTCTCGCTGTCGCCCAGAGATCATCTACCGTCAGCTTCTACAATTTTCATGGCCACGAGGCGTGTATAAGTCTTTCTCTCATATTCGCGTAGTTTGCTTTAATGTGACAAAAATGGGACGCGTTTTCAACCCTCTTGGTTTTTACGTTTATTGCCCTGTTAAACATAGCTGTGTAACGGTCTGATGTGTCTCGAAACTCGCCTGTTGTTGTCATGAACACTGCTTCATATCATTTAACCTATTTTGTACCGCTTCTTATAGCCTTTTTACCCCTTTTATCCTCACAATTCAATCTTCTCACACTATCTGAAATACCAATTAACTTTCCTGTATACTTATCTACTTGTTTCTGAAACATTTATCGTAGCATGAGCATCAATACTTTATCTTTGTTCTTCATACTGAAACTAACTGGTCACCAGCTGGGTGACAGGCAGGAAGCCTAGTGCCCTGAGAAAATGGCATGCACTGAAATCACAAGATATCCGTAAATAATTACCAACTTACTATAATTAATGCAGTTAAGTGGCTAGATTACCATCCAGTAGACACTACTAAATACCTGTAACTGTGCTGAAACAAAAGTCGAGCGCAAAGAACTTAATTAGTCTATATTAGCTCACCATAAAGATATTGAAGTATTGAAATAGTTGTTCTACAATTGGTTAGGGCGGTACATGTTCTGGTTCAAGAATTTACTCTGTCCAGGAAGAAGAGTTCTGTCGGTTACAAATCGAAATCTGTTTATTCAGTTTTCTCCATTGTGTGGAAGCTTCAATCGACAATCCGGAAACTCATGGGTTTGCAGAGTTGTTGGCAGGTTGTCACAAAAGGACAAAGTGCTCTTATATCAAGAATTATCTAAGTTCATCAACGAAAAGCCGGATTCTTCCTTAAATGCACAAGAAGCCCAGGTAGAACCTTTGACATATGGACAGCTTAGACTTGGTAAGTCTACAGAAGAGAGTAAAATATGTTGCATTTTAGTTTTTATAGGTAACTGTCTCCCTTTCATAGGATTTGGCTTCTTGGATAATGCAATCATGATAGTGGCTGTAAGTTAGGCTAATGGGCTAACATTCTTTTTATCGTAATTTTTATATAGGGGGAGTATATTGATGTTCAGTTTGCAACACTTTTGGGCATTTCGACTATGGCTGGTATTTAAATTTCTGATAAATTTTCATTATTTTAGCTGCCGGTCTAGGTAATCTTGTTTCTGATCTTTTTGGAATAGGGTGAGTTTGTAATCATGTGTGATAAGAATACTCTTATGAATTTAGTTCTCCACTTGTGTATCTTAGTAAATGCTTATATTTAACCCATCAATTCTAAAATAATTAGTGATTTGCAAATTTCACCCTTCATGACAGTAATCGTTTATATTGTTGTTTCTTCTAAGCTTGTGCATCAAAGTGTAACAGCTTAGATTGAGGAGAAATTAAAGTGAATCTAATATGAGTTATCTCAAAATCTTGGGATAAATTTGTCGTACTATTTGTTGGTGGCTAACATCCAAGCCTTCATGTCCTCTTAATTTCTTAGTCAGTTTCAACATAGACATTGGTATTTACGTACAGCAGTTGAATTTGGCAGATGGAGTTAACAAGCCAAATCACCGAGTAGTAGGGATAATAATAGGAAGAAGTAAGAATCAAAGATACGACTCAAGTAATTATCAATCTGTAAAGTAAAAACAAAATTATAACGAAATCAGAAGCCTATAGTTTGGGGAAAGACAATGTATGAGTGCTCCTGCGCCATACCAAAGATTTTGAGTCGTCATCCTAGTCTCCAACGATTGGTAACAACTATCACGCAGACTCCCCCAGGTAGTTAACATCTGTTAACATGATTCAGTCCAGTTGTTAATGGCTTCATAGACTGGTGCCATGATCTGGTTTAACCGCCTTTAGCTTTCTTCCAGTCTACTCCTACACTAGACAATATTGCTCGTTGAGATAGGTGTTTGTTGAGCATACGTAGTGCACGTTTCAAACAAATCAACCGACGAATAATCACTACCTCACCAATCGCTTAGTTATCGCTACCTATTAATCTGTTTCTAACACAAGTGTTGCTTACACGGTGGTCCCAGAATATACGGTCGATGTTTTGAGGACACCTATGATTGAATATGAGTCATCTACGAATATCCTTAATGGTCATGTTTCACACTCATAAAGTGAAACGGAGAGAGCTACTGGGCAGAAAACTTGTCCTGTAGTTGGTAGGCAGATGCCTAACCCACACCACAAGTAAAGTAAGTTGGCAAAGGCCAACTAAACCTCCCGTATCCGTTCCGAAATTTCTTCAGACACCAAATCGTATGGATTAATCTGATTCCCAAGATGAGTAAAGCAGTTGACACGCTCAATTACTTCTTTCTCTACCTCTAATTCAGGAGCCAACACAAACTAATCTTGAAGCGACATTTCACATTTGCAAGTAGAGGAATCACATCCCAAACATTCTTGCGTTGTTGCTGAAGGAGGTCAGAAAACTACGTTTTGTCAGCATCTTCACCAGACAACTACATCATCTCCATGTTCTAACTCAGTAAGTGAATGTCCTGGTAGTTGATCAAGCTGTGAAGAGTCAGACGACAAGTGCCATTTTCAAAAGTATGTCCATGACAAAGTTAAACAAAAATGGGAAAGCGGACTGCCTTGGCGAATACCACTTGTAGTAATCAGTTCAGATAAAAGTTCATCATAAGCTCTCACTTGATCAATAATGTTCGAGTAGAGAGCCTGTACAAGGTTAGTGTACTTCTTTGGTACGTCCAGTTCGCAGCTTCTTGCCAAGATCTAAGCGCTAACTAAATGATATCTGAATTGAATTTTAATGATTTTGTAGTGATTTTTACAATAACCTGTTTATGTAGTATATTTTAAAAGTATGAGTATACCGTAGTCCTTTTGTGATGTCACCACAGTTAGCCTTTTCCTCTATAGATATAGCAACAAAATGACCAGTATGTATAGAATTATTTTGTTACTCATGGGTCTACTTTAGGCAATTAATTAAATAAAATTTCAATAAAAGAGAAAAATGTCTACACCATTATAACAGGCTTGTCGGCTACGTTGAGAAGTTCATAGAAAAAATTGGAATTTCTGTTCCTCCATTATCTGCGTCTCAACTTACAAGCAGCTCAGTTCGCTGGTCTGTAGCGATGGTAAGTTAGTTTTAATCATAATATTCAGGTTTATTCTGTTCTTTGAATGTCTTTTTTCGATTTGCTAATGAACATGTACACTTGTCGGTTGAAAACCTATACCGCAACGATTAAAAACTTCAATTATCGGTTTTCAGGAATAAATCTCCTCATCTTTTTTCTCCCTTTGGGCGTTTGAGTGTTATCAGAAACCCCTCAAAACTGGCTTTTTGCTAATCTCGGATATTCATTCGCCTACTGAGCTCCATTTAGTGTTATGTGTCCATTATACATCAGAGAATCTAGACATAATTTCATCAGAAAACCTCGCAAAATCATGGTTACCGTCGTAACTCAACTCCAGCGTAATTACCGCGTGTAAGTAAATGCATGCTTTATGATGATTACCTGCTGCACTTTTTTAGAACAGGTTAATGCTGCGATCGATACGCTGACTTTTAAGCTTTGTGAATGGTCTCGTAGTAAAACACTTCAAACGGCTTTAAACTCGTGATGTTTTTAATTGGAAATTAAGCTGCTAACTAACATTGATAAAATTAACTTTTCTACTCTTGTTTTAGGGACGAATAATCGGCATTACTATTGGATGTCTCCTCGGTTTATCGCCCCTTGTTTGGTTCAGTCGGTGAAAGCTAAAACAAAAAATTAGCCAAGCAATCACTCCAACTTTTTGGATTCTTTATCCCTAATATAATAGCAATGTTTTAAATTAACTAAGTTTATTCTGACTTTACCACTTTCATTGACTTTCCCTCTTCATCAGCATAAATCCATAGTTCCTTATGAGTTGTAACAATTAATTCCTAACTTCAGTGCAAAAGTTTTGCAGAACTGTATTTTATTATTGATCAGCTGTTTAAAATCGTATTCAAACTCTGCGAAGCGATGTTTTGTTCAAAGATCAACATAATATTTAACATCTAATTCCTAATTACTTTTGGTTGCATTACATAGACCAGTTTTTTTACCTACATGTATTGTAAAAGCCTTTGAAAACACTTAGCGCCAATTATAATTGTACCTTGCATATGGTTAAACATTATTTTCTACATTAATAAGGTTGCATAGTAAACGTTCTAAGAATCCTTTATTCTCAGTTGGTAATTTATTACTTCATTTTTTATTCTCATGCCTACATTTAAACGAATATGTTTTTATTAATTTTCTATTGCTGAAAAATATGTTCTTTCATAAGTCGGGTTTTTTCACGTACCTACCAAGAAAACACTCAGCTTATTCATGTACAGTAATCAAGAAGTTAAATCCTCAACGATTGCCATTTAAAATGATAGATGCTGATGTAGTGAATTTAAATTTTTAAACTCCATGTTTTATAGATACTATAAAACTTTTCGTAATGACTAGCCAATAAAGTGACCTACATTAAAATTAAAATTAAGTTTTGATCGTGTAGCCTGTCCATTTTTATGCCTAAAATTTTGTTAGTTTTTGACGCAAACTTACTACAGTACCAGCTCCAAAAAGTTTGCTGCAAAAAACAGTGGAAAAGTACGGGAATACAAAGAAGGACGGATGAAAAAACGATCATATAAAACGCGTTTAAAATGCTTTGGTCTCATTTTGAATTCCATTGCACTGGGTCTCTTCCCATTTGGTCTTTTCCGAAATACTGTTCGGAGAGTCAGGGTTGACCAATGGATGCAAACTAACGGAAGTTCCCGCTTATCACTGCGAATATGAACTACACTTTTCCACTTAACTGCAAATCGATCAGTATGATGAGAATGTTGTGAGTATTGAAATTAATCTTTGTAGTATTCTTTAATTTGAACTCTTCAAAGTTAAATTATAGTAAAATAAGTAAGCTTCATTTAGGAATATGCAGACGTGAGTTCAAGTATTTTTTCTGCGAGCTTCCCACCATGATGCGTTAATAATTATTCATTCAAACGAGTTTGTAGTTTTAAAATGAAAGGTACCAATCATTTGAGAAAATTAGCTTAACATGACAAATAACACAGTTTATCAGGGTAGAATGGTTTAGGTCCAAAACAGGTATTTTACAGTTACCACTAATATTGACTTTTAACTGAATCAATCAACAGCAACGTATAACTTCGTACGTACGTACAGCAGTGCAAGTTGTCATACCGCATTAGCATACCCGTAACAGCACACCGCATTAGCATAGAGATGTAATTGTCAATGCAAATCCCAAAGTAGTAGAGGTAGTAAAGGTATTAGCAGTAATCGGAGAGATTAGGGTCCGAAGATATTATTCACGAAGTAGAATCTAGTGAAATAAACTTCAAAAGATAAAGATGATGACGAATCCAGAGGATTAAGATTTGAGAGAACACAAAGAATAAATGCACGTGCAAACGATTTTGAGCCATGCCATTCAGGGTCTCTTACCATCGATTACTATCATCTCGCGGGCCCCAACCATGGATTTGTGCCATGTTTTGGTCTGGCCGCTACTAACTTTCTTCCAACCTATTCCTAAATCGCAAAACATAGCTCGAAAAGGCAGTCGGTGGTTAGGGATACGTAACACACGTTCCAGACACATCAACTGATGAAGTTTCGCTACTTCAATTGATCTGCCATCCTTACTTATCATCCGTTTCCTAACAACAACATTGCTTACTCGATTGTCCCGTGATAAATGAGCAATGGTTCGAAGACACCTATGATCGAAAACCAGTAACCTTCGAATATCTTTTCCTCTGGCCATGTTTCACAGCCGTAAAGTAGGACAGAGCGAAGTACACTCGTCCTTTGGTTAGCAGACAGACATCTCGCCTACGCCATAAGTGACGCAAGTTGGCAAAAGCCAATCGAGACTTCTGTATCCGTGCTGAGATTTCGTCAGTCACCAAGCCATCAGCACTGATGAGACTCCCGAGGCAAGTGAAGTGGTCGAAATGCTCAACTGCTTTACTCCTTATCGCAAGTTCAGGTGCCAACACAACTCAATCCTGAAGCAACACTTTGCATTTCGATGGTGGGGAGAATCACATACCGAACATGCTTGCATTGTTGCTTAGGGTAGTCAGGAGAAACTGAATTTTGTCAGCGCCTTCACTGAATACGACTATGTCATCAGCATATTCTAAGTCAGCAAGCGTGTCTCCTGCTAAAAGGACCACTCCTGAAGAGCCAGATGATTACAGTGTTAACTCTAAAAGCATGTTTACGACAAAGTTACACTAGAATGGGGAGAGTAGACAGGCAGGGCGGACACCACTTGAAGTAATGAATTCCCATGTCAGTTCGCCATAAGTTCTTACTCGACCAGTGGTGTTCGAGTAGAGAGTTTGTATAAGGTTGATGTACTTCTTTGGTACACCTTTTAATGACAGAAACTGCCACCCAACCTGACGATCCACAGAGTCAAAGGCCACCTTAAGGTCCAGGAAGAGAACTATTGTAGGACCCCTAAATGTATGACTGTGTTCCAGGACCTGTCGTAGTGTGAAAATGTGGTCCATACAGCCACGTTCAGGTATGAAACCAGCCTGGTTTCTTGAGTCTGCTCTTCACGACCTCTAGTTAGGCCTTTAAGTATAATCGATGCTAACAATTTAGAAACTATATTAGTTAGACTGATTCCCTGTGAATGTCACAAAAGGGTTTTTATCTCTTCTTATAAATTGGAACAATCAGCGATTCAGCCAGTCGGATGGGATTACGTCCAGTTCCCAGATTTTACCTAAGATCTCAGTCAATCTAGCTGTTAAACCTGGACCACCATCCTTAAAAATCTCAGGGATAAGCCTATCGGGACCTGATTCTCTACTTCGCTTTAGATTTTCTTAGCTTTCTCAACTTCATAAAGAGTTGGCGGAATTACGTCGATTTGCCGTTCAGGATGACTGGAGATGGTGGGCAAATGAAGTCCAGTTGAACCGATCCCTAAAGTGTTCTACCCATCAATCAAATCTCCTGGATCGAGAATGGATAATAAGACCATCCTTTTCCGAAATAGTCTCATTCACATTCGGTTTCCTAATACCGGTTTCCTTGATGAGTCTGAATAGTTGACTACTGTTGCCTTTCGCCGCTGCTTTTTCCATCTCTCTCGCTTTCGCTACCCACCACTATTCGCGATCATTGCGTAGGCTTTTTATCAGCCTGCGCTTAAGCTGACTCCGCTCTGAAAACCAGGCGGGATGAGCTCTCGAGTATCCGTCAGCTCTGTAGATACTACTGAAATCCACAGCTTCTCCCTAACCTTATGGTTTACCTTACTGGTAGATATCACTTCTGTTTCCACAGCTTTTTTGATATCGTTCAAAGCTTCCTCAGGGTGGGCATCAATTACTACATGGATCCCTGATTGTTTTTCCAATTGTTCCTGAAATATATTCTTAGTTGAGCCATCATTAAATAGACCTCTAAGAGGTTTTCTTGTGATGTCTTTCTTATGTCCAGTAGAACGCAAACAAATACGCGCTCGCACTAGAGCATGGTTTGAATCCAAACAAGTGCTCCAGAATGAGCAGCACTGTTCAATAGAGCCTCTTAACCGATGGCTTATAGCGATGTGATCTGGTTGGGTCCATCTTTGGGGGTCGCCAAGTCGAAAGATGCTTTTCCTTATGCCTAAAGTTCGTGTTTGCTAGAATTAGGCGGTTATCTGTGTATAGTTGCAGCAGACGGTCGCCACTATGTTTTATTAGCGGCGACACGATAAGACGCACCCAGGTGTCTTTCCTTTTCACCTAGTCTACCTAGTTGAGCATTGAAGTCATCAGCTATTATTACTACATCAGAATGCTCAACATTATTGGAGGATGTTAAAGAGGTTTCTGTGAGACTTATCTTTTATGTCGTCTGAACTGCAGTCAGTGGGAGCGTAGGCAGACGTTTAACTGAAGCGAAGAGTTTATGTAAGCGATTAGTTAATAATGTTGATTAGACAAACGTAAGGGATGACAATTCACGATCGAGCGAGAGTCGTTCCTCAAATTTCGAGTGTTTGCTTATGAGAAAAAGCTGGAAAGTTATTCTGGACTCACTAGAGATGCCTACTTTGATGAATCGGTTTTAAACTTATAGAAGCTGTCATTAAAGCATAATAATTTGAGTTTATTTTCATAAATTAGCTTAACAGTTACTTCTGTATCGAACTAATTAAGAGCCCTACAAATTAACGATCGCCCAGTGCTTCCATAGCTTGACACAAAAATTGATAGTAAAACGTTATTCGTGGATAAGAAAATAGTAGTTATCTAGGAATTGTACGTATAGTTGTAACTCGTTCCAGAATACCACATTAGGTCACTGACCCTTAGTTTCTAAAATCCTAAATATGAAATGCAAGCGACTGATACACTCCAAGACTACTCTAATTCCGCTCAATCTTTTCCTGTCTACCAATCTTTACAGGAAGTGGGATATACTCGTTGACAGACCAACAGTATACATTCACTTGCAATTAGCAACTAGTATTTACTCTTCTCTTACTATACAGGTAGACGCGTATCAATCCACATGCTTTATAGAGACCGAAATCGAGCCTATCTTCCACTAGCTGCAAGGTATTTACTGAAATATGGCGATCTTAGTTTGGTTGTATTCAGCATTTCTATGAAGTCGAAATAGAAATTTTAGAAGGACTTAGAATTGCTTTCGAAAGGTAACACCAGTCCGACCGAATTACGCTATAAAATCTGGATATTTTGCACCCATGTCTCTGCTAAATTGTTGAAAATCGTGACGCATTAGCATATCAAGTACTTTTCACACGGAGGATAAGAAATAATATCATGTCCATTTCACAGTCACGTGATTAAAATACTTCAATAAAACTAAAATTGAATGTTTGGAATATCTTAATTTATTATCTGGAAATTTGTAAATGTGATTAGCGAAAAAAAAAAATTTAAAGAATAATATTAACCAAAGTTTAGAATTACAAGCAAATAGTAGACTACGTAAACATGTAATCGCATAATTTAGTCATAATAGCGTCCAGCTTTGAAAATTTTGAAAGCAACTAAACTGTCTACCGTATAAATAGCGAGTGCCATAAAGATAAAAATCTGAAAAAGATAAAGTGATAGTAGTATTGGATGGTTTTTAGAGAAACAGTTTTTGCAAAATCAACTAAGCTTGGATTGTATACGAGATGGAATGTTCACTGGAGTTATATGGTAGTAGATAGCGCAATAACAAATGTGTAATCAACCTTTGCATTACTGACAGTCTGTAAAAGCCTGGGGAACGTCGATAATTTATTTGGAACCATATATATATTATATGCAAAACGGTTTGAGTGATCCCACGAAAATAGCATTATCTTGAAGCTAAGATTTCGTTTTTCTGACACAGTGACACAACAAAGAGCTCAGATTGATGCTAACGTTTACTCCGGTCAATCCGTTTATGATAGAATATGTTGTCAGTTGATAAACCCATCGGTAGACGATAAAATCTTATCCGTAGACTGTATTCACCTCGTTGATAAACGAATTCAAATAAATTCAAATAATCATGTTATTATTTGAAAGAATTTTTTGGCTTTACGTTGGCCTTGATTGCTTTTTTTCAAGATTTGTCCGTCATAAATAGCAAAATACTTATTATATACATCATTTACTTACATCACAGTTCATATGAACAAAATATTTTCTATTTCATACCTTAGTGTAATGTAAGACAAACGTCCCACTGAACATATAGGATCTGGTTACCAAACTGTAAATAGACTTTATAACTAAGATGCTGAGCTGTTGATTCTTCATTTCTGAATATGGCACTAATCAATTTATTAGTGACACGAGCCCAGGGAATTTTTCGGCATCTAGAAATAAGTTAGGTTTTATGACATGTTGGCCCTGATAAGTCCAATGGCACAGTAGAGGTTTATTCAGGATATTTTAAGATGCACAGGACTTTCCTTTTTGCTGCTCCATTCTGTTGTTCAATTTAGGATGGTACACTACCCTGTAACTGGAAGATCGTGTTGTACCAGTACCTGGCGAGAGTAGCTAGTGAAACCTCTCCATTTCTTCCACTTTGAAGTCGCAGTGGTCAAGGAGGTAGTTATTGATGGGACTATTTAGAGATATCTACTTTAAAACTATACTATCTAATTTCGCGGACGGAATTCCGATAAGATCTTTTAGTAGTAATCTACACCTAAAATAGTTAGACACTGTCAACTCAACAGATATTAGTAACTAATCTGGGTCTGCCGGACTTCTCTAAGACATTCGATAGAATATATCGTAAAATATTCCATTTGAAACTAGGAAAAATGAGTACAAGCTTAAATGTTCTGAAGACTACTTCTCGATTACACTACTACCCACAGATACTATGTTTGAAGAGACAAGCAGCTGCATGAAGATCAGCGTTCTTCATGAGGACTTAAGCAAAATAGTAAGCTAAACAACAATAATAAACAAATAAAGAATGTTACTATTGGAGATACATTTATCTCGTACATCTTGAGCGATTTTATTGTCGAAACTTAACCACAGAAGATGATATGTTTCGTACTAGGGTTGATCCACTCGTCATTATCACCAAATATTGAGACAAAAGTAGAATTTAAAAACGGAGGAGAGCAGAGGAGCATACCTATTCTATCTCAATAAAAATATATTTAACACACAAAAGTCTGACTCAGGAAAATATTTTATATTCCATCCTTACCGTTTCTGCTATTATAACCCCACTTAAATGAGAATAAGCCGCAGACAGCACTCCATTTGAAAACACTAGTATGCATACGATAACGTAAGCAATAAGCTCCTAATGTGGTTAGCAGTATTTGATATTACTTACAATTAAACACCAGGGGGCAGCAATAAAACGGTGCAAAAGAAAGAGATGGAACACAATAAAGAATGCAGTAACAATGAAAGATAAAGCAGTAGTCACGGTAAGCCATGAACCGCCCACAAGTAAAAACTTCTTATCCAAGAAACTGATGGTAAATGCTATGAAGACACACAATAATTCACAAATTTTAATTAGTGCAGGAAATGTCCTAAAGTAGCCTTGGTAACACTTCCAATGGAAGATGCTTGGAGAAGTAACATCATCATCAGACGATTGGTTTCCATTGACACCCACAACTTTAATGCCATTTACACTGCTTTGAGACATTTTAACAGGTTGTGTAATCGTTGAATCTTAAAGTTTATGCAGTTTTCATTGTATACACACGACTGACTTTCAGCTTTACTAGTTTTCGCCCAGAGGACCTAGTTTGCCAGATGAACTCTGACCTTGATTTGGTAATTTTAAACGAAAAGAAAAGAAAAATTGTAAGTGAGAAAGGCAATTTTTTCCTTCGGTGTTTTGCTGTAGTGACTTTTATATTCGGTCAAGAACAATAGAAATCCATGAAACTCAAAAAATGGTCCTGTGTTAGCCGAGTAAATACAGCTTTTATTCACCGTTCAATATCACTGTGACCCCTACCATTTCCTAACATCATTCTGTTCATTCACTGTATGAAAACAGTGAAAAAGGGTTCAATTTTTACTAAGTGTTTGGTATAATTACCCTTAAGTTATTGGCATTCGTCTTCGCCGGCCTATCCCATTGTTATTAATAATGGAGGTAAAAAAGGTGAGATTCGAGACATTTGCTTAATTTCAGGAGCCTAATGAGTAAAATACTATTTCATATGATACCGAGTAACGGAATTAGAACGGCGAAAGTGCTCAATATAAATAGTGTTGAGGCAGATTTGTACAGATAAGTAAAATAAAATAACTTGCTGTGATAACCTATCTCCAATATCCAATATCCGATATAGTTTTCACGAACTAGTGTAAACCAGTCTGATTTCTTCGCGCTCGATTCTCGTTCTTTCGGTACGGTTCCAGGTGTTCGGTAATGCCCGATGGATGGAGGTCTAGCCATTCGACTGTCTAATTCTAGTCAGTTGGCAGTTGTTTGTGAGTTTGTATGTCTCGGGATTTGAATGAAAACGTTTGTTTCAGGGCAGTAGGGTTTCTGGATACTAGCAGCCGTCACATTACAAGACCGAAGATCAGTTAGTTGCATTGTGGAGAGTAATAGGGGTAATAAGGATAAAAATCTAATGCTAATATGAATAAAATTTCAGAACTGAATAATATCTAGATGATTTAGTTTATTAATTGCTAGTGAAGATTATGAGAGAGGATCGAAGTTTAAGCAAGGGAGAGGAAACAGAGATAATAGGCGAGATAGATTAATTGAGTGATCTGAGGAAATGGCAATGATAACAACTAGCAGGTCTCAAGATATGTATCATGAACAGCTTGTCCAAGAGTGAGATGATAGTCCGTCTGTGAGTACATGATTATCAAGTCTCTTCTTAAAGCTGTCTACTGAGGGGGCTGTGGTTACCTTGGCTGGGAAAGCATATCAAGTTGCAACGACGAACCTGAGTATTCACTCTTTGAAGTGCAATCTTTCGAGGATCGCCTTGAGGGCAGTGGTGGTGATGCATCAGTAAGCAGTCCACTTAAGGGGCTGCGCAGAGCATTTCAAGTTGCGACGACTCGCAATGAGAAAAAGTGTGCACGAATCTGAATATTCGCTCTTTGATGTGCAGTCTTTCGAGGATTGCCTCGAGGGGAGTGGTGGTGATGCATCGGTAAGATGCCCACGTTGGGATGTTTTGGCGTGTTTAATATGGTGTGCGCCATAATCATATCGTCCCTGATTCTCCAGTAGAAATAATCCCAAGAGCTGGAGTCTATCATCGCAAGGTTTATTTTTCAAACCTATCACCCATCTGGTTGCTCGTCTCTGCACTCGATCCAAGAGATTTATGTCTCTTTTAGGCAGAGGGGTTGCGATGATGTTGTTAACTTCCAAGTGTGGGCGCGCGTACGTCTTAAACAGGGTTAAAAATGATTTCGGGGTGATAGCACCAAGCTGTCTTCGCATAAGGTGAAGAGTCGCATTTGCCTTGGCTGCATCCCCTACATAGTTTGGACTGATGTGGAGGCATTCTGTGGTTATTTAACTAAGTTCGCGCTCTGATGAGACATTAAGGAGCGGACTTCCATTGAGGGTATAGGTCGTTTGCGTCATGTGAGGAAGGAAATTCATGACGTGGCACTTCGGTCGGTTGAGTTTCAAACCGTTTCTCACTGCCATTTTCTCAATAGATGTAAGGTTCTTTTGAAGCTCAGTCGAATCCTCTTCGGTTCTAATGGACCTCCAGATCTTCGCATCGTCTGCGTAGATCAATGCCGGTGAACTAACTGAGTCTAACAGGTCGTTAATAAATATCAGAAAGAGAAGTAGGCCTAGGATGGTCCCCTCTGAAACTCCCGACATGGATACTCGCCAGCTCGCGTGCACTCTATTTACCTTGGTGCGAAACTTTCTATTCTCAAGGTAGTTTCTGAGCCAAGATTTGAGTGGGTCAGTGAAGACCATTTCTATAACATTTTCGATTAGGCGTGCGTGGGACCAATGAATGGAGACAACTTTTTATAGCTCCGGAGGTGATAAAGTATCCCGAAAGGTGGATTGTTTTCCGTAAATGGAAGAGAGACAGAGAGGACACTTCGAATTCGAAGCGCGCGCTGCAAGTTATCAATATAAGGACCAACAATTCTATATAAGATGTGAGTGCATGTCATGCAAGATCGTAAAAACCCAACTTCATATATAATATGCACTACGGTCATCACTTTACTCATCAGGGATACTTGACAAAAAACTGTTACAGTCGGATCCCGTACATGTTGGAATGCACAGTTACGTTGTCATTTGAAAACTATCGTTCAATCAAGGCCCGTTCTGATGAATTCCATGATAGCTTCCCCCAGAAGGTACAAGTCCTCGTTTCGTCCCAAACTAACTTCCTGGGGGAATAGGGTGCACTCGCTTATCGAATGCTGGAAATCCTCGATATCCCCAGCTTCCACTTTCGTTCAGCTGACGAGAAAGAAAAATAGATGTAAGATTCAGAGTGGATTCTGATTTCGGAAAGACAGTTCTAGAAGTTTAGATACGCGCCCCAGTTTATCTGGGTAAGAAACGTTCCTATTATTGATAAAAAAAATAGAGATAATCAACTTAACATATTACAGTTCAGTAGAAAACATAGAAACTGGAAGCACAGTACAAAAATAGAAACTAAAACATAATACAAATAATGACATCTCAAAATGGGATTAAACAGACCACCAAAATGTTGCACAGAAAGAGTCAGTAAGAACATATTACAAATATATACATGGAGGGTTTTTCCCAAAACAAATCCTTCAAAATGGATTATACAGGAGATAATTGTGTAAGGTGGAGTTTTCGTTCTTAGAGCTAGATGATTTAGCTTTAGTGCTTCGGCGCACAGAATCACAAATACAAACTTCAGTTAGAAGCTACAACTCGTAGCCTTTTCTATTGAATCTAATCGTGATTAGCTGTTATTGATGATTAATATGTTGTTGTCTGGCTCTCTACGTTGAGTGTATCCATATTTGATCTGGTTCGTGATATTATGTTTATCTATGATTTTTCTGGTTGATTGATAATTTGGATCAATTTTGATGTGTATGTTGACTGCCAACTGACCTAAATGACAAGCTCCTAAAAATTGTTATTTGGTCTACGTATTCCCCTCGAACCATTATTTCAACATTTTTCTAATCGAATGCATGTCTTTATTTACCCGTTGTGTTGATATAAGAGGACGTATGTCATGGTGTTTGACTGCTAATTGATATCCATGTAGGTGAATCTGAACAGAATGCCCGCTTGTCCGTTTTCGCAGTTTGAACAGTTGATTTCGTAGATAATGTTTAGTCTTTAGAAGTTTGTAATCCTGTTCTTTAGTTAACATAGTGTTGGTCGAATGATTTTATTGGTTGATTTGCAAGATATATTCTTAATGGATTCAGTAAACTGTGGTGTTTTGTTCTCTGAGCTGAATGTTCTGGTTGTGGAGCTTTCATTGTTCTTCTGAACAATATAATCAGCAAAAGCCTTCAGAAAGAAGCTCTCCACACTCAAAACTCACAGCTTAGAGAACAAAATTCCATCACAATCATCCACATGAGCTTGAAATTTTTTCCATCATCCAGTAAACTCGTTGTTGATGGTTGAGTGAAGTGAATATAAACTTAAGTGTTTCACTTTTCCTTTGTTGGTTTCTAGTGATCAACTTACCCGATAATGATGATATGTAGATTGACTCCTTTTTTATTGTGTGAATTTTATGTCAGCGTATGCGCTGTTGATCAGACTAGATTGAAGCTGTTTCTTCATCTCGTCCCTTTTGATGGGGGATGAAATGGGGAAAACTGTATTGCTTTCATTCGGTTTCTTACCATCCATCGTGGTCAAAGACTGACCAAAACTCACTAAAATTGACCGTGGGGACCGTAATTATTGATCATAAGCTACACTTTACATGTGCTGCATAACGTGCGTTATTACCTGACAGTTTCCTTAACAATGAGGTTGACCCTTCTGCTTACACACGCGAATGGAGTAGTAGTCGCACTGTGTATACGAATAGTAAGACCCAGGAATATCCGACTCCTACTGTCGTATGTCACGTATGTACCAGTTCTGAAATCAGGATTATCTATACGTGCGCTCCCTAATGTCTCCTCAGAGGCGCGTTTCCTCGGGTTTAGTAACCACTGAAAGCCTCCACATCATTTCGAACTTTATTGGGGACGCAGCCAACTCAAATGCAACTCTTCACTTCATGCAAAGACAACTTTGTGCTATCATCCCTGAATTATTCTTAACGCTATTCAAAACATATGTACGCTCACATTGATGGTTTACACAGTCTCACATACCCCCTCTCCTTAAAATTGAAAAAAATCTCTTGGATCGAGTGCAGGGACGAGCAAAGAGAGTCAGAGCGTGATCTGATTTTGGCGAACAACATATTAAGTACGTAAAGACATCCAACGTGAGCATCATACCATATGCATTACCACCACTCTCCCTCGAGGGCAATCCTCGAAATATTGCTCCTTCAACGAGGGAATACTCAGGTTCATGAACACTTATCCTCTATATTAGTGGTTGCAACTTGGAATTCTCTCCCTGTCGAGGTGACCACATTCCCCTCAGTGGACGGCTGGATAAACACGTACAAACATACGGATTATCATTTCCTTCGTGGCCAAAATGTACCTGCCTTGGAACTTGCGAGTCCCTAGTACTGCCATCTCCCCAGATCACTAACCTAATCTATCTCCCATATTATCTCGGTTTCCTCTCCCTCACACTTTGGTCCTCTCGCACAATCTTCACCACCAATTAGTAAACTAAATGATCGATTATTTACTTGATCCTGAAATCTTACGCCTATTAGCATCAAAATTTTATCTTTATCATTCACTATATTGCAACTAACTGATCTCTGGTCTTGTAATGTGATAGCTAATGGTATCCAAAAACTGCTCTGAAACAAACGTTTTCATTCAAGCCACAGGACATACAAACTCACGAACCGCTACCAGCTGACTAGAATTAGACTCTCGAGTGGCTAGAACCCATTCATTGGACACTACCAAACACCTGGAACTGTACCGAAAAAAAGAATCGAGCTCAAAGAAATCAATTGGTTTATACTAGCTCGTGAAAAAGATATTAGATATTGGAAACGAAATGTAGTATTTCGAACTCGAATTAGGCATGAAATAATGTACATGTAATTATCGCGTTTTATTTTTATCTAATACACATTTCCGGAACAAAGTTAAGCATTGATTTCCGAAAAAACTGCGTAATTTATTAATAAAAGATAGAATTACATTCATGCAGTCATAGAGTCGTTAATTCTTCGAACTTGAATGATATCTCATGCCCGTTCTACATGATGTAATATAGATTTTATTATATGAGTTTGTAGAACTCAGGTAGACTGAATAACTGGGCTATAATATTTGTTTAGATAATAAAGTAAATTATCATTTGTAACTATATGCAGAAATATTCCTTGTTCAGAGGTTTCGTAATGAGTTTTGACTGTGTGAAAGCACAAATATCTGAAATGATCCCCACAGTTTATACCAATTCTAAAAGGTCTTGGTTTCGAATTAACAATCTATGAGTAACTCTTTCAACTGATTTATATTCACATGTATGTTATCTTTAAATCGTTAATTTGGAACGTTAGATACATCACATATATTATCTTTTCCATCCTATGATTTTGCCGGAGAATGTTGAACAAAACGATCGGAATCTAATTAACTGCTAGATCGAAATGACGCTTTACAAAAATAAAGTTGCTCAGAAAATGTGTTTGATTTGAAAACAAAATACCTTACTTTTTGTTGCGAGTGTCATTTAATACTTTTATATTACTCATGTTTTTTAGCGACTAAAGTATCAAACAATAAGTAAGAAAAATAATATTCTGCAAGTTATTAATTCAACTCCTAAACAAACCAAATTATAGAAATATCTTGTGAGGTGAGCGTTTACTGATTTTCTGTGGAGACGAATCGGTGAGTGATATGAATGAACGACGGGCTCACCAGATGTGGGGATAGCGCCTGACGGTTTATAAATCAGAAGGCGAATTCGAAGTATGAATACGCACACCATACACCACATAGCGAAGTTGAAAAGCAGAGAAAGAATGAGCGAAGGAAGAGAACAAACAGGCGAAGCGCATTGGAGAAGGCCAAGAGCCAATTCAAAGAAATAGAGCATGACTAAGAATATATAGTCAGACAAATTTAAGACAGACATGCAACAAGCGAAACAAGCACACATGAACAAAGCGACGAATGATTGACAAGGTCAAATGACACGTCATGTGAGCTCATACAAACCAGACAATAATAAGAACGAATGGTACAAATAAATTGTTGCAATACAAAGGGCTTGGTTAAATAGATTAATCGTAAGGGCTTAACCAAGTTAGTTCTAAGCGAACTGGAATATATGTGGAGGCACTACAATCTCAGTCCAAATGAAGATTGCAACTTGTCAAACTATTTCAACTTCTTAGTTAGAAAAAACCCACAAAAGAATACAGTTAAGATGATTCCTTCCTAATTAAATTGAGCAGGTTGCTATACTGGATTCATGACATAGGTCTTTATGGTACTGTAGTGAATGAGAACACAGGTGGAACATCCGAACTGTACTTAATGGAAATTACAGAGTTACTCAGTAAAATCGGACAACCATATCGTAAATCGTTCATTTGCAAAAGATCAGTTCATCCTATGGAACTGGACTGTTCCTGTTGCTAAACATCAATTCATTGTCAATATTCATGCGTTTCATTTCATAAGTAGCTGTTTGCACTACCGATGCACAATGAGGTTAGTTAGAGTTTAGCATGTGAAACTAAAAGGAAAAAATACATTCTACTAAAGTCAACAAAGGAGCTACATGTGCATAGCCCTGAAATATACGAAACTATGAGAGGAACTTTAGCATTAAATAATGGTAATTTATTATCTGAAGATAAATTTTCCACGACAATCATACTAAAATTAACGTTTCCTTTTATAAGACTATAACTAGTGCTTTGATTCCCATCAAAGTCTAAAATATTCATCTGATTATTTATACTAGTCCACAAAGCTTTTATTTGTCCGCAGTCAATCATAACATAAACGTTTTCTTAGCCACTTATACTGAGTTCTTAACCAACGTTATTTTGAAAGACAACAACTGTAAAAATCCATTAGACCTGTGAACTCGTTTATAAGTTATACAGTATTAAGGAATAAATTTCCCATAAATAATTTAGTTTAAGAATTTTTTTTATATCCATGATTTATCAATAAAAGCTGTTTTCTTTCCAAGTTACCTCATCATGCCATTAATCAAGAATGGTACAGAAATAACCATTTGTCAGTAAACAATCCAGTTCGACAACATGATCGATTAGACATCGAAATTTGACTTCGATTTAGATACGTCTCATTCATCTTTAAGACTGTTGTTGATCGATGCGGAAACAAACAAATAGAATCGTTTATGTTTTCACTTTAAATTAAAATTTTCATGTAGGTGATAATAACAATAATAATAATCGGATGATTAAAAACAAACAAACAGTAAAACATCATGATTAAGTGATAGTTTACAAGAAAGAAGTAAACAGATTATGTGATAGGATAGATGGGAGACATTGTAAAATGAATTGAAGATGTAATTGAAAAGCACTTTAAATAAGTGTCTATCCTTTTAGTCAATGTACCAAAAGAAACCATAGATTCACTTTATATGAAAGCAAATTCACAATAAAAACGATTTTATTGATTTGAAAAAATCATCAATGGGACCATTAAATGTAATGTTTGTTTGGTGTAAGTAAGCTTGTTTGCATAACAATGAGTATAGATTGATAAAACAGAAATAATAAAACATCGGGAGATAAATAGATAAAGTGAATTTATTGAACAAACTTGAGGTACAATAATATCAACGTATATGTGTTTACTGTATGTCAGTATTTTGCAAAAGTAACACAAAGTTATTTTGATTTAACATTTTTCTAAAAATTTAACTTTAAAGGCATTTCTACTCTGTAATAAGACTTAACATAGTTTATATTTACTTTATTAGAAGTGTAAACGCGAATCTTGTAAGACAAGATCATCAAATTCACCAAAATTTCACCTTCACTTATGAATGTACGAGGAAACATTCTGTCGCATGAAATACTTATTGTATTCTTAACAGATATTACTTTTTTTTTACCTCTTCTCGGTGAATTATCCAGGTTACATCACATTTAGTTGAAGGGTATAGTTGACTTCGTAACCGAGATTCATACTTATTATGCATTAAAAATCAATCTGTTGCTATTTATGAACGTGATTGTAAAATAACGTTTGAGGATTATAATATGTCACATTCAGGGCAAATCTTCTGAAATAAACATAATGTTGTGTGTGATGTGTATTTTGTATGCATATAACCTTTATATTTATCAAAAGAGCTTAAAATTTTTTGGTTTACAATAATACTAAGTGCATTAAAGGAGTTCATTTGTAAATTTATTTATCCTCATGTTATGTAATGGGTATGAAATAGGTGTAGCACTTTGTTAAATTAAAAAACTTCATGCAACGTGCATTATTATTTACGCTTAAAATTTATACAGATATATGAGAAAGTGTTTTATACAAAATGAGTCATTGAAATGATTGAATGAAATGTTAACTCTCCTATGATACTCTGTAGTCACGTCTATATTTTGAATAAGGTCGTAAAGATAAAGAATATGAAGGCTTTTGATGTAGAGATGAAGTAAGTCGACGATTGACTGGAGAATGCCATTCATGATCAATTGTAGGTATTTCAAGTGTTTGTTTAGGGCGAAATACACTGAGAAGTTTAGTAGGTTCACGGAACTTTTCACAAGCTCCACGATTTTCTCTTCTGCGAAATCGAACCAGTCTACGTTTCCAACTTGAACGCCAAGGTAAAATTGCAGTTTTTGTAGAAAATAATAGTTCATTTCTTATTTTATTTGTGAAACTCTCGAAGTCTGTTACTATCAGGTATGGGATTCCCAATTCTATAAATGGGCATTTACATTTTAATTCATTAAGACGAACCCATACAGGAACTAATTCTTTTGATTTTCTCTGAATCTCTTCTTCATATTCATCTTGACTGTAATGTTCAAAGTCAATAAAAGATTTTGAAGCAGGCCAGTATACACTTGAACTTCCTTTAAGGAATTCTTTGTTAATTCTCCAAATCTGAGTGACGTGCATTTCAAAACGAGCCATATTTCCATGAAGTTCACGTGATTTAAATGAAGCTTCGAAAACTGTATTTGAGACAGATAACAAATGGAAATAAATAGTTTTTTTGAACCATACTATTGATTAACAGTAAATCACTGTGCTGAACTTGAAACATTACATGTAATGGCACAAAATTTAAGCACATGACTTATCAAGTACCATCAGTTACTAATTCCAATAGCTTGGTATAATTTAATTGATAGTTAGTGGCAGAGGTGTAGCTATATTGGCAGTAATTCATTCTTCATTTTCACTTTTAGTAAGTCATCTGTTTTTAAACTGATGAACCATAAACATAATATATTGATATGTTTTGTAAATTAATGACAGATTCATTTTTATTTTCGATACTCATTCAAACAGTCCAAGGGATTTTTTTCCAAAATCTATTGTACACTACTTTCAGTTTTACTGGCATGGAAAAGTATGCATTAAAACACTAGAGTTAAATCTTTGACATATCATTTCATTGAAATGTGTCAGTCACGCAGTAAACTACAACGCACATATCATGAAATCATGAATCAACCGTCATTAGAAATCTGGAAGCACTGGACAGCCGTTTCGTCCTAGTATGATAATCATCAGATGCGCACATCTACGGCCACTACATGTGGGAATAATATATTCGGAAAAAAGAATTTATTTAAAATACTTCTGGTCAACAGCGTATGGTAAACAACTAACCTGAGAAAAACTGTACGAATCTATATATATATAGTTATATTAAAGTGCTTAAAGATGTGAATGTGCAAACTTGTAAAGATATCTCCAAGTCAGTTTTCTGTATTACAGTTAATATTGTTGACTAAATGTTCAAAATTAAGCCAACCCTAAGCAATGATATTATGCTTTAAAGGAAAGCCTCTTAACTGTCTAATCTAATGTGAGAAATGAAGACTATCAAATACTTTTTGTATTACTAGTTTGCATCTTCCCATTGATAGTTAGGACTGCAATGGATCAGTTTCACTCGGCATGTGTACATCCTGTACAGATTGTCTCGATATATGCATTAGATTGCCACCGTTATAAGCAGAGATGGATAGTGGCTAGTAGAGAAATCCAGGGAACTTGTTTCGTCCTATTCGGGACTCGTTAGTTGGGTGTACAGGCAAACTTTAGATATGAAGACTATCAAAGGCGAAATCGATAAGAATATTTGTTGAAATGTTTTTGTACGCAAGAATTAAGTAGATTATACTTAATTTTCAGCATATTGTCGAATTTTTACAAATATGTTCATTGAATTTTCTTTTCTTACATATCTTTCTTGAACATGTCTGACCTTAGATGAAATCCTTTTCAACTATTTTTATTCACGCAAAACTCCAAAGGGTTTCATTATATCTTTTAGAAAGCACAGTGATTGTATTAATGTTGAACAGATTAATCCAAAATCATTTTCAGTTATCTGAAATTTGTGATCTGGACAGATTCAGTAAGTTTTCATCACACTTACCGAAACTAACCAGTCACATTGTTACATTGTTTTTGAATAGAATAACAGCGATAAAAATGATGAACTTACATTATCAAGCCATACTAGAAGTAAGTGATTTGAATAAATTTTCCTACAGTAACTCATGTGTTTCAAAAGCAGTTATGACTGACTGTCGTTAAGTAAAGAAACATTGTAGTCTCCATATTTGGCGCTTTTCAGCAGTCCACATCGTTAAGAACAATCACGAAATCAAATCTCAGGTCTTTCAGGCAGCTATACACTTACAATACTTGATAGTTACTGCGCTAAATTGAGGATTAGATAAATCTTTTATTGATCAATGCTACATTGTAAATTCGAGACAAGGGTAGTGTAGAGCTAGTTATATAAAACAAAAGTATGACAATGTATGGGCCCTGAACTAAGACAAACGAACATTCACCGTTACTGAGTTTCCGATTGTTATCCCCTTAAGAACAGTTTGTGATAACAATGATCATCCAGTTAAACAAAAATTCTTAACCAATGAAGTTAAAGCTATGTTCTTATCTAATTTGCAATTGATGTCAACTCTTATTGCAAAAATATCAGAGACCGTACATGGATAATTGAAAATTCGACAACAATAAGTGGATCATCATACCTCTTCTGTGAATTTTTAACATGAAATCATGATGACTGAATTGAATAAGTCACTACTAGACTGTATTACATCTATTTTCCATACAGTTGATTTCTGAGCAGTACGATTCGTCGTTTCCGCAACTATCGTCAATTACATTCAATTGTAGCACAACATCATTGTGTTACTTCCCTTAATATTAATTTCTATTATTTAATCGTGCCTTATCGTCATCGACTTATCATCCAATAAAGGCTAGATTAATAATCACTTGAGTGTTGTTTTGGGTATTTCATGAGTCTTCCAAGGGAGCTTTAATGAAAATTTACTTTGAATTTAAGCTTAACACATTGATGTACAGATAGTTTATAGGGCATGAATTGTTCATGGGCTAATAATCCTTTCCATTAATCCAATTCTTTGTAGTAAATGATGCAGTTAATCGGCTGGTAAGCTGATAATCATTTGACGAAATAAGTTATTCACTAATTCATATGCTGAGTTAAATTTTGACCGAGTTTATTTCTGTAAATACTCTTTACTTTCCTAATAAATCAGTAAATCTCAATAAATGTATTCAATTTTCAATTAATTCGAAGGTTAGCAATATGACACCAACTATTAATTTGTTATTTATTTCTATGTTATAATTTAATCAATAGCAAAACACAAACTACCATTTTTTAATTTCTTTTTCACCAAAAAAAAAATAATTTCAAAAATCATTTAATTTTATCAAATATCAATCAATAGAACAGCAAACAGATATTTTCATGTTCATTGACAGAATAAATTTACTCATATCTATCAGTTTTTTTCACATTTAAAAACTGGACAACTGATTACTGTGATCCGAAAGGAGAAAAAAATTCTTTTCCGGCTTACAAAATTGTTATCAAATAATGAATCGCAAACTTCTTTACATGTATACTGATATTTTTTACCTCAGAGAAAATATTTTAGACTAATTGTTATTTTAGTAATAATATATGGAGGATGGATAGTTGGAAAAACGCCACACTTAGAATATGTATATCTACAAAATATCAATACTAGTTGTTTGTATCACTGTTGACTACAAACCATTAACTGGTGGTCATAGTTTGGTTATAATTAAAGATGGTGTGTAGTTCATGTCAGATAAATTTAAACAACACCGTATTAGACGAAAAACAAAAAAAAAAACATGATTCATAAAACAAAAATAATAATAAATGAAATTTATCTTTGTTTGTTTGTATCATGGTGGTGGTTATTTTTTTTACTTTATTTAGTATTTTGACGACACCTAACAAAAAAATAGGCTAATTCTTTTAATTGCGAATAATTTACCATTAGATACTACTGAGTTAATGTTTCATTTTTGTTTTCCGTCCGTACTTGTCTACATGTACTGCATTAGGTATATATTTTACAGAGAGAGAAAAATAAGTTGACCAATTTCTCGCTTTATCATATGACAAATTTTTAACAACTGGTTTATATATATATGTATATATATGCTTTTGTATACTTCTTCTTTGCCGACAAAATGAACCAAACAACATAAACTGAATAGTATACTGGGAAAAATATATTTTTACATATGTACAATTTCATTCAATGGACTAAAAGATAGTAGTCGTTAGTTTTTAACCCCGGCAAACGTAATTAATATTTTCATAGTCTGTTGGTATGATTACCTTCTTTATGTGTGAATTATTATAAATGGTTAATAGACGAGTAAAAATTTTTTTTAACTGTTGTCTTAAAGAGGAATCAAGGTTTTATTCAGTAGGTTATGATAAACAAATCAAATTCAAATTCAATGTTTAATATTGACTGAGTGTTTAAGTTTTAATTTCGGTGAAAATTAGTGTGATCACTAATATGGCGGATAGATTTTTTAAGGCTGGGTTATATATATGAATACCTACCTAATAGAAAACTGATTCAAATAAATAAAGATTATTTTTATCTACGATTAGAAGAACGATTAGTTTAAATGATTTGTTTTTCTAAAGTTGATCCTATTTAATTTCTATGAAAAAATAAAACGCACTGTTCAGCTGTACAAAGAATGGTGTATTCTATTTGAAAAAACAATTTAAGCTCTCACTATTTTTCATGGAGTACATTACTTACACCTACCTACCAGTTACGTATCGGTCTGGATGATCAATAATTAGGTGTTTAAAATATACAGTGTTTCAACTCGTTTTTTAAATCTATATATAACAGGGTTTTTTAAAATAACCAAAAAATTTTTTTAAATGCATTCTTTAAAATGACCACAGCGTTTTTTAAAATTTTTTTGAAAAAATAAAAAGAATATCATTTTTTAATTGAAGTCTTCTTTAGCAATCTCTGTTAAAATTAAATCTGCTTGTCAGTGATCTTCTTACAATGGATTTAATTTTTGAAAATGTAAAGTCAATTGGGTTAAGCAGATAACTCTATAGGGAGACAAGAACATAACCTATACTCCCTTTTTATTAAAAAAATTTTTGGTAACATGGGAGACATGGATCTTTGTATTATCAAGGATAAAAATGCAATTCTTAAAAGTTAATTTTGATTGGATTTTTCAATCAATCGATCAGAAAAATGAACTCATCGTAGTTCACTGAACCAACACTATACCCATCTTCAATAATTTTTTTTCATGAGGTTTTTATCTCCATTTGTTATTCTTATTTATAACATTTTAAGGATTTTAAAAACGCTGTGAAAATTTTATTAAAATTTTTGGTTAATTTAAAAAACGAGTTGAAATACTGTAGTTTATTAAGTCAGGAATGGATATTATTATTTTAAGTATATTGGTAAAAAAAAGTGTTCCTCAGAAGTAATATTAACTTCAATTTTCGCCTTGAAATATTTGCAATAATAAAGACAAACTGCAGTATAATCTGAACAGATTATCTATAAAGTATCCAGTATTTAGAATTCATACAAGTCGTTTCAAATTAAAGTAGCTTAATTCGTTACAACCTGAAGCCTACATTATTATCGATTTGGTTTACATAGAAATGGAAAGAAAAAAAATTATTACTTACCGGCATCTTTACGACAGAATTTCTTCAGTTTAATTCTTTCTTTATTTGTACTACATGGTGGACAATTTATATCACCTGTAAGGCAGAAAAAAGTTATACATGTAAGAGAAACTACATATGAAACTTTTTTGTCGATTAAAAATAAATATTGACTAGCTTGGGTCATTTTGGGAAGTAATGCATCTATGTAGTAATAAGGTAGGACAAACAATAACTCAGTTGTTTTTTTTTAAGCTAATTACTATATTAAGATAGATAGTGTTGAATGAAAATAGATTGAACTCAAAGCAGTCAGACCAGAGCATAATAACTGGTCATACTGCAAAAATCAGTTATTAGGCATATTTCAGTTTTTAAGTGGTCTTTTAGCCTTTTCTGTTTGATTACTGTTTCATAAGAAGACATGCAACCTACATCATCCAGCAAGCGACATCTTATTTCGATCTTTGTCAAAATCCATCCATTAACGTGAATGATTACTTGGTTACTAATGAGGCTGTTTGAAATAGACTTGGTATGCAGAGTAGTTCATTTTTGCAACCCCAGAATAATAGGCTATAATTATTGATAACATTATAATTGTAAACAGATTTGCGAACCTATAATATCAGATGTTTTCAGAGTCCTTTTAACAAATGAATCAGAAACATGGTGTTTCATTGATAAACAGCTATGATGCATGTTCAGTTAACAATTTTAGCACATATCTACAGTAAACATAACTTTCATTTCACTTGAGAAAATAATAAAGATAGCTTCTGGTATTTTTTTAATTTTTTTTCATGGTAGACAGGAATCTTGGAGGTATTTCGAAAATTTTAACGACCTAAGTAATATTGAATCATAAAATAAATCGACGTACCTGGTGTATAAGCCAGAGCTACAGCACGTGATGTGAAGTCTGATAACAGGGCAGAATACAAAAGTAAGAGAATAATTTATTATTACAACCAAGTACTTTCGAATAAATGCTGATCAACGTAAATTTATAATATAAAAATATTAATATATATATATATATATATATATATATATATATATATATATATATAACAGATAGTCGAATACTCTGAGGAACACTAGTCACCTCAGAACCATTGCTACGCCTTGTTGACAAGTGTTGAATAAAGCATAACCCGAAGTTGATAGTCTCCTATTGACTTCATCCAACTACCGCCTGACAAATTCCTTCTTTGTTATTCATAACGTTTAACCCTAAATCTAATTTACTTTCGACGATCAGTATCTTTAGTCACCAGCTTCCAATCAAATGAGTTTACTGTTCAAACAAAAGGATGATGTTAATAAGAAACAAGAGTAGAATAGAGGATTACTAGGATTGAACAACTGATGCAGTGAAGGAGTGACATTGAACGCTATAGCCAATTTATTGACGACTATCTATCCAACAATCTGGAAGTCTATTGTTGAAAACCGAACAGTTCGTTACAAGAATGTGAGAGCATCATGTTAAATAATATGCGAGACGATAGTAACATATATTACACTAGATGTAGAAGACTGTAAATTGATTGATACTAGATTACTGACGTGGAATACAATGCATTTTGAGTTCGGATATTCAGATAAATAAAAAACTACAAAAAAACATTACTATCAACATTAAGTTATTAAATTATTCTTACAGTGCTCAGTCTTGAAATATTGTTTTATGTGAGTTAGTACATTAGTAGCATCATTTTATTGCGTTATAAAACCAAAATTTTGATGCTTCCTCTTTTTTACTTTTATCATTGTTGAGCTTATTTGCGTATGTATGCTTGGGTACTGCTTACAGCCTACGCACATAGTCATTCAACTAGCTTTATTAAATAATTCGAAAACAGTATCGACTATTTTATATTTGTAATAAGTTTGATAATTGAACCAATCTTGATATATTTTGAATAAAGAAGAAATTGTGGCAACGACTAGCGTTTTATAGTACGATCGTCAGGTTGAAGAATATTGCAGAATTTAGGAAGATATTGAATGTCCACCGCCACATAACTCTAACATCAATCGCCCTCTTCACTGATCCTTAAAGTTTGATGAACTATTCTGTTTCATAGTTTTCGTTATAAATTAGTTATAGAATTAAAACCACACAGTCATATTTGTTTTCATACAATGATCGTCTAAGTAAAACAATTAAACTGTATGTTTCAGTTAGGAAATCCATTAAGTTTATGGAAATATTTATGTAGCAAGTTGTGATTTTCCAGTATAATCTTCAACAGAAACTAAATTATCAATGCTGTTTGATTACTGATATTCATGAGGAAATGGAAGGAACAGAATGACATTAAAAAAAAACATCCTGAAATTATATCAGCATTACTTTTTGCCAATTGATGATACAAATAAACTCGTTTTTTCTCATTCAACAAAAAACAATCGCAAACAATTCTGATTATTTTGTCCGAAAAATCAGCTTACCCATAAATTAAAGAAAAAAAGGGAAAGAATTCAAAAATTGATTGAACACCATCAATGAAAGGAAACACTTAGTTTAAACAGCATTTTTTTTGTGAATTGAACATCAACTTGAAGTTTTTCTTTTACTTTCATAGAAAACTAATTTATGTGGCAATTTTAAATCTCCTTTTTTTAAATCCCTAATTGCATCTAATTTATGATTACGATATCAATAAAGATGATCTATAATAGTAAGTGTCTTACTTTTCCCCAGCCGATATTTATGTATAAGTCAATTATTCTGTGAACAAGCAAGCAGGGTCAGAATGAAAGAGTGAAAATGCAATGTCGACATCTGTCATATAAATCAATAAATGTAGTATTCTGCCTTCTCATTTAAAACCTCTCCTATTATGCGTACACATAGAGAATAAGATTTATTACGTGTATAATTATAATAATACTATGAAATAAATACTAATTTTTCACATGTATTTTGGCCAGTTATGAGAAAATTGAAATTGTTTCATCAATCAATTAAAATGTAGTGTTATATGAAGAAATATATATAAGTCTGTTAATAATGTTATAAGTTTAAATTTATAGAATTAGCTAGTTCTATACATCATTAAATTATGCACATGCATGTACTGATTGAATATTTTGAATTAACCATGATTAAAATTAAGCAGTTATAACCTTTTTGTTTCAAATATATTTACAACACCAAATAGTGGTATCCTACATGCTAACGTTAAAGTTGTATCTTAGTTCCATCAAACATGACAACTGGACTGAGTCATGTGGGTAGGTGTCGACCACCTAGTTGTGGTTCGTGAGATGATAGTAATCGATGGTTAGAGACCCTGAATGACATGGCTGGGAGCCTTTTGCAATGACGCGTGTGCATTCATTCTTTATGTTCACTCAAATCTTAACCATCTGAATTCCTCCTCGCCTCTTTTTCTTTTCAAGTTTTTTTTCACTAGATTCTACTTATTGAACCAATCTCCCGGATTACTGCTATTACTTTTACTACTACTAATACTAATACTCCTACTATTACTACTACTGCTACGACTACTACTACTACTACTACCGCTACTACTACTGAATGAAGTGGCTCAAAACCGTTTGCAAAGGCACAGGTGCGTTCATTTTTACAGTTCTCTCAAATCCTAACCTTCTAAATTTCTCACCGCCTTTATCTTTTTCTTTTTGAGTTTATTTCACTAGATTCTACTTGAATAATATCTTCAAACCCTAAAATTTCCGATTACTTCTACTATCTCTACTACAGTAACAATTGCATCTCTGTGCTAATGTGGTATGGTAACTTGAACTGATGTACTTACGTACGAAGTTCTGCGTTACTGTTGATGATGATCAAACATGTAAGAAATATTATATGCATATATAAATATCACTGATCAGCTACTTGAGTCTTATCTTTTGATAAAATCAACAACTATGTCTTAATTATGTGAATCAATGAGAAACACGTCATTACTCTTCATAGGACTCCTGACAATGAATATTTCGCTTTATATATTCATTACAAATTTTACAGGCTGATAAAAACACCAGTCAAGTATCATCGATCATATGCTCATTGACGATGTCATTCTAAACATAAATCATTAGTTTTCATACATACCCGTTTACAAGCAGATCTTCAAATCTATTTTTTTTTTTTGATGTCTTATGGACACACATGCCTTCATTCCTTTTTGCATGTTTAAAACCAGGACAAAAAACAACTGGTCTACCATAATTTCAGTCTAGACTAATTCACTTGGGCTTTGTTCATGTTATTAAATACGTTTTATTCTTGAAACGGTTTCTGGTTATTGTATGCATTATCTACAGCAGTTTTGTGGACAAACTGTATTGATTTCTTTTTGAGTATTTTTTTTCAATGATTTGCATGAGTGATTTTCCATAACCGATAGTATGAATAAATTTTTGAAGTATGGGTATCCTTGAGAAAATTACTCTTGTGTTACGTAATCACTCATGTGTAGATGAATGAATGTTAAGTCATTTTTAAAATGGTCGATAGTTTGTAATCGCATGATAAATAAGCTGACCCCGAAGTTCTGACCATCAAGTTTAAAATCAAGACAAACCAAATTCACTTGACCTACGATTATTCATAACCCGTCTATTTATTTAGGGGAATTAATTTTTAAACAAATTTATGACTAAAAAGCTTGAGAATAAAATTTCTGAATGACGATTTATCTGGTAAATATTATTAGTTGTCTGTATGTAAAATTTTAATTCCATATGGTAGGTCATTTATGGCAAAGTTTATTCTGAGCACAGAGTAACAATTTTTCCTTCTGAAGACTTTGTTTTTTCTACTTTTTTGTAGCGTATAATAAAACCGTCTACACATCTATGTGTACCGAGTTCTCAATCATTTGAACATATGCAAATAAGTAGTTATTCACAAGAATAACTGATCTTATATCTAGAGATCTAACTCTTAAGAATCTTGGATTTTCACCTATTACAAATTCCTGTCATTTGGGTGATAAAGTATGAAAAATGAAAGCAAGTAAGACCTTTAGTAGTGGTCAGTATATGAGAGCCTTGAAGTGCACTTGAAGCTGTTTGAAACTATGATTAATGAATGAAATCGGTTTGAAATATGTTTCAAATAGCATTGTGATCAAAGTTGAATGTTCAACATACAACAATCTTTCCCTAACCGGTCACCTTCACTACGATATTATTTTTGTAAAACATTAAAATTTTAACAATTATTGTTTTCGTTGAAAAGCGTAAAGTGAACATTTTTATAGGCAACATCTGTTTATTTTTCTGCAATGATTGTTTAGTTATGAACTAATTTTGAGTAGAACGAGTTGATGAATTCAGTTTTATTCTACTCTGCACAAAATGACTGAATGGGAAAAATCTATAGAATTTCAAAATTTTTGGTTTACATGGTAAGAAGCCCCATTTCAAAGGGGAAATACTTGCTCACTTATAGAAAGAGAGTGACTGGTCACTGAACAGTGTGGAAAATTTAAGTGAAGTTACAAAAAAAAATGTAAATTATGGGATTCAATAGAAGCATTGAAAAACTAATTTACTAACCAATAGATATGAATGTCTTAAGTTGAATTCCTTGACGTTACTGAACTTTCTTTTGATATGCCTCAAAATTAAAATATAGATGTATGCACGATTCTTCATATAACATAGCTAAATAAAACTGTCAGGGTTGATCTACCTCTTCTATTATGAGATATGAATCGACGATTATACCTCTGTGCTAGGGTGGTACGATAACTTGCACTGCTATACTTGCGTACAAAGTTCTACGTTGCTGTTGATGATGATGATGTCAGGGTTGATCTTAGAGTAATAGAGCTAGTAACAGTAATAATGGTAATAGAAATGATTAGGTTGTAGTGTGTGTACAAAGATATCGAGCTCATAGGTCACTAAAATATGGAATAAAACTTTTTGCAGTAATTTAGAAATCTAGGATCTAAGGGCAATGTGCCTGCACCCTTGCGACTGGTTGTGAACGATGTCTGCCAACATATTCAGCTATTGGCCATGACAACTACATGAACACTATAACAGTCTGTTTTGCAAATTACTTTCACTCTAGATAATAATTTAAGTAAACTTAATTTACACAACCTTTCAGGTTATTAATTACCATTTTAATTAGTAATTCAAATATAACAAATCCCTCAAGTATCCTCTGTTAATACTTTGTAACTTCAAAATATATCTTAAATCATACTTATGTCAGTATCATGTTCTAACTGTACACATCAAATTATCTCCGAAAGGATGTAAAAAATACATTGAACGTTTGGAAATTTGACAGCATTAAAAACTACATTAGGAATTTATGTTCCAGTTGAGTTTCTAATGGAAATAAAGTGTTTAATTATGTACCTTTTAGATTCCTGCAATATTCTTGTGATTATAGGTATGTAGATTGGCTTGATTCCTACTTATAAATAATTAATCCACCAGATATGAATAAAAGATTCTGAAAAAGTGGTCATTTTTCTGGGAATGATATGATTTAACTTGTCTGAATTCCTAATCATGAATCGAAACAAATTATGCGTACTTGTTCAATGCAAAATTTTAGGATAAACATGAGAAAATAGAATATTTACAAAAAAAAAAAATTCAAATAAATTTTCAACTACAAATTAATGACTGACAGGAAGAATGACCACAACTCTTCCCCCGACACATATACGCATTTTGAAAAGGTGCATAATTATTTTTTTTTAAAAGTAGCTGAATACAACTTTTCTCGTAGAATGAATACCTCATAGCTTGAATTAGAAAAAAAATTTCAAAATAACAAAATTGGTTGTAGTAGAAAATTAGATATCACTTATGTAAAAGAAAACGGACTAAGATTAAAAAAATTGTGGAAATACTGAATTCTATTAACGATGAGATAGGAAGGATGATAAAAAAAATCAGTAAAACTCCCACATTGACCCTTGTTTTCACACGAACCCAACTTTAAAGTTTGCTTCGGCTAGCATAACTCTAAATCAAAAGCATCATGGGATAATGCGGTGCTTAGTTTGATATTAGATTGCTGGTGATGTGTGATTATTTTAACATATAGAGGTGTAAGGTTGATCTAAAGCTGATTTATTATTTCTCTCTACAACCTTACCCGTAATCTTATCAATCTTTCGTTGATAGCTTCACTGTAAATGTGAGTATGCCCACAAAGATATCTATGATCAAATACTTAAAGCTTTCATATATCCTTCAGCACTGTAGAGGAAACGTTTGAAAAATAGAAATGCTAAGCAGTATATATGAAGTCTGGTAGTATTTCGAGTAAGTTTTATGTTCAGAAAACCATTTTTTAACATGAAATGGTTACAACAGAAACAAAAGATATCAATAGTAATTTTTTTTTACCTTTCGTACAAGGATTGAGAGGTGAACGAGTTTGGTGATACCCGTCTTGACAACGATCACATGTTAAACCAGCTACACCTTGTTTACACCGACACTGTCCACTTCTTCGGTCACAGTCGTGACGGATAATAGATCCTATCGGATGACATCGACAAGCTGAGTAAAGAAAGTTAAAAAATCTTATAATTATGAAACATCCGAATAAGTGCACAGATAATTCTGTTCAATGTTCCAACAAATTAGTCTTAATAACAGGGCATACTCTTGATATTTAAAAACTTCATCTTTAATGGAACAGGATCGAAAATAATGTACGAATAATGCTCAACTAGATGAATATTTATGTAGATCGCATAAGTCGTGAGCTAAAAACACGATTTTCAGTGTCAGTTCATGACGCGAAGCCCTTGTTTATAATTGAAAACTGGAGAATGATACTGATCGATAAATATATAAATCAAAGACTAATAAATCTTATTTTAAATGAGAATAGTAGTATATAAGATTAGCAGAAATAAAGTTGTCAATACTAGATGGTATGCTGTAATTTAGTGATTCGAAACGTCAGAAAATAAAGTTACTAGTCTTAACACTAAAGAGTAAGATATAGCCAATGGAATGTGGACGAGGGATGATTCGTCAGCAGTCATCAAACTATCAATTAGTGTACGATTATCAAAGTCTATTTTTGATGATTATGAATGTATCTGGAATATCTATTTTGTCCTCCATGTTAGTCAGGTGATGAGTCATTCTACTTGACAATAGACATGTTCCTTTCAGCCTTAAACTCTTTTTGTTCATTGAATGAATGTCATCCCATACATGTAAGATCTTTATATATATTGTCTGTTGGAGGTGTTCATGGATTTAATCATCCAATCCAAAATTACAAAGAATCGTCAATGTTTGGATGATACACAAGGAAAATGATGCTCGAGTGTTAGAAAAACTGCTGAATGAAGTGAAATCATTTCATTAATTGATTATAAGTAAAACCGAATACAAAGATAACGCTAACAAATTATTTTTTACACCAAGTAGATCCGTTTATACCATTCGGATGAAGAAGAAACCGATACAATAGAATGACATTGATATTAACATTAAAATTAGGTGATTTAATTAAACTGGAGACAACTTATTCAGTTCATCTTTCGAAAATAAATATTTCTATACTTTAAACACTGGAATTACTCCACATCTTAGTTTGATACTTTAATTTAAATTCAAATATGTTTATCATAATGATGATAATAAATTAGCTGTTTTGTTAAAGTGGATAATTTAAGTGAAACTTTCTAGAATAATCATTTAGTTTTCCTAGTTTGATAAACATATTAACTTAGTTATCAATACAGTTCATAAGACGAAGTTTGTAAACTATCATAAATTCAATGTGGTTTGAAGGTGTATTTCAAAATGTTCTTTAATAGGAACGAAAACTGATGAATACTCTCTCTATCAGTGCATTTCTGTCTACCAGTTTACATATGTACACTATATAAATATATAAGTAGTTATAAAGCATATCTAGAACTGTTTTTTATTCAGTGTAATTCTAACGGTTTGTCTTTAAAGAACAGCTCATCTGCTTATCAATCAGCATTAAGCATACATTAGAATCGAAACCCGTTTACTCAGTGAAAAGTATGAGTTTTCAGAGTTATACTTGAGAACATACAAGCATTTAGGTGGGTGAAACCTAAACTTCTTTTATTTTTAAGGATAAAGTTCACAGTTTCTAACACCACTAGCGCCATTTCGAATACATGTTATTTTTAATTGGAGTAATTTTTATTTAAATAGAATAGTGTTTATACATTTATGACATTGATGTTCATACTTGTTAGCAGTGAATTTCGCTAACAGAAATAGAAATTTCACTTACACTTAAGAAAGAAATAAAAGACTTTGTAACTGCGATCTTTATCTAAATTGACCAATTATAATAAAATCAAAAACATTCTAAATTAGATATAATGAACTTACGTAGACAAACATTTTCATGACTTATTGGTTTAGTCCAATCTCGATAATAACCTTCAGCGCATTGATGACAATTACGACCAATTGTATTATGTTGACAATTTTCACAAACACCACCACTGACACGATTCGATAGTAAATAAAGTGAATTTGAAAATCGACATTCATTTGAATGAAGATTACAGTCACATTCTACGTTGGGAAAAAAAAAGGAGAAAATGTGTCATTGTGGTTGGTTAAATATTTTCAATATTGAGTAATAATAAAAATAATTGAAAGCTGACTGCAATGACTTTAGCTTTAACATTAAAGCAAAGGTTTGACAGACTGCTTGACAAAATATAATAGTAATTTATCACAATGATGAAAAGTTGTGTTTTTATTGCATCTTCTAAAAGGAATATTACAAGAAAATAGACTATTAAAAGATATTTTTTGAAATAAACCAAACTGAACAATTTTTAAAATGCTCGTGGATTAAAGTATACACTTTTAAAGAGGTTGGAATTCAAAGCAATAATATTGATTTTAACTGGTTCATTGTAACTCTTGGGTGAAAGTACTTAAGCCCCACTATAATAAGCTTAAAGTTTACGGATACAGACAAACTTAAACTTAATCACCACTATTATTGACGTATTTTCCTCTTGGTGTAACCCTCGAATAAGCAAGAAAAATTCACCTCAGAATAGTTGCATTTAGTAGTTGGTGTGTGGAAAAGATTGTCGAAATATTTCAAGTTTTAGGATAAATATTTATTACTGAATATTGAAAAAATACAATGTACAAATAACTACAATTTAAACAAATTTTTAAAAGAGTAATTTGTTGTAATATTGTACAATGTTTGATTAGAATTCTCCAATATATCGTGACTTACAACAATAAAAATGCATTGTGGGGTTGTGAAGATTAGTAAGTTACACATTTTGAAATCATGAATCGATCTATGTTAGACCGACATTAGAAACCTGGAAGCACTGGACGGCCGTTGCGTCCTGGTATGGAACTCATCAGCGGTGCGCATCCACAACTATTGCACCTCGCAGGATTCGAATCCAGAACCTTCGGTCTTGGGCGCGAATCCCTAACCGCTGGACCACTGAGGTGGTGCTAGTTTTTAACTGCGATCGGAGCTTACAACAATAAAAATGTTAACTCCTATTAAAGAAAAATTGGTCCATATATATTGCCAGTATCTAACTTGAAATGTTTAAACTAAAATATTTTAGCATATATTTCTATTTATTTATTTCAACCATAATATACCCATTGCAAAGTTAAATCAGAAGTATTGAAGAAGATTTGTAGCTTAGGTGGAAGATAATTTTGGTGGAGTTTCGGGCTATGAAATGGATGGCTTAATAGCGGGGTTTCCATTTTCCTTTCTGCAAGTAACACTAAGCCATTCAGCTAAGAGAACTAAAGCACACCTAAATAAAATGAAAAGAACTTTTCTAAGGAAAATTTGTCATTTCAGTGAATTGATTTCTAAAGCTCAACAATTACAAATATCTAATTATTTTTCAAAACGATAATAATGACAATGATCATGATAATAGAAATTTCGGTAAACACTGACATAATTTAAATGACAACATAAAAACGTTTATTTTGCTTAAAAAATTAATGACAATACTGTTGTCGAAAGAAACAAATCAGTTGAAATCTACCAAGGTTAGTTAGCTTCCGTTTTCTTAGCATTGCTTAAGCATTTGCTATACAATGCATATACAGAACAAACTCATGCATCGTCTTCTACTATACGGTCTTAATCTCATGTAATTTGTCTTCTTTCAAAGCGACCTGTTTCCCTTCCACTCTCTAATCTATAGATTACTGTCTCCCTCAAATGATTACTTACTTACGCTTGTTACCTCCAATGGAGCATAGGCCGCCCACCAGTTTTCTCCAACCAACTCTGTCCTGGGCTTCCTTATCCAGTTCTGTCCAATGTTTGTTCATTCCTTTCTTATATTTCTCTATTTCTCGGCGTAGTGTGTTCTTTGGCCTTCCTCTTTTCCTTTTGCCTTGAGGATTCCATGTGAGGGCTTGTCTTGTGACGCAGTCCAGTGCTTTTCGCAATGTGTGTCCTATCCACTTCCACCGCTTCTTCCTGATTTCCTCCTCCACTGGAATCTGGTTTGTTCTCTCCCAGATCCACCTTGGTTGTCGATGATGCTGCCCAGATATGTAAAAGTGTTAACGTCTTCCAAGGCATCTCCCCCTCAAATGATAAGTTTCTATTTTTATAATCAACCTGATAACAATTTATTCTATCCCTTTTTTGTACTTGTTGCTCGTCGCATAGATTGACTGACTATTTTGTTCGATAAAAATTCATAATCTTCACAGTAAATTTACCGCTATATGTTTGATAACCATAGTGTTCATTTAGTAATCTGTCAACAAGCAGAATGTAAGTTATATCATATATCTCTATCAAAGATTGAACTATCAGTTAGATTTTATTGATTACATAGATTTGATTCAAAGACAAACTAAATAAATGAATGGAGTTCATTGTAAAAGGATTTCTGAAAATTTTTTTGACTCATTTGTACATCATAGTGATGAAATATTCATAAAAATGAACATGACACTCTTTCAATACAAACTATGAATCGATTATTTTAAGCCTTTATAAAACTCCCATTATCATTAGCGCATAGTTGAGCAAATCATCCGTAGTGATGTACAGCTAGCTCAAAGATAAAATCGTTATAGAATATTTGGATAAGTTCAGTCTGAATGACTGAAGTGATTTCATTTAAATTTTTTTTAGTACTACATATTACATAGCTTTCTAGGCACAAAATTTAATTAGCATACATATTTATTCTTTGAAAAGATTATCTTCTCAGTAAACTTGTTATCTCCTTCTTTTTAGAGCTAATAAAAAATGCTACTGGAATGATCACAACAATGTGACATATTTAATTATCGTTTTTTTTTGTTTAAATTGTAAAACTTTTAATGTTAAAATTTTCCGGTTTTCAATTCTCACTCTTTCATTTTCTATATACCTTTATTTATAGAGAATATTTATCTACAAAAAAAATGAAAATAAACTCATCTCAGTATATTTATTTTGTACAGATTATATTACTTTTCACCTACAAATCAGATTTATATCTGTTTTATTTTATTTAAATTTTTGACAATGCATTTGGTTGTCATTAAAGTTTACGACTTATCATCACTGATAGTATTATTATATATTTCAATGAGAGAATAACTTTGGTTTTGACTTTGTGACAATTACTTTTTAGAAAAAAAACCAACTTTTTCAAATTAATAGCTTACAGAATATTTTATTGATATGCTTGAACGCTATGACTAGTTCACCTTACTCGGTAAACAAAGCAAAGACAAATGATGCGGCGGCACGATAAGCTATTCTCATCTGTTTATCCTCAGTCCGGCTAATATTAAGAAGTCTTAATAAGGCGTAGAAATTTTATTCTACAATCACACAGAAAATACGAGGTCACTAAGCACACAAATCAAGCTTATTTATACAATGATAGCAATGCCCTTGGTGAGAGCCACAAAATGGCGTACTAAAATAATGCATCAGCCAATAGAAACAGTCAAGGATTTCTCGAGAGTAAGCTCAAGGTCAACTAAGCGAGTAATGCGCGAAAACATAAAAAATCCAAAATTAGGACACTTTCCAAGTGAGTTCTGGGGATCTGACGTCCCCATATATTTATTTAGCTGATATTGATGATGAATTGTTTGCTGTTAGAAGTTTAAATCTTACTATCATTTGTATAATTTAATTATCGACTTACAATTTATTTATTCACGGACAAATTTTTACTTCAGTATCCTAACTGATTTGAGGAAGTTAGTTGAGATAATGGTCTAAAAATTTCGATACAAAACACTTTTAGTTTTTTTCTTGAAACATCTGGTTTATTTTCTGTATTACATATAATTGTTTTCAATATTTTTTATAAATATTGGGAACCCTTTTTTTTCACATAAAAGACTTAACGATGGACATTTTGGTTTGGTAAGCATTCATTCAAAATTAGACATCTTTTTACAGGTCATTTAACAGTGAATTAATCGTCTCTGTCTTTCACTGTCAGTTCATAGACAATATTGCATTTTGCCAATCCACATCAGGTTCAATAAACAATGAAGGTCATTACTGATTTAAAAACCGAAATTACACAAGTGAATAATCATATATATATTATAGTCATTTATAGCTAATAAATCTTCTTAAGCAAGCAGTTCATTTATTTATCAAAGTAAAATAATAAAAAAATTTTCAAAAAACTAAGGGAATTCTCCAATGAACCATGTTTTATGACAAATGTTCCGACTTTTATTACTCCCAAAGGTATAAATTTAAATTTAATTATTGTTATAATTTCATAGGGATTTATTAAGAGATTAAATAAAACTTTCGGATACAAAAAAAAAGTGGCTTTAATTGCGTTAGAGTTTGGTGTGTTAGTGAGTAAATGCGAAAAAATTGTCTCATCCGATAACTAAACACAAATTAACAATCATAACCAATTCTGAATAGATAAATAAACTTATGCAAAAGAATTCCATATGACAATTTAAGTATTAGAACTCGATTCCTAAATCAATTTTTTTTTCGATAAATAATAATGTGATCATTTCAGAGACAAATTAGACTAATACTATTTATTAAAATGAGTTGCGAAATTTTTAAGAGATATGTTATGGAATGTGGTGATTTTACTGTAGGAAGAACAAGTCAACCAGTCAGTCAGTCAGTTGCAACGTACTCATATCATTTCAAGTTGCCATACCACATTGGCACAGAGATGCAATTGTCAATTCAAACCCAATAGTGGTAGATATAATAGTAGTATTAGCGGTAATGTAGAACATTAGGGTTCGAGGATATTAATCAGGAAGTAGAATCTAGGGAAATGAACTTAGAAAGAAAAAGATAAATGTTGATGAGGAATTTAGAAGATTAGAATTTGAAAGCACACAAAGAGTGAATGTACTTGCGCCATTGCAAACGGACCTGAGTCATGTCGTTCAAGGTCTCTGTCCATCAGTTACTTTGTCTCGTGGACCCCAACCAGGTAGCCTACATCTACCAACATGACTAAGTCCACTTGTCAGTATTGGTTTGGCTAAAATATTTATGATATCTGTATTATCATACATGACTTAAATTCTTTCTAAGTGAT